CAGTGGTACCTCGGGTTACATAGGCTTCAGGTTACATAGGCTTCAGGTTACACTCAGCTAACCCAGAAATAGTGCTTCAGGTTAAGAACTTTGCTTCAGGATAAGAACAGAAATCGGGCTCCGGCGGCACGGCAGCAGCACGAGGCCCCATTAGCTAAAGTGGTGCTTCAGGTTAAGAACAGTTTCAGGTTAAGAGTGGACCTCTGGAACGAATTAACCTGAGGTACCACTGTATTTAAAAGGCATCTCTGGGTTATTTGTGGGGCATAGGAATTCGTTCATCCCCCCCCCAAAAAAATAGTTCGGCCCCCCACAAGGTCTGAGGGACAATGGACCAGCCCCCTGCTGAAAAAGTTTGCTGACCCCTGCTTTAAATTCTTGCACCAAGTTATTCCCCCCTTTGCTTGAGCTTATGCTTTTTAAAAATGGATTTTATACAGCTGTGTCTAGGCTGACTTTTAGACAGTTTCTGTTTTATATTGCCTATAATTTGGGTTTATTGATTAAATGTTGGAATGTATTTTGTACTTTTAATAGGCCTGTCAACCATCCGCTGCAGTTTATAGAAGTAACAAAGAAATGGAACAGTTTCAAAAAGAAAAGAAAGACATTGTTCTCAGCAAAAAACAAACAAACAATGGAAAATCTTTTCAAAAAATCTCCATGGTACTTCACACCACATCTGTTGGGATAACTGGGTCCAATTGCCTCTTGAAACCCTATTGGTATGCAGAGTGAGTTGCATTAAAGCCAGTAAATCTCAGTTAGGGAGTAGACTTTACTTGCTGCAGTCACACACAAGATAAATGCTTGTAGTTATGAAAATAATAAAGTTGTTTCTTGTAGGAAGTACATAACCTGGATGGAATAATTGCTTGTTCCAGTCTATCTAACTAGTCTAGAGAAGAACAAGGCAGCTGTGCTTGTTCCTTTGTTATCTCAGAGGACAAAGGTGACCTCTCATCTTGAGATCTGAGAGAGAAGTGGAGGGAGGAGGAGGTTGTAAATGCCATGCATCTAAATACCAGTGATGTGGAGAAGTTGATTAAGGTCAAAGTTACAGGAACAGACTGGGAAAGTGGATGTCCCCCACTCTGTCTGTCTTAATTCTTTGCAAACTCATCTTCTGCGAGCAGAACTGCACCCAAACTTCCAAGATAATAATAATAATTTATTATTTATACCCCGCCCATCTGGCTGGGTTTCCCCAGCCACTCTGGGGAAGAGATCATAAGAACATAAGAGTCCTCATAAGGGAGCTGTGCCTGGAGGAAGAACTATGAGGGGAGAGACTTCATCAGGCAAGGCCTCCTTCCACCGGCCTTGCCCCACCCTCCAGCATCTGCTTCTCAATTTGTATTGTATTATTTTATGCACTGTGGCTTGCCATTGTTTTATTCATTGTAGTTTAGAAATTATTTATCTTAATTGTTCAGAGTAGATTTCTGTTTAATTTTTATATGCTGATATTATTATTTTATACTATTCTAATGATTGTTGAATGTTACTTTATTTGATGTAGGTTGCTTATTTTAAAGCTACGTTTTATTAACACACTTTTGTATTGCATTCGATTGTTATAAGGTGTACATTCTTTGTTTCTTCAGCTTGTAAACTGCCTTGAGTATTGTACGATAGAAAGACGGTATACAATTTTATTTTATTTTTTAAAAAGTGATTGTTCAGTTGTGGGTGAACATATCAGATGACACAGTGATTCTTCAAACAGCTCTTGTTTATTCACAGGCCAGAACAGAACTGAACTGAAGGGTTCAGCCAGCCTGCTTATATAGAGCTCCAGTACAACGCAACTGTAACCACTTTCTGTAACTATCCAATCACTGAACGTCACTTTCAATCCCTTATTTGCATATGTGGACCTGAGTGAAAACTATCTACAGTATCCCCCTGCTGGCCAAGGTGAGAACTTCAGTACATAACACCGGTGATGGTGGACCAGGCCAGCATCCTGTTCTCACAGTGGCCAACAAGATGTCTTCATGGGAAGCCACAGTAAACAGGACCTGAGCAAGCAACAGGACTCTGCCCACCTGCGATCCCAAGCAATGGGGATTCAGACAGGACAGTCTTCGTGGTTAGTAACCCTTGAGAGCCTTCTCCGCCACGAACTTGTCTAATCCTCTTTGAAAGCCATCAAAGCTAGTGCCCATGTCTGCCTCATATGGGAACAAATCCCACTGTGCTGTGTGGGAAAGGCTTTTATTTTGTCTGTCCTCAATCTCCCCCAACATTCAGCTTCCTTGAATGTCCACCAGTTCCAATGTTATGAGAGAAGAAGAAGCACTTTTCTCTATCCGTCTCTAGTGATCCTTTTAGATTAATTTACGACGACACCCGGGATCGCTGAAGGCACTTTATGGGGATTTCCTGACTATATTTTGGAAAGATGATAGGAACCACAACATTCTAGATGGCTGTTTTGTCACCCAAGGAGGAAATCACTGGGTTGAGAATGTTTTCCAATCCCTTGAGTATGTGATTGAACTATTTATATCAATTGGTTGAAGGCAATGACCTAGAAATGGTAATTAATCTGCTGGATGCTGTAAAGGCAGCCATTATCAAGAGAGGAAATGTTGAGGATTCTTCAACAACCTGGCTTCCTACAGCTGTTCTGGGCAATTTACAAATCCTGTCAATTTCAGGCAGGCAGAGGGCCTTTTTGGTAGTGGCACCCACCCTGTGGAACACCCTCCCATCAGATGTCAAGGAAATAAACAACTATCTGACTTTGAGAAGACATCTGAAGGGACGTTTAGGGACGTTTTTAATGTTTGATGTTTTATTGTGCTTTTAATTCTGTTGGGAGCTGCCCAGAGTGGCTGGGGAAACCCAGCCAAATGGGTGGGGTATAAATAAATTATTGTCGTCGTCGTCATCATGGGCTGATGGGAGTTGTACAGTGGTACCTCTAGATACGAACGGGATCTGTTCCGGAGCCCAGTTCGCATCTAGAGGTAAGTGTAACTAGCGATGGCATGTCTGCGCACGCGCGTGTCGCTTTTTGCCGCTTCTGCGCATGCGCGCGACGTCATTTTGAGCGTCTGCACATGCGCAAGCGGCAAAACCCAGAAGTAACGCACTCCATTACTTCCGGGTTGCCGAGGAGCGCAACTCGAACACGCTCAACTCGAAGCGTATTTAACCCGAGGTACGACTGTAGTCCCAAACAACTGAAGGGCACCAGGTTGACAATGTCTGAATTTGCTTACTGCATGAAATCTGTCTGAAATCTCACCTCTGCCATGAAAGGCTTCCCTTGGAGTGTAGAGCAGGCATAGGCAAACTCAGCCCTCCAGATGTTTTGGGACTACAACTCCTATCATCCATGACCACTGGTCCTCCTAGCTAGGGATGGTGGGAGTTGTAGTCCCAAAACATCTGGAGGGCCGAGTTTGCCTATGCCTGGAGTAGAGGGTCTCAGCTTCAATCTTTTTCATATCCAAGTTCAGCTGGCAGAGATCCCTGTTTGAAACCCTGGAAAGCAGCTCTGTGACAAGTGAAGACTATACAGTGGTGCCCCGCAAGACGAATGCCTCGCAAGACGGAAAACCCGCTAGACGAAAGGGTTTTCCGTTTTTGAGCTGCTTTGCAAGACGAATTTCCCTATGGGCTTGCTTTGCAAGACGAAAACGTCTTGCGAGTGTTCCGATTTTTTTCGCTCCCCCCCTTTTTTCTAAGCCGCTAAGCCGCTAATAGCCTTTTAGCCGCTAAGCCTTTAATAGCCGCTAATCCGCTAAACCGCTAATAGCGCTAATCCGCTAAGCCGCTAATAGGGTTGCTTCGCAAGACGAAAAAACCGCTAGATGAAGAGACTCGCGGAACAGATTATTTTCGTCTTGCGAGGCACCACCGTACTGAGCCAGTAGAGGAATATTCCTATGTTCCTGTGAACTTTTTAGGCAGTAACAGCTACTCTCTTTCAGCCTCAGCTCTGTCCACACGCCCCCAATCTGCAATATGAGAGATATTTTATTCATTCATTCGTTTTATTTCTATCCTGCCTTCCTCCCAGCACAGGACCCACGGTGGCTTATAGCATCCATTAAAACAACTAGAAACACGCAAGAAATATAAATCTTATAAAACAATTAAACAAGTAACCCTATTAAAACAGCTCTGGAAAAATAATAATAAACCCATTTAAAAGCACAAAGGAGAAAGAAAGAAAGAAAGGCAACACCCACCCTCAGAAGATCCTGCCACTACAAGCAATTAGTGGCCAAAGGACTGCTGGAAGAAAAACAATTGCCTGCTGGCCATAGGACAGTCTGGGAGAACCCAAACATAAGGCCGTCTGCGTCAAAAGGATGAACTCTTACCATTAAGCGGCAAACATGGTGTGACAGCAGAGGAGGCAAAACTGGCCTGCATGTTTCCCCTTTCACCCTTATCACATGAGGGGGCATAACATCTAAAGAGGGATAAGGTATCAAGATGCACACGTTCATATACATTATGTAGCTCTCTTGCAGAATTTTATAATTCCATTCTGACCATATTACATGGCAATACTGAACTGGCTGTTTAACTTGTTCTTTATATATATATTTAAAGTATCCAACTCCTAGATGATGGGGAGGAGGATGGAGGCAGAGAAGAGAAAAAGAAGAAGAAAAACTCACACACAATCTTTTTTTCCACCTCCCCTAGAAATCAGATGTGTTGCAGATTTCCCACTTGCAGTCTTAAATGGCACTTCCCTGAATGAATGGATATTTCATTTCTCCTCATCTTTGCATTTTCTGAATGGTTAAATATTTATTGTATTATGCAAGGCTCTCTCTTTTTTCTTAAGGCTTTTGGTTTATTTTTAGCAGGCTGCATTAATGTCACAGCGTTCCAGTGGCCTCTTCATCATGCAGAGCTGTTTCAGAATGTAGGAACCTAAGAAGTTGCTTTGGCTTAGACCATCTAAGCTCAGTACTGTTCACACTGATTGGCAGCAGCTCTCCACGTTTTGTTTTGTTTTGTTTTTTTACCTAACTGAAGATGCTGGGGATTGAACCTGCAACCTTCTGCGTGCAAGGCAGATGCTCTACCACCAAGCTGTGGCCCCTTCCCCATTCCAGCAGCAACACTGCCCCACCTCCTTTCCAAATGCACCAGTTTTGTCCTGGCTGTGACTGACGCGTTCCAATGTATCTCTAGAATGAAAGCATCTAAGTGGCTCATTAAACTAGACATGTACTGTCAGGGACAGACAGCCTTAAAATAAGTGTCCTCCTCCATTTGTTCAATTTCTGCATATCTTATTTTTACATTTTTGTACGGTATTTGTCACAAATGAGAGCAAAGGGCCATGACTCAGTGAGAGAGCATCTGTTTTGCACGCAAAAGTTCCAGGTTCAGTCCCCAGTATCTCCAGGCAGTGATGGGAGAGCAGCTGCCAACCAGTGTAGAAAAAAACTGAGCTAATGGGCCAATGTTCATTCATTCATTTGATGTGTATGCCACTTACACACACACACACACACCAGCCTCAAAGTGGCTGACAACAAAGAAACAATGCATTTCAAACCAACATTACAAAACAGTTTTATAGCAAAACAATAGCACAGTAGCACTTTCTTAATAACATAGAAAAACGAAAATATAACAACACACAAAAATGAACACATTTTGATACAGGAGAGGGATTGTGACAAAAGTTGAAATTCAACCACATTTGGAAGGCATAAGATTCTCTACCCCTGCTGTAAGGTAAGTTGAAGTATTATTCCCCCATATTGCAGGTGGAAGGACTGAGGCTGAGGGAGAGAAAGAGAGGTGTGGTCAACGCCGCCTAGTGAGTTCATGGCAGAGATGAGATTCTAACGAGAGACTTCATGATTCATAGCTCCGTCTCTTGGCTACTCTGCTACACCAGCTCACACAATCTGATCTGATCACAATCACTCACATGTCCCCTGCTCATGATCACCACAAATACTCATAAGTAATAAACATGTATTTATTTGTTTCATAAAATTTACATACCGCTTGGCTGTAAAACAAACAAACCCTCAAAGCGGCCATTTGAATGTCAATGCAACGCCAGCTGCACAGATAAGTGTTTCTAGGTTAACTTCACATGAGAAGTCATACACTGTTTCAGCTGTTGAGGGAGTAGTTGAATAGATGGCTTGTGGAATAGTTGCATAGATGGGTGCTCCTGAAGCCCCAACTTGACTGTCTGGGTTGCCTGTCCTTAAAATCACACTTGCCTGTGGTGTTGTTGTTGTTGTTGTTTTAAAAAATTGCTTATCAGCATGTAGCTCAGTGGCAGAGCACTGGCTTTGCATTCAGGATATGTCTGGTTCAATCCCAAAAATGCATCTCCACATAGGCCTGAGAACATTCTGCATCTGAAACTCTGGACACCCTGTTCCAGTCATGTAGACAACACTGAACTCAAATAGACCAATGGTCTGAAACAACACAAGGCAGTCTCCCAGGTACACGGAATCTATAGAGATCAGTCATTTTCAGTTTACCGAACGGAACACGGCGGCTGTCACGGCGGCTCCCACCAAATGTCAAAGAGAACAACAACTACCAGACTTTTAGAAGACATCTGAAGGCAGCCCTTTTTAGGGAAGCTTTTAATGTTTGATGTATCACAGTATTTTAATATTCTTTTGGAAGCCGCCCAGAGTGTCTGGGGAAACCCAGCCAGATGGGCGGGGTATAAATAAATTATTATTATTATTATTATTATTATTATTATTATTATTAGCTGGGAAAACTTGCTAACAATAAGGCTGTAAAGAATGACAAAAGCAGACAGGGAAGGGAGCACTTCCCTCAAAACACTTTATTAGGTCCATAAACAACTCAGATTCATTTTTTTTGTACAAGCAAGAAGGAAACAAGCCAACACGTTGCTAATACCCCCATCGCTGCAAATTCAGAAAACCACCCCAGATGGCTGTGAATTCAGACAGGAAGGATTAGTGTGCTGTGCTGCGTCAGGGGTGGCTTCTGTGTGACTCGGGTTCAAGTCCTCCCTTAACCATCTTTCATTCATGGTCATATCATTGCTTAGGGGGCAAATAAGGCCAAGTCTCTTTACTAGGATGAAGCGGTCGCCATAGCAATCAAGAGGACTTCTTTCTAGGAATTAAGACGAGGCTGTAGGCTAATAACTGCGTCAAGGGGATGGAGCTGTAGGCTAATAACTGTGTCAAGGGGATGGAGATGGGGGAAGCTGTGGTCCTCCAAATTGTGTTGAATTTCTGCTCCCACCAATGTTGACCACTGGCCATGCTGCCTGCAGCAAATAGGAGCTGGAGTCCAACATTTGGAGGGGCACACTGGTTTCCCAGTGCACAGCATCCCATTTAAATGCTTAACCTATTAAAATAATTGCAAATGACCACATTTTATGATGTTAAAGACCAATCTCAGAGTTTGGGGGGCCTGCTACCCCCCTCCCCCCGATTTTGAACATCAGAAGACAGCAACCATCCAGACTCCTGGATAGTCATCATGTGGTTTGGCTGGAGCATAAAGATCATAGGAAGCTGCCTTGTAGTGCATTGGAGTATCAGTCCATCTACCTTAGTACTGTCTACACCGACTGGCAGCAGCTCTCCAGGATTAGAGACAGCATCCATTGCCCATCCTACATGCAGATGCTGGAGGAGACTCTTGAGAGTCCCATGGACTGCAAGAAGATCAAACCTCTCCATTCTGAAGGAAATCAGCCCTGGGTGCTCACTGGAAGGACAGATCGTGAAGCTGAGGCTCCAATACTTTGGCCACCTCATGAGAAGAGAAGACTCCCTGGAAAAGACCCTGATGTTGGGAAAGATGGAGGGCACAAGGAGAAGGGGACGACAGAGGACGAGATGGTTGGACAGTGTTCTTGAAGCTACCAGCATGAGTTTGACCAAACTGCAGGAGGCAGTGGAAGACATAAGTGCCTGGCATGCTCTGGTCCATGGGGTCATGAAGAGTCGGACACGATTAAATGACTAAACAACAACAACATGGAGATGATGGGGATTGAACATGGGACCGTCTGCACGCAGAGCAGATGCTTTACCATTTAGCTACAGCCCTGCCATTTGCCGCTGTGATGCAACCACAAAAACAGGGAACCATCCAGGGACTTTTGGACTCCAACTCCCATTAGCCCCAGCCAGCAGGGTCAATGGTCAGGGATGCTGGGAGTCTGAATACAGCTCCCATCATCCATCAGCCATGCTGGTGGAGGCAGGTGGGAGCTGGAGTCCAGTAACCTCTGGAGCAGGGTTTCCCAAACTTGGGTCTCCAGCTGTCTTTGGACTACAAGTCCCATCATCCCTAGCTAGCAGGACCAGTGGTCAGGGATGATGGGAGTTGTAGTCCAAAAACAGCTGGAGACCCAAGTCTTGGGTAGTTCTGCTTGACCACAAATATAACTCCAGGGCATCTTAATAGATCTACTATGCAGTGCCCCTTTGTAGGCTAGAACTTACTTCCAGTTCCATCAGATGATATCCTCCTCCTCCTGCACATGTAACACATTCACCTGGGAGAGAGCTCCGTTGAACTTAGTGGAACTTCCGAGTAGCTGCAACAGCTGACTAACAGCTTTAGAAGGTCCAGGTGATTTTTTGTGTGTAAAAGCAAATGGCACCGAGTGAAGCCGCCCGGGAAAGAGGAAATCGTGGAGATCCAGCACCTCTTTCCTAGGACTAGCTTATGGGAGGAGGGAGGGAGGGAGGCTCGGGATCGTTGATGGTTTGGGCGGCGGGGTGGACGGCCGAGCCTTACGTGTGGGCGGCAATCCGGCCCGCCTCGCATTGCACGGAGCAGCCGCTCGGGTCCGCGGCGGCCGTCTGCTTCCCCCTGGTGGCCGGAGAGAGGGAAGCGCCTGAGCCGCGCAGGAAGCGCTGCGCTCTCCGGGCAGGGGCGACAAGCAAAGCTTCGGGCGAGGTGGCCGACAGGCTCCGGCGCGCGGCGGCGCCACCGGGTGGGACCAGGTAGGTGCGGCTGGCGGGGCGCGGTGGGGGCTCCCCCAGCATCTTGGCTTTGCAGGACTAGGGCAAGGCTGAGCTCCCGCCCGGGGTCATTGATCAAGAAAGACCTGGGAGCAGGGAGGCGCCCGTAGCCCTCGGGGGGCAAGGAAGGGGTCCCCTCTGCACCAGACAGTCTGCTGGAGGCAGCTGGCTCGCATCTAACCGCTTCGTGCGCAGCAACTCGGCGCCCGCTGTGTGGACAGGGCAGGATGCCCCCTAGCGACCCTTCGGAGCATTGCAGCGCTTCCGCCCCCGCCCCCGGGCTGCTGCTGGCTTTCTCTAGCGAGGAAGAAAGGCACTCTGCACATGCTCGGTTCAAAACGCTTGGCGGGGTAGTGGGAGACGGCTGTGGAAAGCTTCCAGGTTCAAAGGAAATCCTCAGTCTCTCAACTCTGTAACTTGCGAGTGTAATCAAGTGCCTCTGATCCTTAGTTGGTAGAGTACAAGACTCTTAATCTCAGGGTTGTGGGTTCGAGTTCCATGTTGGGCAAAAGATTCATGCATTGCAGGGGGTTGGACTAGATGACCCTTGTGGTCCCTTCTAACTCGGAGCATCTCTCACTTTCCTGAGTGAGCATAGCCAGGCGGAAAGGATGCATGGGAGCTGTGAGCCCTTGAATTAAAAAGATTTGCAGCCAAATTGGCATCTGGGAATTGGGAAGGATCGGAGCAGAGTGTTACCCACCTTAAGCCTCAAAGGTAGGGCAGGGCATTGGCTCTCTTAATGTAGTCTAATGTAGTCTAACTATTCCTTAACACCACTGGTGCACGCAAAAAGTTCCAGATACAATCCCTGTTGCCTCCAGGTAGGTCTGGGAAAAACCCCTCTGAAATCCTGGACAGCTGCTGCCAGTCACGATAAACCAGCCTCCCCCATCCTGAAGAGTTGCTTGGGACTCCAACTCCCATGAGCCCCAGCGAACCTTGATTGGAGCTGATGGGGGTTGCAGACCAAAACATCTGGAGGGCCCCAGGCTGGGGGAGGTGGGCAAGATGCATTCCTCAAAGCAGCGCTGGCTCACCTATGAGGCAAGGTGTGGCAACCACCTCAGCTGGCAGGATCCACAGGGGCAGCAGATCTGGTCTCCAAGGGATGCATTGCCCGCTGCCGCCATCATTGCAGCTGTGGTGCACTCCTTAGAGGCCAAATCAGCCACCTCCCTGGTGCTCCTGGTGTAGATATTCTCTCACCTGTTCCCTGGCTGGAAGAGCATCGTTTTGTGGTTCTTCTCGGGTGCCAAAGTGTCCTGGGCCAGCCTTGCCTCAATAAGTTGTCAGGCGGCAATTCTCATTTTCCCTGACCCAATGGTCAGGCTGGCTGGGGCTGATGGGAGTTGGAGTCCAACAACATCTGGATTGCCACATCTGGATTGGGCAACATCTGGTACAGACAATACTGAACTAGACAGACCAACTGGTTTGGTAGAAAGTAGCTATCATATTAGTAATAAGACAGGATGAGAATCTCTATCCGTGTCTTTCCTTTGGAGTAAGTTCAGAATTCTTCTCTTAAAGCCCTCTTTTTCTACCATCATGTCAACTCGCTTTTAAAGTCCATGTATTTGCTCCCTGTTCTGTAGCCAAAGCTGAGTGTATTCTGTGCTTTACAAAATAAAAATCTGCAGTAAGACAAGCATAATTCTGCAAACAGTATTCAAGCGCAGATTTATAAAATATACATCCAGTGGTCTGCTTTGTATTTTGCTTGATCCTGTACATGTTCATTGAGATGTAAAGCCCTACTGTCATCCATGGGACTTCTTCTCAGGTGAGCAGGTATTTGACCACAGCCTTGATGCATTCTGTTTTCTGAACGTACCTTAGCCTTTGCAGTCTTGAAGGCTAGAAACTTATTTTCTGAGGAAACACCGGATGTATTTACTCAGGGTGATGAACTGGTATCTGCATGCAGTGAAATTGCAGAATTACAGGGTACACGCAGAGCTGTACACATGCAAAAATCTGTCTGAAGCTTTTGAGGATGTGAAAATTCACTGATGTGGTGGTTAGAGTGTTGGACTCGGACCTGGGAGACCAGGCTTCAAATCCCTACTTGGCCATGAAACTCACTGGGTAACGTGGGCCAAACACGGCCAATCAGCCTAACCTACCTCTCTCAGGATTGCTGTGGGGATTAAATATGGAGGGAGGGAGAACCATGCACACCACCTTAAGCTCCTTGGAGACAAAGGTGAGAGACAAATGCAGTGCAGTAAATAAAAAATACACCTGGTCTCTTCTCTCCATTCCCTCCCAAGGTAATGGAATCCATCTCCCCAGTGAAAGGCCGTCAGCTTTCAGAGACTACGAGGAGAGGCCTGTGTCACTGCTGCCGTCGCAGACACTGCTGCTTCTGCTGGTGCTGCTGCAGTTGCTGCACATGGTAAATGCCTCTGCAGGGCTGAGTGGGAGCCCACCTTGTCTGGATGTTGTTATTCCAGGCAGAACCCAAATCCCACTCAGTCCATCCTCACTCCAGTCTATGCAGCCTCTCTCCGCCCTTTCCAATAGCCCTTTCTCAAAACCTACCTTTGACCAGCAGAGGCTGGTCCATTAGGGCAAATGGGGCTCTGCCCCACCAACCTCAGTCTGCCTCCAGCCAGCCCCACCTGCCTGCCTTCTTATTTGCAACCAGCCCAGGGGGTACCACCGCCTGCCACCTTCCTCTTGCTTAGTCTCAGTGTTGCCCCTGTTGAGCTCAGCAGGAAGGAAGAGGGGAGCAAAAGTAGAGTTGGTTGGCACCACCTGTCATTATCTCTGGCGCCACCTACTGTGGCACCCCTGCCTTCTGTCCTATCAGATCCAATGGGCACCAGCCACCATGCTTTTGATGCACAGCTGCTTAGTCCCAGTTACAGATGCTAAAGCCACATCGGCTCTGCCAAGTCCCATTTCTTATAAAGTCCAAATACCTCCTACTAACCAGTCCTGAGTAGAGATGATATTTACCAGCAGGGATCTTTTGCCTTGCCTTGTTCCTCCATTGGCCAGCAGAAAAATGCTCTCCTTGCGTTGTCTGTTGCAGGAACCGGTTGGCAAGGAAGAGACGGCGAGACGGCGTGGGATGTAAAGTGTCCAGCATCTCCAACCTGGAAAGCCCATTAAACCTGGAGGAGAGGTGGGCCAAAGTACCTGAACTTACTATGGCCAATTCCTGATCCAAGAAGGTGGCTATGATACCTTTTGAGAACCGTGCACCTCGCTGCATGTGTTGTTCAGTGGCTTTAAAAGGATCCAGACACATTTGTGGAGGATAAGGTTATCACAGGGACTGGGGACTGGATCCAGCAGAGGACTAGATCCAGCTGACAAGCTGGATCCTTACTCCCACCCCTTTGAGATCCACCTTTGACTGCCATGCTGAATGACTGATTTCTTGCAAGTGGCAAACAGTCATGATGGCTGTGTCCACGCTGTACATTTAAAGCACATTCCTGTTGGATGTAATCTATTAGTACAGTCAAATGCAACATTCCTTATTTCCCTAGAGTGGGCACAAGCAGGGGGACATCCAGTCAGTGTAACTTCCTGTTCCACTGGTCCCTGGAGCCTCCTTTCCCTGCATGTGACCTGGCAGATGGGCATGGCTCTGGCTGACGCCATAAAAGAGCCGAGTCATGTAGTCATTTTCTCAGATGTCTTTTGTTCTCTCTCATGTCTTGCCTGATCTTTTACTGCCATGTTGATCTCCTGCAGCCATTTTGTTATCTCAGTGTAATTTTGCTGTCTGCTGGCTCTCAGCCAGCAGCACGAGTTCAGTCTCCATATGAGATAAACTCACGGTTTGTTTGTGTAATTACCAAGTAAAGCCTGCCTTTCAGGGATCAAATTATGATCTGAAATGTGAGTAAACTTTTTGTTACTTTACTCAGAAAGACTCTTGTGTCTTTATTCTTTTAAAAGGGACAAAAGGGGACACTAGGAATAATCTTAACTAAGAGATTCAAATGAAGCTGCAAACGAGCTCCCAGCTATATTGAGGGGAATCTGCTCTGCTACATCACTTACTAGCGTGAGTGAAGGAAGGATAACTTATTCAATACAGTGGTACCTCAGGTTAAGAACTTAATTCGTTCTGGAGGTCCGTTCTTAACCTGAAACTGTTCTTAACCTGAGGTACCTCTTTAGCTAATGGGGTCTCCTGCTGCCGCCACCGTGCGATTTCTGTTCTCATCCTGAAGCAAAGTTCTTAACCCGAGGTACTATTTCTGGGTTAGAAGAGTCTGTAACCTGTAGTGTCTGTAACCTGAAGCGTCTGTAACCTGAGGTACCACTGTATATCCTTTCCTACTATTCTTAAAATCCCCACAATTCCCTCCCCCAAAGAAACCTGGGAACTGTAGTTTATGCCTCACGGTGCTACAGTTCCCAGCATTCTTAAACTACAGTTCCTGTAATTCTTTGTGGGGTGAAATGTACTTTATATTTATGGCATGTATGCAGCTGCTGTGTCCTGAACAGTATACAGAGTTGTACCTTCTGCCCCAAGAGCAGGAGGAAGAAAGAGCAGACCCTCCCATTCCCACCCCTTGCTTTTCAGGCTCACAGCGGAAGAAGCTGCCTCTTGGCAATGGTCCTTTGACTCCATATTGACCAGTCCAGCCGGCCGGCGCATATTCATGGAGTTCCTGCAGACTGAGCACAGCGAAGAGAACATGTCCTTCTGGCTCGCCTGTGAGGACCTCAAAAGGGAGCAGAGCCCAGAGCAGATCTCGGAGAAAGCCAAGAAGATCTACCTGGATTACATCTCCATCCTCTCCCCAAAAGAGGTAGGCTGGGTGCAGTATTGGGGTGTGGGAGGCAGAACTATGGAAAGGGACGCAGTGGACCAAGAAGCAGCTATCCAAAGCTGAGCACTGCTTTGCAGCAGCCACTCTCCTTCCTTTTTCAGATTTGCTGGATTCTTGGCATTTCTAGGGGAATGAACAAATCACTGCTATTCCCAACAGTTAATCAGGCAATCTGTTGGAAGCACACTTTGGTTGGCTGAAAAGGAACCCACGGTTCAATCAGTCCACAAATTTAAAATAAATAAATGCAAACTGCAGGTGATGAGGACCTAAGACTGGCATGAGTAGCCAGCAGCCCTTCTGATGTTGTTGAACTACAAATCCCATCAGCCCTAGCTGTGAACTTATGCAACTTACATAATTAATTGCATAAACCATGTTGCCATTACATGATTCCATTCTGATCCTTTAAATGCAAAGGGAACATATTGCAAATGGCAGGTGGGTGTGACATAAACTATTTTCTACCATTTGCCTAAGACACCGTGATCATGAAGGTGGTTTTCCCAGGGTGAGGCTCATCCATTGCACTGCAGGTGTGTGGACCTGTGCGATTTCCACAAATGCAGGAAATAATTTGATAACAACAACAGTGAGTGCTGATTTCCATACTGGACATGAGTCGAATAAGTGAGCATCCATAATTTCTACTCTTCTTTCCATTTTTGATGGAATCGTCCGACATCCTTACTCCAGGAAATGCAGAGATGAGTTGCCTGCACACCACCTCTTTTCCAGAGCCAATTCTGCCAAAATGAGTTGAGACAGCACCCTGTGTGTGTGTGTGTTTGCTTCTTCTTGCAGGTCAGCATTGATGCTGCAGTGCGCGAGACCATCAACAACTCCCTGCCGTCACCCGGCGCTCACATGTTTGATGAGGCGCAAGCGCAAGTTTATGCTCTCATGCACCGGGATTCCTACCCCAGGTTCCTGAAGTCCCCTCTCTACAAATCGCTGGAGCAGAGACTGACTATGCCTGTTGCTGACACCTAACCCAAACACAGGGACCCCAGGTTCAGTTCTCAAGATGCCAAGTTTTCAGACTGCCTACTGCTTGGTGACAAGAGGTCTCTGGAGGGTTGAGGTGTACAGAACAATCTGTGCGATATGAGCCTCTTCCTCCATCTGCTACAGCCATGTACTATTCCATCACTGGCATTTACGTACAGCAAATTCAAGGACGTATTCTAGATGAAGGGATGAGATCACTGCTTTCCAAGGTGTGGAGCCCAACCAGGATGTTCTAGAGCACAGGTTAACTAGGAGCCGTTTGGTTCTAGAGACCACACTAGAGCTTCATGGGATCTAGACAACAACACTTCTTTGTGCTGGAGGATTTGATAGGAATTGTCTCCTACGGGTATGCAGGATTCAAGAATGTGGAACCAGCCTCTGGTGGAGGAGGGATTTGTGGAACTGGGCTTTTTAGCATTCCCACCATGTGGTGATTTTGTGAGGGAAGAGGTCTGAGCTCTAAGACGATGCCAAATAAAAACAAAAACCTTCTTTGCAGACATTTCTGAGCCAAAGTAGCCTTGTTCTCTCCTTACCACTAGACCTTCTCATTGGTCAACACTTTGGCTAGCAGAAATGGCATTGCCATTCTCAGTTGCAACTGCATGTCGGAACTAGACAAGTTAAAGATAAGCATGGAGGCCCTCATAAGAGTTACATGCAAAAGGCTACGGGGTGGGGGCAGGAGAAGCCTTTCTCTGCTTCAAATAACCTGCCCAGCCCCCAACTACAGTCCCCCCTTTTTTGGAAAGTCAAAATGTTTTGAATGATAAAAGTAGGTCATATTATAAACAAACAAAAAACCTTGCATTTTCCATATTGTGATAAACATAACTTATTTTCAGTTCTGTAATCAGATCAGAAAACAGCATGATTTCACAAGGGCCAGAGCCCTGGAGGGGGACGCCACAACTGCCACTGGAGGGCCAAAGGTTTTTTTGGAAGACCAAAATGCTCATTGAATCACCCCTATCTTCCTGCTGAGACTCTCAAAGAAGCCCAAGAGGTGATGGGACAGCGCTTTTCTCTGCAGAAGCCATGCTGACTCTTCATCTGCCAGGCTTGTTCTTCTATAATGCTTAATCATTCTAGCTTTAATCGTTCTCTTCACCAAGTTATGCGAGATGGAAGGTAGGTTTATAGGTTTATAGGACTCTCACCTGTAAACTGGTGTTACACAGACTGCTTTTCAATATTCTGGTAAATAGGCCATTTTTGGTAAAAAGGTTTTATTTTATTTAAAAAATCCAAAAGTTATACTTGAGGTTTTTAACTCTTGGATCTATGCCATCCTAGCACAATGACTTGACCATAGGTTGGTAAACTTGGAAAGGATCCTGAGGATCATCTATTCCAACTCTCTGCAATGCAGGAATATGCAGCTGTCCCATACGGGGATCGAACCTGCAACCTTGGTGTTATCAGCACCATGCTCCAACCAACTGAGCTATCTGTAGCAATTAAGTTAGAGCTTTGGTCTATCTTAATGTCCTTAGCCATTTTTATTTGACATAATTCTTTTGTAAACTGGATGGCTACCCTCAAAACCACAGCTTTGCAACCTCCTGGGAGGAAAAAGTAACTCGCAGAGGCCATGTAGGTCATAGCAGCAGTAGGTTAAGCACAGACCTCCACACCTCCAAAATGCCCTAAAAAACAACTTTTATTGGGGGGGCGGGGCGGAATCTAGTTTATGTTGCACACCATTGTTAGCCAAGTCTGGGTTTCAGCTGCTTACTCACCTTTTCCATCCCACTCCACTTGTATTTTGTCTACCTTCGCTTTCTACTAAATTTTAAACAAAGTCCTTAGCTGTGGCGATCTAACGCACCAAGTTAGGGGTGGAGGCTCCTGCCACTGCCTGCAGGTGGTGCTGCTGGCGCAGCTGCTTAGTATCTTTTGTGGGTAGACTGCCACCAGACACGGAGCTTCACTTCAGCGATCGAAAGGGGAAAGCTACGAAGGATTGGCATTGCTGCTCTGTACGAAAGCGCAGATGCACAACAGAGCTGTCAATTATCTACCTCAGCGTGGCAAAATAAGGGCCTAGCATTCAGGGCCTACAGGTTGTATGTCGGACCCAAGCTGTAATCTTGACCACTTTGTATGGAATAAAGAGAGCCATGCGTGGCCCCTGAATGCAAGTGGCGGGTGTCCCTCCATTTTGTTTCTCGTGTAGTTTCTCATTTTCAGCTGCAGACTTTTAGCAGATGGGCAATTTCCTGTGCAATGGAGCTTTCTTTCTTTCTTTCTTTCTTTCTTTCTTTCTTTCTTTCTTTCTTTCTTTTCCTGCCTTTCATCCCGAGTTCTTGGGACAGTTCACAATATAAATCCATCCAACCAACAGAGGATCAGAAAGTTTGGATTTTTATTTACTGTTTCTCAAGGGGTAAAATATTTGCTTTAAATGTTATGGTTGTGAATGTGGCCTAAGAGACCCAGAACTGACAGATCCTTCCATCCCTGGGACTTAACTGGATAGAACCCAACAATTACGTGGACACAGGCCACAAAACAGTCACGCACATGTAAAAACATGCACATCTGCTATGGGTTTATGTGCAAAAACACAGCTTGTGGAGTGGAAGAGTCAGAGAGAAGGAATCCATTTGCCCCCTGCCTCTACCACCTACCACACAGTTGGCTTACTCGGTAGTCTCAGAGCTGGGTGAGAAAACAATTTTAAAACTGTTTTTGCCACAAGCGATGGGAATGTGTCAACGTGGGTCCATCTGTCACTGAGAATACATATGTGTGCCTGAGAGAGGCTGTGTACACACATCCCATTTAAAGCACATTTAAAGCACTTGACTTGCCCCAAAGAATCCCAGAAACTGTAGTTAGCTGTGGGTGCTGGAAATTGTAGCTCCTGGGGACGATGACAAACTAGAATTCCCAGGATTCCCTGCGGGACATAATGTGCTTTAAATGGATGGCACACATGTCATCAGAAGGTACCTGAGAGATCTCGGGTGGGGTGGAGGCAGAAAAAGATCACTAAAGGGGGCAGAGACATGAATTGAGGAATTGCAAGAACGACCATAGCTCAGTGACTATGTGTGTCTGCTTTGCTTGCAAAAGGTTCCAGGTTTTACCCCCGACATCTCTAGGTAGGGCTGGGAACCCAAGTCAGTGTATACAATACTCAGCTAGATGGACCAATGGTCCGGCTTGAAATAAGGTGGCTTGTGGTTGATGATCATCACATAGTCTTAAGACACCTGGGGCCGCAACCTTGCTGAAGCTAAGCAGGTCTAGAGCTGGTTGGTGCCTGGATGGGATGCAGCAATGCAGACCCACATACACTGCCTTTGTGCTGCATCTTGGAAGGAAAGTGGGCTGCAAATGAAATCATATAATGACCATCATATCATGATTACTATTATTATAAGCACACCTGCTCTACAAGAGGTGGAGAACAGAGCGTGGGACAAACGTCTCACAATATTCTCCGTGAGAATAAAAATTGCAGCCGATGGACCTGGACTGCCTCCTTGTGGCTCAGGCACAACATATCACCCAGTTCAGGCATGAGAGAAAGATCAGAAGAACCCCATATAGCCCCTATAGAAGACTTCGAGACTTTGGCATCAACCTGTGGCATTTTAGTTGAGGGCTAGTTTACACACAGAGAAACACACACCCCTCTCCCTCCAAGACAAATAAGAGGCATTGTCAGAGTTCAAGGACACATCCCAGCAAACAAAAGACATTCTGGGTATGAAGCAAGGATGGGGAAAGGTGTGGCCTATGGAAAGGCCCAAGGGCCAGAATGAGGGATCTAGAGGGCCACATTCAGGCCTCAGGTTCCCTGCCCCTGCTGTAACCCAAAAATTTTGGTATGACTCTGCTGGAGAAACACCATATTCTGTTTCCATCCCAGAATGGACACACAGAGCAATGAGTGAGCATTCAAGAGTTTACTAATGTACTAATGTAATGATCATTTAACATTTGGTTTGTATAAGCTAAGTACCTGCTCCACTTCAAAAGCATTAAGGACACATCAAACGTTCTTAGAAATAGGAAATGGATTACCCTGAATTCCCACTCCCAGGTTTGTTGCAGTTTTCATTTCTCTGGCATCAGAACCAGAAGCACTCCAAGTGCAGCCCACTCACCTGTCCTAGGCTTATCTGGCAGGACTGACTGTGGTGTCACCTGCCATTTTGGGTTCCCCTCAGTGCCCCAGGCCACTTGTTACAGCATCGATCTGGGACATTTTGGGAAATCAAAATGGGCTGCTCCCGGTTAAGCTCAGGACTAGGGATGCAAGAAGGCAGTAGTTTGCGTTCCAACCCACCTTTGTTGCAAACACTGCTATTTCCTTTCCACTGCAGTTCATTTTCTGCCCAATTCTATGTTATTTGTCTTGCTAATTAATGTAATTTACACAATCCTTTACATTATGAATTTAATTAACTATGTGATTACTTTCCACACCATTTCAATGTACAGGAAATGTCAAAACATTTTTTTTTTAAAGTCATTAATTACTTGTCACTTGTGGGCTTTAAGAACAAACAAACCAGAACTTTGTGAATGAAAACCACCTGTAGTCACTGGATTTATTTCTGCTCTAAACGTGCCAAGAAACAGTAGAAATTCCCACATCCGTTTCCAACTGAATTCTCTGGGATCCCTTCTCATGACTGGGGGAATGAATGAGTGGGCTCCTGACACAGGGCACTTTGCCGAAAGATGCTTCTAATCTTTAGCCAACGCCATCTGCCGTGTGTAATGACTGACCCCATCCACAATGGCTACCTCTCCTAGAGCACATGTCACCAACCTTTTTCAGCCAGTGGGTACATTACAAATCTTGAGACAGTGTCATGGCTGCCATGGGGGCCCGTCGCGTCACAAAATGGCTGCCACCAAGGGATGGCAAAATGGCCTCAACGTCTAAAAGAGCATTCAACCACCCCATTCAGAACAGATAGGAAATCAGGCATCCAATGGCAAGTGGGCATGTTTAAGGCGGTGAGTTTAGTAGAAGAGAGGCCGAGCCTGTACAAACAGGAAGTGAGCAGGAAGAGGAAACAATCACTAGTGTACTGTGGTATTATTATTATTTTTTACAGGATATTTACAAAGACCTTTCGTGGGCACTATAGGAGGCAATGGCTGGCACACCGGCACCCTCAGGTGCCACACTTTGGAACCTCTGCCCTAGAGCTAGAGCCTGGAACCCTTCTGAAAAAGCATTATGTGTCCACCTTCCTGCTTCCATGGTGACCAGACGCAAGGGGAGACCGCCACTCAGCAGCAGAGCAAAGCTTTGCATGCACAGTCCCGCCATCACTGTTAAAGGGACTCTGGAAGTAGAAAGGGTTGGGAAAGCCTTTAAGTGGCTACTGCCAGCCAAAGCAAGAAGCAGCCCTGGACCAGACAGGTCAAAGGTCTGGCTCAGTCTGAGGCAGCTTCATAGGAGAGGGAATGAGGGGATGTTGGTAGCTGACGGCTTGTCAGACAGGGGAGGGAGAAACTACGTCTGCTGAAAATTCCCTCTTCTGCTAGGAGTAAGGAGGCTCATCCTCCTGTACAGAAAGCCACCCAAAGGTTCCCCAACCTCTAACTTGTCAAGCAAGAGAGCATTTAACAGTTCCAGACACACTCCAGTTAGGCAAAAGCATTCAAGGAGGCACAATGAGGGGGAGGCCTAAGGGCCACATGGAGAGGCCCAGAGGGCCACATCTGACATTTGAATCCTCTGAAAGAGGTCATCCCCCAACAGCACACGATAAGCTAATGGGCTGCAGTCAGAACTGTATCCTACACTGATAAAAAATGATCTAAATTATGTATTGTGAAAAGCTGGGTTCTGTGATCTGAAGGAAGTGTTGCGAGTTGGGCAGAAGAAGGAAGACCTTTTGCAGGCTACTGATGTGCCATATCTTGAAGACAAAGAATCTTCATCCACTCCCGGGCTTCAGAGATTTTCATTATATATTGCCCACACATGCAATTTCAAAGCTTAAGGGGTATAAACTTTTTATAATAACGAAAATGTGGAGTCTCAGAAGGTGGAATTCCGCACTCAAGCAAAATTCTGCACTAGCCCAGTATGTTCGCAGAACACAGCCTTCCTAATAGTGGCATCATTCCATCACCTGAATTAACAACAGACCATCACCACTCCTTTTAAGTAATTCACCCCTAAGGGTCCAGCATTTCCACCTTTCATGTGCACCCCTTCCACTTTCCTGCTGTTATTTCTTCAGTGGATAGTTCAAAGTTTCTTCTGAACGACTGCGACAGGACATCATCTTTCCATCACTGGAACATCCATCAAGGAACATCAGCAGAACTGCAAAGGGAAAGGACACTCTCTGAACATTGCTGGATCTTCTGGGACATTGCATGCAGGAAAGCCCCATCTGCCTCACCTTCAACATCCCCAGGTGTCCACACAAAGACAAATCCACCAGCACCAACATGGTCATTCCCCAGATTTGGTTGAGGAATTGGGCCGCGAGGTTTTGACCTACACGCACTGGGATTTAACTTGAGGGGACCTGGGCCATATCTAAATGGGTTGTCCTCGCATGGACATGAAGGGACAACAGAGGTAAAGCTGGTATGCTAGGAAGGGAAGGCATACACACCCCTTCCCTTTGTGGCATGAGTAGTGATGCTCAGGGATTTTGTTCTGCCTGCATTTTAAGCGAACTTCATTCCAACTTCCCAAATCGATACATGGATCACAATGAAGTTATCCTTCCATTTTAGCCAGATTTTGAGAGAATTCCAAAATGTAAAACGAATGCCTATTTTAAGGTATGATGTGTACACACAAAAATGTGCAAAGATAAAAGCTTATTTGGGGTGGGGTGGGGGTGGGAATACTACCTTCCAGCGGTTCCCGCACTCGTTACACAGCACAAAGGTCGTCATTGGCTCGTCAGCACTCCGTGTTTGCACCTGGAAGGAGAAAGTCAGCTGTGAGCTGGGTGTTTTGCCTTTCTGAGCAAACTGGAGCACAAATTCCAGTAGCAAAGAGGCCCCAGCTTCCAAAATTTAATCCTCACAACTAAATTCCAGCATTTTCATTGCCACTATCAAATTTGGGCACATCAAGCTTTTAAGCCACAATCTTGCCCTAAGGAAAGCGGGATTCTGCAACTTGCATAAATTACATAAATTAAGCACAGTTGCTCGCTATGCATTTTGCCCCTTCTGCTAGTCCAAAGACAGAGCAAAGAGCCTGGCAGGGCACACACACTGAATGCCTATAGCTATATATCAATCTATATTATATTGCATCTGTTTACACAGACATTCCCTTGATCTCTCAACCCAAAACTTCTGTTCTAATTGTAAAGTTGCTTTAAAGGGAATGATGGATTTTTATATGTTTGTGTAACTGGTTTTTATAATCTGCAAGCCACTTGGAAGCCCATTTTTTGCATTAAATGGTATATAAAGACGATATACTCGAGAGAGAACACCACCTGCACATCGTACAATATAATCCAAGTGCAAAAAAGGGGGGGTGTCATATCCAGTACACGGGTAAAACTACAACCCATCTACACACGTTTTAGAAACCACAAATTTGCAATCCTGACCAAAACAGTGGAGCAAATAATTTCAGTTCTGAGAACCGCAGCCTGTCAGTCTTATCAATAATAGTTGCAGAGATCCCAACAGATCCAGCTATGTTAGCATACAACTATGGTGTACACACCAGGCACCTTAAGACCACATGGCCTCAGCCTGGAGGATGGTACCAGCACTGCTTGGCTCTGATGAATGAAGCCATTCTAAGTGTGCCATCCTCAAAGCTCTATAACTGCCACCTTGGATACAGCATCCATTCATTGTTACCAGAGCAGCAGATGAAGGCAATAGCCAAAATGGCAATAGCCACATAAACATATACAGTGCTCCCCCCCCCGAAAATGTTTAGGGGTACAGTGGTACCTCAGGTTACATAGGCTTCAGGTTACATACGCTTCAGGTTACAGACTCCGCTAACCCAGAAATAGTGCTTCAGGTTAAGAACTTTGCTTCAGGATAAGAACAGAAATCGGGCTCCGGCGGCACGGCGGCAGCAGGAGGCCCCATTAGCTAAAGTGGTGCTTCAGGTTAAGAACAGTTTCAGGTTAAGAATGGTCCTCCGGAACGAATTAAGTACTTAACCCGAGGTACCACTGTACTCTCATTTTGACTCAAGAAAAATCACTCTTTTATAGTTCATCTTGGGGAAAATAAATACAGTAAATTGATAAAAGTACAAAGATTCATAAAATGTTTAGGGGTATGTGTCCCCCCAGAAAAAAACACTGAACACACACACACACGTGTGTGGGGAGGGGGGGCAGAGATCTTGCTCAGATTCTTCTGCGGTTCCTGAAATTGACTATATCTACAGTACAATGTGTAAGTTAACATCATTAGCATTCCTTTTCTCGCTGACTGCAGAGATCTCTTGTGAAGCACAGAGGGATTTGTTGTTGTTTTTTTACGTGCCCAGCCTGATAGGTCTTGCCCAATAGCCTAGTCCACCTCTCCTCACCTGGTTATAGGTACAGTTCTTCTTTTTGCATTTGCCGCACTGGAAGAGGTCAGTTGTGGTGCCTCCAGTCTTCGCCATCTGATGCTCTCGTATGGCTTCCTGGGTCATGGCGTTCCTCAGCTCCTTCAGTTCATCGCTGGCCATTTCCTGCAATTAATTACTTACTTAGAGCAGACTTTCTGCCCTACCAGTCCTAAACTGGCCACAGCGCTTTGCAAGCCCAAACTATCAGCTGGTTGTTAGGGCCAGCAATGACCAACACACAGGAGACTGCAGAGGCAATCAGATCAATTCACACCCCTGCAAACCCCCATTTCAGCCCAGTCACATCTTTTACCTGCTCACACCTGACATCCCATATATGCCAGGTGTGCAGAAGGAAGGTGAGGCTTGGCCAAAATGGCCTCATGCCCCTAATGAGGCCTGTGGGACAGAGATTCCCTGCCATGGATGTAAAAAGTTATAGCCCAGCCTGTTTATTCTCCTCCCTACTTACATCCGCCGTCATCCTGGCAATGAGGCTGGGCGGAATGGCTCCGGACAACACGTTTCGGCGCAAGCCAGGATTCTTGGGGTCCTTCAGGTTGCTAATGCGGCTCCTCACGCGGTTGCGGTACTTCATATCAGTGCCCTTCAGCTCCTGGTAGATATGTGGAGGCGTCAAGGAAGAAGGGCAAAAAGGATGATACACAGAATGAAATGGGTCACAGAGCTCAGATGGCAGGGTGCATTCTCTGTGTGGGGAAGGCCCTGGGTTTAATCCTCAGCATCGCTAGCGAAAAGGATTTCAGGTAGGAGGCAATGAAACAGATCTCTGCCCCAAACCCTGATTGCCAGCCTCCACTGCGCGTGTGTATCACGAGATCCAATCTCTCATGGTTTTTACCTTTAAAGCCCTATACGGCCTAGGACCCTCGTACCTAAGGGACCGCCTCTCCTGGTATGTCCCACGAAGGACCTTACAGTCTTCAAATAAAAACATCTTGGAGATCCTGGGCCACAGGGAGGTTAGGCTGGCCTCGACCAGAGCCAGGGCTTTTTCGGCCATGGCCCCGATCTGGTGGAGCACTCTGTCACAAGAGACTAGGGCCCTGTGGGACTTGACATCTTTCTGCAGGGCCTGCAAGACGGAGCTGTTCCTCCAGGCCTTTGGCCAAGGCACAGTCTGACCCCCTCTCTCCTTCTGTAATCCTCATAGAACTCTAACCCAATGGTTGATTCTGAATTGATTTTAGAATGTATTTTAATTAACTGACTGTGTGATTTATGTACACTGTGCTATTTTTACTTGTTGTTAGCTGCTCTGAGCCTGGCTTTTGCTGGGGAGGGCAGGATACAAATAAAATTATTATTATTATTATTATTATTATTATTATTATTATTATTATCTCATCTGTTTTGGAGCCCAGAAGCAATCCTGTTATGCATAGAGCCCGTTTACAAAGCGCTTCCAGTACTTCATATTCATATTATATATATAGATATAAAACCGATTTGTAAGGTAGAACCCTTGGGATCAGCAACAGTATCCCAATTTTATAGAAGGGAAGGTAAGACTAAAAAACAGCCCTGGAGTGAGTGATAGCAAAACACTGTTCTGGCCCACAGAACCCATCCTATCCAAGGATATGATCTTCAATTTCAGCTGCCATCTTGTCGCAATTGACTCCAAACTCCTTGTAATCATCTGAGGAGAAAAAGAAGCGGAACAGAAGAGATCATTCTGTGTGCAACTTAGGAGCTAATTCTTGTTAGCATTAGTGGCAGGACTTTTGCTGAGGCAGCTCATGCCCTGGTAGTTCTGAGGGAGTTCCTCCTCTGCGTATGTGTTAATGTCTCCTTCCTCTGTACTAAGAAAGACAAAACCTCTCTTGAGGTTATGTTTTTCTACTTGAATTACACACTGTTTTTTGTTCAGTTTGCTCAATGAGGCGTTATCCATATTTTCCTCTCTGGATTCCATCTGCATTTCCCCATTGCTTCCCTAACCTAGGGTTGCCATATTTTAAGAAGGAAACAAAAAGTGCCCCCGACCTGCTCAGCATCTGAAGGCCCTCTGCTTCCCCATCCCAGCTGGAAAGTTTCCTGAGCCACAGAGGCATAGACTGGCCTCTCACCATCCATTTTCAGAGCTGCGGAGACCATCTCAATGCATTTGTCCCGGACAGAGTCTCCTGTCAGGTAGCACGATGCCAAGAAGCAGGTAGAAGATGAAAAGGTCGGAGTGATGGGGCTGGTTGGGGTCTTGGGCACATCTGGCCTAGCTTTGCTGTGGGATCTGAAGAGGGCAGAAAACAACAGGTCTTTGCAAAAGCAGAAGATGGCAAATATCACCATGAAGAACGTCCCTCCTACCTAAGGTAGGTTCTCCTTTTAAGCCTAGTTCTTACTGAGGTCGTCTGTGGTCTAGCCTGGACCACTCCAGACCAGAGGTAGGGGGCTTACATAACATTGCATTTCACTGGTTAAATTTCTATACTGCTCTTCATCCAAGGATCACAGGGAGAATTACAATATAAAAACACAAAAATGAACAACTAAATGATCCTCTCTATTATTATTATTTTTAAAAATCTCCTTCTTGTACTAGCCTAGTCTTCTCTCCAAAATTCAGCTTGCAAGGCAATTGCACATTAGCCATAACGTAGTCCCCCACCAATGCTAGAACAGGGGAGCCAGCCAGTGAAACTAACTGGGAGATTCAGAAAGGACAAGAAGCACTTCTTCAAAAAAGTAAATCATTAACTTATGGAACTCACTGCCACAAGGTATGTCAACAGATGGCCACTAACTAGGGTGGTTTTAAAAGGAGATTGGACAAATTCATGGAGGACGAAGCTACCAACGGCTATTAGTCCTGATGGATATAGGCATCCTTCAGGTTTATTTATTTTACTTATTTATACAAATATCTAATATCTATACCACTATATTGTAAAAAATATCAAAGCCATATACAATATATCCATATATAATAAAAACACATTAAAATACAGTGATACCTCGGGTTAAGTACTTAATTCGTTCTGGAGGTCCGTTCTTAACCTGAAGCACCACTTTAGCTAATGGGGCCTCCCGCTGCCTCCGCACTGCCACCGCGCGATTTCTGTTCTCATCCTGAGGTAAAGTTCTTAACCTGAGGTACTATTTCTGGATTAGCAGAGTCTCTTAACTGAAGCCTCTGTAACCTGTAGCGCCTGTAACCCAAGGTACCACTGTATTTTAAAATCAGAGACCATCACGTAAATACTATGGAGGGAGATATTCTTAATTGCCAACATAAGCCTGGCAGAACAGAAACGTTTTCAACAGCTGTTTAAAGGTGGAAACAGAAGATCTCTATGGGCAGAATATTCCACAAAAATACCATTTGCGGAGAAGCACTAACTGGCTTCCTAGGGGCATCTGATTAACAGCTGTTGGGGAAATGATAATGGACCAGATGGACCATTGGTCTGATCCAGCCAGCCTCTCCTTAATGTTTTTTTGTGGCTCAAATTCATGGCAGTGTTGTGTTGTGGTTAGAACGTGGGACTATTATCTGGGAGGCCAGGGTTGAAATCCCTACTCAGCCATGAAGCTCACTGGGGAATCTTTACATCCAGTTTCATCTCCCCCCTCCCCACTTGGGGAGGACACACAAATACCCAGCCATACCTCTCCTCTTTGCTATCGGTAGAATTCTTCCGAGACCCGGGAGGAGATGCAGCTGGGTTGGAACCAGTGGAGGCCCTCCTGTAAGGAAGACAAAGAGGTGCAACAAATAAGATGCCAAAACACACTCAAAGAAATGGGAGTGGGGGAATTCCCACGTATAGTTAAATTTTATTAACATTAACCCCAGGCCGCTATCCTCAGTGTACAATGTTTAGTTCTTTTTAATGGCCCCATCTGCACTAAGCAGCACTGCACCACATGAAACTTCCACCAAGGAATTCTGGGACCTGTAGTTTGCTAAAGGTGCTTGGAACTGAAGTTCTGTGAGGGATAAACTACAGCTCCCAGGATGCTTTGAGGAAGCCGTGACTGTTAAAGCGGTATACTTGTGCTTCAAACATAACCTGCGGATGGGACCCTGTTTATTAGCGCAGCTCTTGGCTCACTGTTTCAAGGAAGATGAAGGGTAATGTATGAAATAAAGAACCAGGAAGGACTAGACTAGGAAACCGCCCATCCTCTCAGGGGACCAGTCAAACACTTTCTCTGAACACTATGGACTAGAACAGGGATAAAAGCCCTCCTGCGCTTGCCAAGCTAGCAATGGCGCCAGGTAAAAGGCCAGCCACGCAGCATCAGCAAAGCTGACAAAGTAGTTTACCTGTCCGCTGACAGCCTCTTGGGAGAAGAGGAGGAAGCAGCAGTGGAGGTGGAAGATCTCGAGTCTTCAGAGTCTCTTCTTTTTGGGGGGAGAAAGGGTACAAAGTGCAAAAAAAGAGCTATTAATTGCCAGACTGTTAGCTTGGAACACATGCTAACTGCCTTAGACCAGATTGGACTATGTTGTCCATCTAGCCTGCTGTTGTCCACTCTGACCGGCAGGGTCTCAGATGGATTATTTCCCATCATCTCCTACCTGATTGTTAAACTGGAGGTGCTAGGGATTGGACCTGGAGCTTCCTGCAGGTAAAGCACGTGTCCTATTGCCGAGTTATGCAATCTCCACCCCCCCAACATTAACATGGGAAATGGATGCCTGGACTTTGTGGCCATTGGAACTGGTGGGGTAGGATGTAAAGGTAAAGGTAAAGGGACCCCTGACCGTTAGGTCCAGTCGTGACCGACTCTGTGGTTGCGGCGCTCATCTTGCTTTATTGGCCGAGGGAGCCGGCGTACAGCTTCCGGGTCATGTGGCCAGCGTGACTAAGCCGCTTCTGGCGAACCAGAGCAGCGCACGGAAACATCATTTACCTTCCCGCCAGAGTGGGACCTATTTATCTACTTGCACAGCGTGCTTTCGAACTGCTAGGTGGGCAGGAGCTGGGACCGAGCAACGGGCGCTCACCCCGTCATAGGGATTCGAACTGCCGAACTTCCGATCAGCAAGCCCTAGCCTCTGTGGTTTAACCCACAGTGCCACCCGCGTCCCAGGGTGGGATGTAGGGAGTTCAAAAAGTAGATGGAGCCAGAGCCTAGGATAGGCAGAGCCAACCAAGTCTAGTTTTGTTCCCATCCTCCTCCTTGCCGAGTACTGCAAGGGTAACAATGGGACCAAGGAGGAGAAGGAAGAAGAAGCCGATAGGCAGTGCCACCCCCTGGACTGGTCACAGGTAAGAATGCAGGCAGGTGGGGCTGGCTGATGGCAGACGGGAGGTGGGGCAGTGAGCCCCTTGCCCTAAGGGATCAGTCTCCACTGGCAAGAATGTTTCCCAGGAAATTGAAATATTATGAGATCCACTGAAGAAAGATAAGGACACGTACCTCTCTTTTTTAGGTTCCAAGTGGGATTGTTTTGATGTAGCTGAAGCACTTCTGGGATCTCTGCATATAGAGACAAAGCATGATGTTAGATTGCCTGAATTTGGCATTCTTCAGTTCGCCATCTCCAGCATCATGCATTTCAGTGTCTGTGCTGGAAGTAGAGGTGGCTTCTCCAGTTGGCAGAATTTACCTCCTGGAGTTATCATAGAATATAAGGGTAGATAACTCTGAGCCCTGCCAAAGACTTTCTTAGTCCAGCAGGCAACATAAGGTGGTGTTAAGGTTTATGTTCAGCTTTATGAGGAATTTTAATTGCTTTATCCTTTGTATGATTATCCTCTGCTTAGAGTGTGTTCAGTACATAAATGCCTTTTTTAAAAAAGAAATAACTGAAAGAGGAATTGAACTGATATGGAGGATGCTCTTTGGGGAAATTAACTGGGTCTAAATGAATAGAAGAGGAACAGATTTGGGGTGATCTGGAACAGGGTGCAAAATAATTGAAGAATTTATCTGGGTTGATTTGGATGGGGAAATTAGCTGGCTTGCTTTCTGCAACATATGAATTCTAAATGTGCACCTACTTTATATCAGTAACGTGCATTAAATGTACACTGGCACAGTGGTTTTCAACTGGTCCATACCCCAGACCCACCTCTGACTCCCAAGCTGTGGCATGGGACCCACATGCGTATTTTCCCCTTTGATTTATATTTAATAGCGCTAATGATGCACGTTATTCCATCCTAACATGGAAACCCCCAGAGCAATATAGTGTTGCCTTGGCATTGCCACTAAATGAAAAGCAGTATTGCAATGTGGCAGGAGGAAGGCGCAAGCATGTGGCTAGCCAGAAATCTTCATCTTATATTTAAAAAACGGCTCATGCCTTTCTCGTATTACATTGCAGCACCTGTGGAAATTGATAAAATGAGCAGCTCATAAGAAGAATGCACCCTAGTCTTCATGCGTGTCTGGAATCCCAACATGGCAGCAACAGCCCTGCAAATAAAGCTCCGTGAATCCATGCCCTGAATCTTTTCTATGCCACCTGGTTGCTGGCCATAAGACAATTGTAAAACAAAGCTTTACTTATCTGATGCTCATCACATGCAGCAAACTGGGTAGCAGCAAGAACACTGGAAGCTCTCTTTGTTTAACGGAGCTCAGAGCATTCCCCAAATCTATCAGCGCAGAGCAGCTCCGCCATCTGTCAAACGGTGGTTAACAAGGTCCAGGGACAATCCTGGCTCACCCCACCATTTTGCAAATGACACAGAATAAGCGATATAGTTGCTGTTACAGGCGCTGAAGTGGAAAGTGAAACTAAACAGGGCCTGGCAGCCAAGATGGGCATTTTTCCAAGCACAAGCAGAGAACACCATGGCAAAGGGAGGGCCTGCTTAACAAGATGCCGTCTCTTAGGTTAAAACAAGAAACACCCTAGAAATTGGGCAGGAGCTTTTGCATATGCTTAGGCCCAATTAAATGTCCCTACGGTCGCCCTTCAAGGGTATCCCGTTCAAAAATAGTTAGGGTTGACAAATAAGTGATTTCATTATGGTTAAGCCTCCCACCCTGTAGACTCATCTAAAACTTAAATTTCTTGAGTAGGGATGGGGGAAACCTGTCCATTTCAGTTTCTCATTTTCCAGTCTTAAACTCAGTTCTCCACATTTCCACATCAGCCTGTGGCATCCCAAAATTTCATCAACAGATTCATCCAAATACAGTCGTACCTTGGAAGTCGAACAGAATCCGTTCCGGAAGTCCGTTCGACTTCCAAAACGTTCGGAAACCAAAGCACGGCTTCTAAGTGGCTGCAGGAAGCTCCTGCAGCCAATCGGAAGCCCCGTTGGACGTTCAGCTTCCAAAAACAGTTCACAAACTGGAACAGTCACTTCCAGGTTTGCAGCATTAGGGAGCCAAAATGTTTGAGAACTAAGCTTTTTGAAAACCAAGGTACGACTGTATAGACATTTTTGCAAAGCAATTTTCCCTAATACACACCAGCCACAGGTGCAAAAAGTCACTCTTAGGCATAATAATATTGTGCTATTGTTGTTACTGCTGCTCATCATCATCAATATATATGGTTCTAGACTGCCCTCCATCTCAAAAGAATCTAAGGGTAGCGTAGAGCAAATTATATCATATATACGTTAAAAATTTGGCTAAATTCTAGTAGCAAAGGAGAAGGCCACAGAGGTATATCTTTGCAAGTAGTTAGATGTGGTGGTAAGAAGTGTTGCTCCTGGTGAAGAAATTTCTTAATTCTGTTAACGCACTGCGAATTATGTAACATTTTTGGTACTTTGAGAATTTGTTCTTTCTGTTGTTTTTCCTGCATCCAGTGCCTTCTTCTCCCTTTCCTCTGGTTTCCTGCTAACTGGGGGGGGGGGGGAGAGATAGCAATTTTACCACTAACAATATTTGTCAACTCAGAAAATGTGATATCTGCAACAGAATCACTTTTACGAGAGAAGACAACTGGACCTGATTCAAACCAACATTTGCACCTCCTTGCACTAAAAGCTGCGAATGGCCCTAACATGTGAATACCGGTCTTTTTGTTTTCCACCAGAACTTTTGCAGAGATTCACAGGGTGGGAAATAGTGTCTTCGGTTTTCCAGCCAGGGCTATCAATCCCTTTGTCTCTCTCCTTCTCCTTTTTACTCTTCTCCGTCCCCGACTCTAAAAGAGAGAAAATGGGATATCCAGGTACAATCAAATATTGTAAAGTCTTCTATATTTTCTAGTTTCGTTAGTAGTTTCATATACAGTAAGCCCTATGATATTTTTCTAGCACCTTCACACTTCTACTTGCTTTGTGAGCATCTCAAATTTTAATTTAAAAAACTTTCATTTTTTTAAAAAAATAATTATGATTTTCAGTTATATACATTTCAATAGTTTTACAATCATTCTAACGTTTCAAAATTGACTTCCTTCCTCCTCTTTCTGCGGTTCCTTAAACTATTTCTTACATTTCCTGCATATTCCAAATTAACTTATTTTTTTATTCACCTGCTTTAAATATATGCTCTTATGAAACTTCAGGTTATTACAATAATCCTGCCAATGTTCTTATCTTACAGCGTGTTTGTAAATATTCAATAAACTATTTTCATTCTTTTATAAAAAGTTTGTTATCTTGATTTTTTTCTTTTTCCAGTAAGTTTTGCCATTTCTACATATTCCATAAGTTTTTGTATCCATTCTTCTTTTGTCGGGATGACTTCTTCTTTCCATTTTTGGGCAAATAATATTCTTGCTGCGGTAGTCGCATACATGAATAAATTTCTATACTGTTTAGGTAGTTCTACCCCTATAGGGGACTATTAGGGACGCGGGTGGCGCTGTGGGTTAAACCACAGAGCCTAGGACTTGCCGATCAGAAGGTCGGCGGTTCGAATCCCCGTGACGGGGTGAGCTCCCGTTGCTCAGTCCCAGCTCCTGCCAACCTAGCAGTTCGAAAGCACATCAAAGTGCAAGTAGATAAATAGGTACCACTCTGGCAGGAAGGTAAACGGCGTTTCCGTGCGCTGCTCTGGTTCGCCAGAAGCGGCTTAGTCATGCTTGCCACATGACCCGGAAGCTGTACGCCGGCTCCCTCGGCCAATAAAGCGAGATGAGCACCGCAACCCCAGAGTTGGCCACGACTGGACCTAATGGTCATGGGTCCCTTTACCCTTTACCTTTTACCCCTATAATTCCCAAAAGGAAAGCTTCTGGGGTTATTTTTTTTACAAATGTTATTTTAAACATCTTTTTCAATTTGTTATATATCATTTCCCAGTAAGCTTTAACCTTACTACAAGACCACAAAAAAAAAAAAAGTTCCAAGTCCCCATGAATGGGGAAGTATGCTTGCAAACTGGAGGGTGGCAATGTTTTTGAAATGGTAATAATTCCACAGGACTTGAGGAGTTGTGGATTTTTACATTGAAGCAGTTGCAACTAAGCTCCACCAAACCCCTAACAGCACACACCAAGGCAGAGATGCTGATAACTAAAGTTAATAATTACATGATTTTTAAAAAGTCAACAGCAGTCACAGCTGGGGCTGGGGATTTTGATCAGAACCACAACGAGGGCAAATGGTTTTTATAATAGTAGCAGTAGTAGTAGAAGAAGAAGAAGAAACAACAACAACAACAACAACAACAACAAGCTCCCTGCTGTGATCCAGATCTGCCCCATAGCTATAATTTCCTTTAAAACAACAATAACAATCATGTTCAACTCCTTGCATGCTTATATCAGTCTGCCTTGTTGTTCTGCTTGGTAAGACAGGACTTGTAAATCATCAATGATGCTTTCCACCATTGGAGGCAGTATACCTCTGTATACCACTTGGACTACTACAATGCATTCTACGTGGGGCTACCTTTGAAGGTGACCAGTAAACTACAACTAATCCAAAATGCGGCAGCGAAACTGGTAACTGGGAGCGGCCGCTGGGACCATATAACACCAGTCCTGAAAGACCTACATTGGCTCCCAGTACGTTTCCAAGCACAAATCAAAGTGTTGGCGTGTGTTTACAAGAGAGTAGGGATTGGGGGGGGGGTTGATTCAGCACGCATATAAAGCCAAACTTACTGGTTTTGTACTTTCTGAAACAAAGCACAAACTGAATCACAGCCATCCCTAGCCTAATCTAGATGGGGAACAAAATTTAGTTCAGTTCAAATTTTAATGCATACCTACTGGCCTCGGCCCAGTATACCTGAAGGAGCGTCTCCACCCCCATCGGTCTGCCCAGACACTAAGGTCCAGCGCTGAGGGCCTTCTGGTGGCTCCCTCACTGTGAGAAGCGAAGTTACAGGGAACCAGGCAGAGGGCCTTCTCAGTAGTGGCACCAGCCCTGTGGAACGCCCTCCCATCAGATGTCAAGGAAATAAACAACTACCTGACTTTTAGAAGACATCTGAAGGCAGCTCTGTTTAGGGATGTTTTTAATGTTTGATGTTTTATTGTGTTTTTAATATTTTGTTGGGAGCTGCCTGGAGTGGCTGGGGAAACCCAGCCAGATGGGCAGGGTATAATAAATAAATAATAATTGTTGTTGTTGTTGTTATTCCAGTGTCCAGGAATCGCAAGTGGCAAGAACAGGATGCTGGACTAGATGGGCCTTTTGCCTGATCCAGCAGCACTCTTCCTTTGTTTGTTTTGAAAGAAACAACACTTAATAACATGAATTGCACAGTGAGAAGCTGGGATCAGTGTGTCTGTTGTTACAATGGGGTGTTCTGTTTGTTTGTTTTCTTTAAAAACCTAGATCCCTTTTTGGGCCCTCAGATTCTGAAAGCAAGCCACACTTTAAAATACAAACGAATTCCTTTGCAACCAGTCTTTTCAGGTCGGAATAAACCGGCCAAATAAAAGAAAAAGAAACCTATCTCTCCAAAACAAAGTGTGCTATCTCTCCAAAACAAAGTGTGGGATGAACAACTATCTTCCGCTAGTATTTCCAGCAGTAACTGTCAGGACTATTAACTCCTACAAGAATATGGCACATATTTCCACACTCTCCAATAGCTGTTATTACTGTAGTTGCATGAGAAAATGCTATGCTATTGAGTCGTCAGTGAACACTCCTGTACACATTTAACCAACCAAACGCCACTGGTGTGTCATACCATCTCTGTGAGAGTTTGTAAAAGCAGCACCTGGTTAGTTACTGATTATGAGAGAAGCTCTTAGTTCCAATTTTGCTTCCCTGGAAGAAACATACATGGTCAAAAGGGCAAACCACAGCCCCACTGGTGCTATTTGGTTGTCTATTTGAGGGCGGCTGCATATGCACAGACGGTGTTGGAGAGAGGCAACAGGCACACTTACCTGCCTGGGCCTCACTCTCACTCCATCACCTGTATGATGTGCAACACGTACACGGCACCAGCTGATAGTCACCCCAGCTATGTATGCTCTGCATCCTACTAGTCCCCAATGTCTCAATATGGAAGTGCCGGGGCTCTCATTTTCTTGTCTCTCTGACCCAGAATCACCCTATCATCCAAAGCTAGCATGGCCAAGAGTCAGGGGTGATGGGAGTTGTAGTTCAGCTACACCTTGAGGGCCAGACATCCCCTGTCGTTGCTCTACAGGCCCCTCTCCCTTGGGGCACAAGGCCTCACAAATCTCAACACCCTCAGTTAATGCTGTTTTCTTGAAGTCTAAGCAGCTTTCTAATGGTGATACTCAGAGAACCTGCTGGCATTTTTTTGCCACCCACAACAAAGCAATCTTACCCAACAACCTCTTCCAGTTCTTGATGAGGATTTTCGCCAGAGTTACCACCTCCTCATCAGCACAGTGTTTGCGGATTGTGTTGACAGCCACGCCAATTCTTGTGGTCTGAGAGACAGAGAAGAGGGATCAGCAGCCGTTTAAGCAAGAGCTCTCAGGGACAGAGCAAACGCTTTGCATGTGGAATGTCCCTGGTTTAATCCTTCATGTCTCCAACTTAAAAGGGACCAGGGAACAGCTGGAGGATTCAGGGGCCCAGGTCAGGCAGAGCTGACCTTGCAAAGCCAAAGCGGTGACCTCCAGATGTTGTTGGACTACAGTTCCCATCAGCAGCAGCCAGCGTGACAGGGGTGATGGGAGTTGTGCTCCAGCAAACATAAGGAAAGCCTGTTGGGTCAGGCCAATGATGCATCTAGTCCAGTATCCTGTTCTCACAGCAGCCAACCCACTCTCTCCCACTGTGGTTTCCAGCAGCTGGTATTCAGAAGCATAACTGCCTCCGACCATGGAGACAGAGCGTAGGCATCATGGCTAGTAGCCTCATTCATCCTCCATGAACTTGTCCCAAGCCACTTCTGACCTAAGGAGGAGATGGGGTTGCGGGCTTCACACACACACTCTGCGCGTGATTGGGGGGATTCCTGGCCGCGACACCTCCTGGCCAGCCAATTGGAAGGCTCTGGGGGTGTGGCCTGCCTTATTTAAAGCAGGACGCAGTTCCTGCTTTTCCCATCCACCCGCCCTATAAGGTTTTCATTCCTTGACCTTGCTATGGACCTTGGTTGGTCGCCATTGAGGGGCCTGGTAGGAATTTTTCCACTTGGCAAATTGGCACCAGCCACTTGGTTTTTGCCTACCTCATAGCAAATCGTCACAACTTTCTTGGTATTGGCAGTTAGGCATTGGTATAGTTCTGTAGATGGAAGAGGGGAGGTAGCGCCATCACCTGCCCCACATACTGAAAGGTAGTCCAATAAAGGATTCTGGGGGGTGTGGCCCTGTCCAAAACCTGGGGAGGTGAGGGCCTAAGGCATGCCCCCTATCGGTGACCCCAGGGGAGTTCCTAGTTGATGTGCATCCGCAGGACTCCCCCTACTGGTGGTTAACCCTTCCTGGACTTCAAGCAGATGGGCTGAAGTCGGATATAGTCGGCTAGGACCAATGCCTACGCCAATACTGCTCATCACCTGTAACCAATAAAGTTGTGGCCTTATTTAGCCCATTAACCTTAATAATTGTGTCATGTGTCATTATTTCCACTGGGGGGGGCGAGAACTTGCCACACAATCCTCTTTCAAAGTCATCCAGTTTTGTGGCCATCACTGCCTCTTCTGGGCATGACGCCCACAGCTTAACTATGCACCACACGAAGAAATACTTTCTTGTTATCTGTCCCAAATCCTCTAACATTCAAGTTTCATGGGATGTCAATGCAAGTTATGAGAGAGGAGGAAATGACTTTCCCCCATCCACTTTCTCAAGGCCATGAATTACGTTAGAAACATCTACCATGCCACCTTTTTCCTCACCTTTTCTCTAAACTAAAGAGTTCCAAACGCTGGACCCTTTCCCTGAGGCGGGGCTGCTCCACCCCCCAATCATCTTGGTTGGCTTTTTCTGAACTTCCCCCAACACCCTTTTTGAGATGAGGCAAATGTCTAGAGAGCACCTCGTTGGCCCAAAGTATTTATGCCCCGGAATTCAAATACCTGCAGCAGCTGGATCGTCATTGTGCAACTGTTCAGTTTCTTCAGTAGGTCGAGAGCTCCTTCCTAAGAAGGGGGGAAACAAACACACACAGGGAATATTAAAAAGCCTTAAAATATGTTCTCCTTGTCTCCTGCATTATGCCTGTTGTAGAAATGGTCAGTGGCAATCTCTTGAGGCACGGGTGGGGAACCTCAGACCCAGGGGCCAGATGCAGCCCTCCAAGACCGTTGTATCTGGCCCTTGGGAGTTTCCTGGCTAGAACACATCCTTGAACTCCGATTGTGCTTTCGGCTTGCCTGGATGGAGGACAGAGAAGGGCATGTCAGCCAATGAGCATTTGTTCCATTCCACCCACTTTTACCCCTGCTCACTGCTGATTGCTGGTACCAGAAAGATGGTCCAGAAGGGGAGGTGGTGCTCTAGAATTGAAAAGGGCCCCCCATACCTGCTTCAAGGGATAACCTTCAGGCAGGATTCCCTCAGTGGTCACTAAGGGTGGAGCCAGGAGGCAACAGGCACACTCTAAGGTTCATGGCACAAGCAGAAGGCCCACAGCGAACCACCAGAGCCCCTTAGAGCTGCTCTTGCTCTTCTTGCCACTGGGAGAAAATGAATGTTTTTGCCTGGTGCCTAAAGATATGGAACGAAGGTGAACTTCCCTGGAGAGAGCATTCTTCAATTGGGGAGCCAGCACAGAAAAGGCCCGTTCTCGTGTTGCCACATTCCGGACATGAAGATGGGCTTCAGATGATGATCTGATGATATTGCTGGCTCACTCCTGACGCTGCTTGAGACCCTACCAATTTGGTGTCTTACTGTGGTTGTAAAAAGGGAGTCACAGACAACCAGCCAGTGCTTGCGACGGAGCCAGACTGCAATGACTCCCAGGATGCATCACGACAGTGCTGCCCACCTTTCAACTTATGCATATTTTGGCATGCCACTACAAATCAACTCTAGGTGGCAGGTTTCCAGTGGCACAGCCCAAGCTTGAATTTGGCACATTGCAATGAATGAACCCCAGCCAGATGGGCAGGGTAGAAATAATTATTATTAAATAATTATTAGGGCTGGAGGTTTCTGTGGCCAACACGTACCATTTGCAAGAACATGGGGCAACATGTCCCTGTCCCCCCCACCAGCAGGCAGACCCTTATCTGGAAATTCATTTCAGGGGAAAGTTTCAGGGATCTTTGCGAAAACCTGACATTGCAAAAGTCAAATGTTGTTTCCTTGTCAACAGAACGTCTGTCTGCGTCTCAAATAACTTCTGCAATGGGCCGCAGCAGCCCAAGCAGGCAGCAGATGGGACTTCCAATGGGATCTCTCACCTTTGGGAAAACAAAAACTCTCTTGCAGGTGATGGTGGGTGAGGGAGTCACCAATTTATTTCCATTGCTCTCCAAGATGATGTCACAAACATACACATTGCAAACATTTTACACTGCAGAGCTTCTGATTTCTGCACCCGTCTATTAGGTAAGTTTTTAATATTTGATGTTTTATTGTATTTTTGATATTCTGTTGGGAGCTGCCCAGAGCAACTGGGGAAACCCAACCAGATGGGCGGGGTATAAATTATTATTATTATTATTGACAAAGAGGTGCCTCTCTCTGCTGTTGACACTTCTATACAGGGAACAGAAGACATCAGTAAACTCCTCAATCCCTGCATAGTTAGAACAGGGGTGAATGTACCCTTAATACTTCTGGTTGTGGGGGTGCTCAGGTTTCTAGTCCCTAAGGCAAGGGTGGGGAATCTCAGGCCTGAGGGCCAAATGTGGCCCACCTAGCTTCTCAAACTGGCCCTTGGGTCTCTCCCTAAGCCACACCCCCTCCCTCCAGATGTCAAGGCTCCAGATGGAGAGCTGCTGCCAGTCAGTGTAGACAATACTGAGCTAGATGGACCAATGGGTCTGACACAGTATAGGGCAGATTCCTGTGTTTCTTCATGCTCCCTTCCCAGGTCAGAGTCTCCCTAAAACAGGAAAGCCTTCCCCCCCCGCCCATGCCAGCATGATCTGCAAAATTACAGTGGTTGCAGCAGAACCTTCAAATATTGGCCTTAACTCTTTGGAGGGGTGGGTGTTGAAGGCGATCTGGCAGAGGAGGGTAGGGAGGAGTTATTTACAGTCATTGCATACCAGAGCAAAGTTTGCAAGGGAAGTCAAACATTAACTTCAACTCAAGGTGCAAATCTTGCTCCGTAGTTCACCTTCTGCTGAGTATTGCCGGGGAGCCAAAGGACAAAATCCTCAGACCGCTCAAGTGAAATAAGAATGGCAAAACATCCACTGACCTACACCAACTCTATTGTGGTGTAGTGGTTCGAGTGCCGGACTAGGACCTGGGAGACCAGGGTTCAAATCCCCACTCAGTCATAAAGCTCACTGGGTGGGTGGCCTGGAACCTCAGCCTAACCTACCTCACAGGGCTCTTGTGGAGAATAATGGAAGAAGGGGAGAATTACTTATGCTACCTTGAGCTCCATGGGGGGAAAGGTGGGATATAAATACAATTTTTTTAAAAAAAGAATGTGTCCATTCTCGAGTAAATGAAACAGAACCTGTCCACAGGTAGATAATGCAAGGACAGCTGTGCACTTATCAAGAATTTTGCACTGTGTGGACTTGTGTTCTCTCCACTCTGGGCATATATGGTGTTATAGGGCTGAGCCCAAGGGCTGCATTCCCTCCTGGGCAGCCTTCCAAAGGGACCTGCCAAGGATGGGTGGGGCCAGTGGCAAAAGTGGGTGGGGTAACAAATGCAAATTTTGCCTTTATACAAGGGGGCTAGCTTCCTTTGAACACACACTCTTCTTTGTCCTCTGTGCAGACAAGCAAGAGACTTGATTGGAGTTCAAGGACACATCTCACAGGGCAAACACACAGGTGTGCAGAAGGATGGGCGAGGGAGGTGGCCTGGGGTCCAAATTCCAAGGGCCAAATTCCATGGAGTCCAAATATCCTCCATCCAGGCAAGGAGCAGGCACTATCAGCATCCCAGCCAGGCAAAAACGCTCAACAAGGCTGATGAGGGGTGAGGTCTGGGGAGAGAGGACATGACCCTGGGGACGTGACCCTCTCTGGGGAGAGGAGAGCCAGCAAGAGCCAGGCAGAGGGCACCCCCAGCTCTGAGGCTCCCCACCCACAGTGGTAAACCAGCCCTGTCACATTCAGGGACCCTCCTGCTCATTTTGCTGGGCGGGGTCCTAAACTCCTCAGCAAGAACATGTCCTCTAGTTGTCCCTAATCCACCAAGCACATCCCCCATTTTCTAGCCCCCCCCCTTTAGATCCCTATTTTACCCATTAGGGGTGCTTTTTAAAACAAAGTTAGCACTCAGTTCGATTCCCTTCTTGCATGTGAGCGACCCAATCATTAAAAAGGAAAATGCAACAATCAGGTTGACTAACACACCCAGCTCCAGAAGCCAAGGCGCGATTGCCACACATGGCAGAGTAAACAAGCATTGACGGTGAGGTTGTCTAGCTTTTCAACTCCATAGATGTGCCTTGAAGAGTCAGGTGAAATGGGAAAGTTTGCATCTCCCACCAAACAGAACAAGTCCTTCCTTGGAGGTTTTTAAGCAGAGCTTGGACTAGATGATTCTCGGGGTCCCAACTCTAAGATTCGAAGTTTCTGAGTACATAGCATTTACATTAGCAGCTTAACATACAGAAACTTTCTCTCCCCACCCACATCGGGGTGTGTGTGTGTCTTCACCCAATGCACAAGACCTTCTTCCTTTCCCCACCCCTGCAACATGGAACTTCTATTCATGATGCTATCATCTGCGCATGCACACTCATTTTTGCATGTGCTCTCATCTGCGCATGGGCAACAGCCATCTTAACTGTACACGCTGTTCTTAAGAATAAAGTGAATTCAGCGTAGGTTTTCTAGTTGCACTGAAGCTGATTTGGGCAAGGGGGAGGGGTTTACAAATCAAGCAACATTTGTCAAGAAGCAACAGGGTCAATATGGATTGTGTCTATGAATGCGGCTTCAGAAACTATCAGCGAGACAGCAGCTGGGTTTCAAGTAAGCGGTTATGTGAATGGACCCAGAATGTCTCAAAATGACTTACAAAATTAGGTAAATGTACCCCTGACCAGTCGTGGACGACTCTGGGGTTGCACACTCATCTCGCTCTATAGGCGTTTGTCTGCAGACAGTGTTTGTCTGCAGACAGCTTCCGGGTCTTGTGGCCAGCATGACTAAGCCGCTTCTGGCTAACCAGAGCAGCGCACGGAAACGCTGTTTACCTTCCCGCCAGAGTGGTACCTATTTATCTACTTGCACTTGACATGCTTTCAAACTGCTAGGTGGGCAGGAGCTGGGACTGAACAACAGGAGCTCACTTACAAAATACAGATAACCTAATCAAATGTTACTATTAAAGACATAACCCTATGTCCATCACAGGTGAAGCATCTGCCCGGTACGGTACAACATAGCACATAAACCCCCCAATTGCATTTGCAATTGTACTAATAAATTGTTATGAGTTTGATGATGCCCGGAATCCCTTCCAATCCTTGGGATTCTGTGTCTGTGTAATGCCCATGAGCAAGCTTGTCAAAGCAGCCCCTTCCTCTTGGTAATGGCTTCGGCTGGCGAATTAAGCACCACAATTAGCATAAGCAAAGAAGTTGCTCTGTGCCATGGAACAAATCATTGGGCCTTTCCCCACCACCACAGCCAGTGTAGTTTGAGTGAGCTGGAAGCAAGCTGGAGACATAGAAGGATGTTTAGGATGCCCTGGATTCAAAGCAATCTTATTCTTAAGTAAAATTTGCCGGGGTGCTAATGTCATGAGCCCCTCTATCTTATGCTCAGGTTGCATATATGTGCAAATAAAACCATATGTCCCAAAGGAACCACCATCTCTACTGACCTTCATTCCAAAGATAGCTTAGCTGGTTAGAGTGTGGGGCTGATAACACCAAGGTCACAGGTTTGATCCACACCCCATAAACGACAGCTGTATATTCATGCATTGTATTATTATTATTATTATTAGAATTTATATACCGCCCTATACCCGGAGGTCTCAGAGCAGTTCACATAAAAAGATCACAGTATATAAAATAAAAGTTGCTTCCTTCCAACTCTATGATTCTAAGGAAACCAAACCCTGAAACTCCTGGAGTCTCTCACTGCTTGCAGATTGGAGTGGCATGTAACTTTATTTCTCAGCCTTTAAACTGTGGTTGCGCGCACACACACATGCATCTTCCCATGTAGCTGGATGGAGGAAGGCAATGCTGGGGGTCCTCTTTTCCTCCCCAGTCCCTGCAGGACATACATTATTTTTACTTCTCTGCTGCCATTCCTTCAGCAAGACACCAGGCAAAGATTAAATTTACATTGCCAGACTCCTGCCAAACACCTGTTGTCTACATACCTTCTCTCCAAATCCTCTTAGGGACTGGCCACTTGGAGATCTGCAGGAGCAAGGGGGGGGGGACACTGTCCCTGAAAGAAAACTGAAGCTCTCACAAATATGGTTGAGGTGGGGAAAAGAGAGAAAACAAAACTACTCCCCAGATTTTGGGGTGGGGTGGGGGTGTGAACCTGGCTTTTAAGCAAAGCAAACATAAGAAATAATATATTTTTGCTTGTCTCGGGTCACCTAAAGAGCACAACGATTCTCAGCTGTAACGCAAACCCTGCGAGGTGTTTTTTTAAAAAACCTGATTTCCCCGCCCCGCAACTGTTGGGAGCTGCAGTTGCACCTCCTTCGATTCTGAGGGTTTTGCAGAAAGTTTGCTGATCAGTGAGAAAACCACAGGAAACCACATTAAAAGCAACTGTTTCTTGAAACCCGAAAGGGACCTCCCAGTGCCAGCGACAGACTCCTGCGAATTCAAGCAGAGTTAAAACAGAAAGCACACAAGCAAAGCGAAAACACAACACGCGCACCGTTTCTCTTACCATGTTCTTCCTGGACACCATCTTATCCAGCTTTCTGCCTATTCGGATCAGCTCCTCCGCTTGCCCCATGGCTTCTCCTCTCCCCAAAAAACACAAACCAACCTATGGCACGCTTCGCTAAGGCGAGCGCCTGAAAATATTTAACGGGGAGTCGCGGGGGGTGGGGGCAAGAAACGGACCCAGCTGGATCCGGATCTGGTTTTATGACAGTTGTAGTTGTTGGGTTTTGGTGATTTTTGGTGTTTTTTAAGAGCCGGGAACGTACTTGCGGAATAAAGGGAAAGTTTTCGCACTCACTGGAGAAGTTTGACGCGGAAGGAAGGCAAGAGGGCGAAATAACGCAGGCGTGCTGGAGAGGGGAGGGGCCACTCGGTCACTTATAAATGACGGCCAGGGAGTCAAAATAGCACTAGGGGGCTGGGCTAAATATAGGAGCCGAGGATTAAGGGGTGGAAAGATTTCAGGCGGGTGGGTGCGGAGTGGGCTGGATACTGAGGCCGTGTGCAGGTGGCTGGAAGGGCCCGGGGAGCGAGAGGCTTTCTCGGGGCCCTTCCAGGCGCCCTTTCCCTCGGGCGTCCCCGGAGATGGGCGCCGCTTTCAGTCTCCTTTGCACCTGCAAAAGTTTGTGGGCGGAGGTACGGGCTTCGCCCGCAAAGAGGTGCGTAAAACTGGCCGCCGAAAAGCCTGTCTCTTTTTTCCCCCATGGCGCAAAGGTGACGGAGTGCTGCAGAAGGAAAGAGGGGGGAGACGGCCCCCCGAATGCAGCATTGTCGCATTTTTTTTTTAATCAGCAAAGTTATTGCAATCTAAAAGAGGGATTGGACACACACACACCCCACCCCATCCCATTAAGTCCAAGGCTGTCTTCGGGAAAAGTAGGGCACGCAACCACTAACAGTGGTTGCCGGTTCGTTTCCGTACCCAATTCAAGCTGCCCCCCCCAAAAAAAAAACCTCTGAAAGGCTGCCTTCTTCCCCACAGAACCTTTTGGGTGTTCAGATCAGCAGAGGGAGCTCTCTTGGTCGTTTCATTGCCCCCAGAAGTTGGTGTGTGTGAAAGCCTGGGAGAGGGTCTTCTCTGCGGCAGCCCCTAAGTTGTGGCACTCCCTCCTCTGCATCTGAGGCCTTCATTGCGTTATTCCTGCTGTGTGCTTTGACACCCGAGATATTGGCCCCGAGTCAACTAAACACTTGCACTAGCAGGAGCCAGTGCAATGAGACTTCCCCCTCAATTCTTCCCCCCACCCCACCCCAAAATCATCCCGTGAGAATTCCCTGAGCTGCGTGTTGTGGGGCAGTTGGTTCCTTTTACATATATTAATTGCATATTAATTGCATTCATACATAACAATTTCAGTATTTGCATAGGGGTTCTTCCAAGTGGGGCAGATTGTTCCGTCTGGCAAGCTAAGATGCTTTGCACTGAGAGAGCAATTATAGTGTGACACTGAATTCCTCCCATTTGTCAGCGTCTTCCCTATTCCTGTGACATTTGTTTTAAACAATCTTTAATGCTGTATTTCTGAATTGCTAGGAGCTGCTTTGGGACCTTATGGTGAGGAGAGAGTAGTAAATCAAATGAACCCCAACCCCATCTGGGGAAACATACACTGCCCAGGAAAACTTTCTACATTGTCCTTTTGACACTAGGTGAATATCTTTTTTTATTGCCCTACATCAGATGTGGGATATGTTGCTGCATCGCAATTCCCATCAGCTCCAGCAAGCATGCCCAATGAATGGCCAGGGATGATGGGAGCTGTAGTACAGCAACATCTGGAGGGCCAAAAGTTCTCCACTTTCCAGGAGCTTCTAACCTTAAGCAGCTTGGAGGCTTACTGCCAGGTACTCATCCAGCTCCTTCCCTCACCCTCTCTTACCTACTGCTCCTTTGCTACTTGCCCATGAGGACTAGGAGGATGGCTGTGGTTTGTTTGTATTTCACTCCAGATCCTTGTGTAATGAGTTGATATGCAAATATTTGAAATAAATAAAGCTATGGTGTTGGAAAGCCAACTAGGGCATGAATCACACCAAAGTACTACTAGTAAAAAAAATCATCATCAATCAGAACTTTTATTAGAAACAAAACAAAAAGATAGGAACAAAAAACAGTACATTTTCAGATGGCATATTCAACTTATCTCCCAACAACTTTTTGTCTTTTTTATATATAAAAATGCAGTATTTCAGAGAGCAGCAGACTTGTGGTATCAGCCCCATACCAGACTGATGGTATGTTGGTCCAAGAAAACAATCACAGATCCAAATACCGGTGTGGTACTTTTAAACTCAGTGCAAACCAATTTTGGAGGGGGTAACCGGGTTGAAAATTTCTGCAACAAAACCAAGATAAGTTCCTGGGAAGACACTCTGAGGGAAGCAATCTAGTTTAGAGGTATATGGCAGGCCTGTGGCGCACTCTCAGGAGGAATGGCTGGAGAGGGCTGCCTCCAGTGTCTGTTGCCAGAGGCCATCACCCCACTCTGCCCAACGATGAGACTGGCCCTGCTTTCATTAGTTTGGGAAATTGGGGGAAATGAAGCACAGTCCTGCCCCCCTGCTCTGAGTGCTGAACTCAATTTGAGATAGCTTCAAAGTATTAGCTAACATGTAAACTTCTATACCAGGAGCCTCTAAGATGACACCTTATAGGTGCCAGTGTCCCTAGTACCTTCCATGGCACCCACAAAAGGGTGCCACATTGCCTCAAAAAAATCAACAATGTGAGAGATACTGTTTGCTCTTCCTGTTTCCACTGGCTCAGCCTCTCCCTAGTACAGCAAAGTTATTATGCCATGCCCCCCACGGCAGCCATTTTGTGACCTAAGGCACTTTTTAAAAAAGTTCTAAATGTAGCCCACTGACCCAAAAAGGTTGGCAACCCCTGTACTACATAATAATTACATATTTACAGAGTGATCTTAAAGGGCTGCTGGGCAGCAAGGAATGACTTGGGATAGAGTACAAGGATTGCTATGCCAGTGGCTGGAATCATGAACAAGCACTTTGTACTGCAATGTTTTGTTGCAGCCCCCTTATATCACCCTCTTTTTTTGTCTTTGAGACAATTAGAATCTTATCTTTTAAAGAAGTAGAAGTTCTGGGATACTTAGGTAGGCATACTTTGTGCCAGAAGCCAGATTCTGTGCACAGAATACACACATAAATCCAGGTTTGAGAATGAAAATGGGAGTTTCCTGTTTGTCCCATCCAATCACCTCAGTGGTTATTCCATTCATGTATTTGGTCAGAAACCCCACAAACTGAAACAGGCCTTAATTGACCTATTAGCCCTTACCATATTCCGTGTCAGTGAGTTCCGCAGGACTGTCGGGCACAAGACAACGAAGCAGAAAGACATGAACACAGCAAACTGCATAATGCCCCTTGTCCCCACATCCCTTCTTCCTGGAGAATGTATGCTGGGGTTGGCTGAGAGAACAATACTTACTCTGCTAGTAGACTTTCTGCCCAATGTACTAGGCTTTACTTAAAAGGAACATAAAAGCCTGCCTTGCACTGAGCCAGATAAAAACCAAGCTAGATGGATCCTTTAATATCTGGTAGCAGCTCTCCAGGGTTTAAGGTAGGGAATCTTTCCCATCTGTACCTGGAGATGCCAGGGACTGAGACCTTCTGCATACAAAGCAGATGTTCTCCCCACCAAGCTACTCATCTACAGCTGGTAGCTGAGCAAGAATAATAAATTTAGCTCTGGTTGTTCTTGGTGCTGAAAAAGCAGCTTAAAACAACTTTGCTTGTTTAAATCATCTTACATCTGGGGCCTGGTTTGATTCCGTTTTGGAACCAGCAAAGCTTTCGCTGGCCGATGCATCCACATTATTCATTCATCCTTTGCAAAGAAATCTGCAGGGTGCTCACTGCGGAAAAGAACCAGCTGTTTAAAGATTGCCCTGAACTTTTCACACCCTGGGGAAAGGGACAGAGCATGTATGGTGATATTGCTTCTCTTTAAAACTGGTCAAACCAGACTGGAGCATTTGAAGGCGAGGACGGATGTGGTATTTAAAAGGGCAGTCACAGTGAGTTCTTCACCCATGAGAGCCAAACTGGATTTGCTATTTCCACAGCAGATATACCTATCAGCAAGACAACCCCACGGGTTCAGACATCTACTCATCTTTCTGATGGGCCATCCACCTCTTAAAACGTTTGAAGTGGTACATTCACAATTATTCATTTTTTTAAAAGTAACATTTTAAAAACAGTTGCAAACCTAATTGTGGGATTTGGGGAGGGATTTCATTGTCGGGGAGAACTGCCAATTTGGCAACTCCCACAGCTACTTTCCTTTTTGTTCAAAATTTAACCATTCTGCAGACTTGCAGAATTGGTTTTCTCATAGCTTGGCAGGAGAGGATCAAAAACGGGAGAAGGGCACTTTCCAAACTGGCTGAGCAGTTCTAAAAATATTGGGCTGGATCTTATGGCGTACTGCCCTACCAACTTCAGTCTGCTCTCAGCCAGCCCACACTGGCTTGTCTTCTTAACGACAACCAGTCCTGGCTCCCAGCCTCCTCCATAGCCCCTGTACCACTCAGCAGGGAACAGGACAGGGAGAAAACTAGAATTACTTTTCTGCATCTGCCCTTGGCTCTAGGTCCTCCTACTGTTGGCCTCCCTGCCTTCCCAGTGGTGGCTGGTGCCCAAATCCAAACAACAAGAAATTGGATTCAGCCTGAAAAGCTTCCAAAGTGCGAGCAGCAGTGGTTTCAAAACATTACTCTACAGAACTCACAGATTCCACAGGAAGTTATCAGGAGCTCCATAATGTAGAAAATCAATTTGTTCTCTGTTGCTCCAAGAGTAGAGCCAAAGAGTGGAAGTCACAAGGAAACAGATTTTGGCTAATAGGAGACATGTACTAATTGCTAATTGACAGAGGAACAGACGGCCTCATGAGGTGGTGGTCTTTCCTTTGCTGAAGGTATTTGAGCAGCGGTGCAACCAGCTTCTGCCAGGGATGCTGCAGCTGCAATATTCCTGCATTGTGCAGGAGGTTGGACCTCTAAGCTCCCTTCTGACTTAAAACAGTCTATGATTCTGTAATTCTGTGAGTGATAATGGCAGGCAGGCTGGTCAATATGGGCCCCAAGACATTTTGCAGCCTGAAGAGCTACAGATACCCTCACTTCCCACTAGCGCCCAACGCTTTGAAAAGCTTTGCTTTGTCAGACATGAGTTCTGCCCTTCATCAATCTTCTTCATTTGGAGGGCAGTGACTTCCATGAGATGTGGAAAAGCTGTGGCTGTCCTGGCAGAACGCAGTCCCTGAAAGGTGAATAGCGGAGGCAAGCCCTGGAGTTTGCACACCATTATCCAACTTCTCCAGCAGCGCACACCTGGTGCTTAACAGATATAGCCACACAGGAACCTGCTTTATGCAAAGTCAGACCACTGGCCCATCTTGCTCAGCACAGTCAACACTGATTGGCAGCAGCGCTCCAGGGCTTTGGGCAGGGGCCTTCTTCATCCCCTCCTGGAGATGCCGTCAGGAATCGAACCTGGGACTTTATGAATGAAAAGCAGATGCTCTACCACTGAGCTGCAGCCCTTCCCCTAAAGGGCACTCTCAACTGACTAGGCCAGCTGGGACCAAGCAAGGCTCCCAGAATCGTCTGCACGCAGCAGATGTGAAGATACTCTGCACTGGATGAAGAGATGCAAAAACGGATCCATGAGGGTAGGGTAGGGTCAAATGAATCCTCATGGGGCTGGGGCTGGGGCAGGATGTGCAGCAGCTCTGAAGCCCTGCCAAAGGCCTGGCTTGGTTTTCCAAGTCTCCAGCATATATGCATTTGCTGCATGTTTTCAGATTTCTCCTGGAAGCGGGGTTCATCCCTCGTGACTGTCGTAACAGAAGCCGAGATTGCTACGAAACCAAACACTGCACTAGGAGTCTGAATCCCACCCAAGTGTACATTTGGTCTCGAGCGAGAAAATCAAACGGAGGCAGAGATGACTTGGAGATGGAGCCTCCACAGCCAACGAGAAGATACCTCAGTTGCGTGAGGCTGCAAGAAGAAGCCAGAAAAAGTCAACCAAGCAGAGCTCCTGTCCTTTCTCCTGGTCCTGCTTAACAACAGCAATGAGAACAGTAGCCAAGCCAAAGCCAGTGGCTTCTTCCCAAGGATATGATCAAGGAAGTGATTACGCAGATGGCATCCTATGGAGAAGAGCAGGCTCAAAGGAGATGGGGTGAGTCTGCCTTAGGTCTGCAAAGCAGCTCAGGCAGACTCCTCTCTGCAGCTGGAACGTGAACAAAATGGTCCCATCAGTCTTGCAATGGGTGGACAAAGCTGGAGGGGAAAACTCCCGTTCTTGTGCCATCGCCTTCAATGAAACCGATCTGTGGGGCGGGGGGGAGGAGAAACAAGAGGGAGACAGGATCAAAAGGGGTGGGGGAAGGCAGATGAAAGAGAGGCTCTTGCAAATGTACCTTTCATAGGAGCTGCCTTATTATTCCCCGCAAAAAACATTCTTAGGTGCAAATCTGCAATGGACCTTCCACATGACCGCAATCATTTCATTGTTTTTGAGTGTGACTGCGCTCTTTTCCTTCTGTATAATTGATGGGCTATGCCTGCAACGAGGCTCGCTCTTTCAATTGGCAGAAATAGCAGTGGTGACCACGACAGCCTCCTAATCTCTGCTTAACCAACATGTCCGTAGCGACCACCAGTACTTCCCAGACAAAATTTGAGTAGAGCGACCAGAGTATCCACTGCTGAGTATGATGAGCACAAGAAGTTTCTGATGTCTGCTGTGGGGAAATGTCAGGAACAGCATTCCTGGAATACCGGGCACACTTATAAAGATGGATTTCACTAGTGGGAGGGAAAGGGGAAGGGGAGAGGTATGACGTAAGGAGCCTCAATACATCACTCGTAAAGAAGGGAAAGAGCGCAATTGTACAAGGAAATGATTATGGTGGTGCAGAAGGTCCATTGCAAATACACATCCGTGTTGGAAAAAACATGCCTTCGATAGTACCGTCCTCCTGCCTGCCTGCCTTCCTTCCTTCCCTCCCAAGCTAGAAGGAACAGTGTTTCCCCACTTTGTCCCATGGAGGAAGCAGCAACACTCACCCAACTTTGATCATCCTCTTCCCGCGTCACCACAATCACTTCACCCTTGGAGAAAGTCAGCTCCCGAGCCTTGTCCCCCTTGCAGTCAACCAAGGCCATGACTCTCTTCGGCCGTCCCTTAGCCTGCAAAAGTGAAAAACGGTAGTCGTCAGTTCTACACAACCCTCTTTCCCTTTCCACAGCCCTTCAGTGGTTCTGTGAAGCCTAAACAGAATTGCAAACAGGCACCTCATTGATGAAAGGGTGAAGAGTTACCCACCCCTAGCCACAGGTTACCCAACCCTGCCAAAAGCCTTGTCACCCATTCTGCAAGCCAGCAGGGGAGAACCTGTGACACCTCCCCCTCCCAGATGTTGTAAGACTACATCATCCCTGATATGCATATTTATTGTGGATTTTTTTGGGGGGGGTGGTGGTTAAGCTGTTTGAATCTTCACACTTAGCCTTAGGGTTCTTAGCAATCTCTGCTGGGCACCCCTTTATCTTATTTACTCGAATCTAATGCTCACCTTTTTGGCCAAATTACACTGCAAAAATCAAGGTGTGCATTAGATTCGATGGCACATTTACATTTGCCAGCAAATACTTTTATTGGTTTCAAGGTTCTGAAAATTAAGGTGTGCATTAGATTCAATAACGCATTAGACTTGAGTAAATACTCAAGTCTATTTACTTATTTATTTTATTTAGTAAATAAATTTATTATATATTTACTAAAGCACGTGTTGCCCACTCTTCAGCCAAAAAAAAGAAAAAGAAAAAGAGGAAAGGAAAGCCTCCAGCAGAGGCTTTTCAGTATCTGTAATAAGAGAGTTCTTGTCCTAAAGGCTTGCAATTAAGACACAACTCAAAAGGAAACAGGGTTGGGAGGGAAGAGGGAAAAAGCAAACTCAGGTATTAGGCCTTAGTTACAGATTTCTTCTAACAAGCAGCTGGAATGGAAACAGATCAAGGAGGAAGAGAAGCCAAAAGTTTCTGGGCTCTCAGCTGATACAGTCCTGCCTCTCCCTGTGCTATAGCCTGCACATATCACCATAGGAAAGTTCTACACCTCATCCTGCCTCACCAGAGGTCCATCATTCTATCCTACCAGCCATACATGCTCTTCGCCTGAAGCCTCTAGGGGCAACCACAACCTCTTTCCACAACAGCCTTTATCATCTGAACTTACATCTCAATGGCTCGATTACTGAAATGGATGCACACTGACTATTGGCCCCAGATACCGAATGCTGACAGCATCACCATCTCACAGAACTCACCGGGGCAAACCTTCTTGGCATCGGCACGGGGGGAGGTGTCTGGGCCAGTATCGGAGACTTGCAGGAAGGCAGTTCTTCTGGGCAACCAGAGCTCTGAGGGGAAAGTGGGGTGCCAGGCAGCTTGCCCACGGAGCCACTACTGATCCGTCGATAGGATCGGGTGCTCTCAGAGCTGTAGAGGGAAGAGAAAGTGCATGTAAACAAAGGGTAGCCAAGGAACCCCCTGCATGCCAGGAAAGGGCAGCGCCACAGGCAAAAGTGGGTGGAGCCACAGATGTGACTCTAACCTTTGTACACTCCAGCCAGAAACGCTTTCCCCCCAGGCAAGCAAGAGGCTTCAAAGGCACATTCCAGCCAGGCAAAAGCACTCAAGGGAGGTGCAGATCAAGGCTGGTAAGGGCTGTGGCCCAGTGTGAGTCCTGAACCCCAGGCCCGAGGTTTTCCAGCCTAGCCCTAGAGCAAGGGTAGCAATAGATGCCTGGTGGTCTGCACTCAGTTCAGACCTAAAAATAACATTAGTTTGGTTGAGGCGGGACAGAAGGGAGCAAAGGCTCCACCTGCACTATGCGTTTAAAGCATCATCCTACCACTTTGAACAGCTATGGTTTCCTCCAAAGAATGCTGGGAAGCCAGAGTGCTTTAACAATTGATCCCTCTCTCTGCAGAACTCCGGGAAATGCAGCTCTGGGAGGGGAACAGGGGGTCTCCTAACAACTCTCAGAAACCTTAACAAACTACATTTCCCAGGATTCTTTGGGGGGAAGCCATGACTGCTTAAAGTGGTACGATACCGTTTTAAAAGTATAGTGCAAGTGGTGCCAAAATCAGTTTTCCCCAGGCCATTTATGGTAACCATACCTTGGACTAGACCCTTGAAGCCACTGCTAACCTACAAGGTGCTTGGCTTTCAGGCCTTTCCACAACTGACACCTCCTGGTCTCACCTGAACTTGACTGGGTTGGCTTGTCCTTGTTCTGGAGAGGTCCCAGGAGAAGGCTGTAGCACTGTTGCCTGACTGGGGTCCGATCTTCTGCGCAGGGAGCCACTTTCCTTTTCGGAGCAGGTTTCCCAGTAGGCTGTGCCTTTGACTTCCACAGAATTGCGGAAGTTCGACGGCTGCCGGGACGTGCCCCCATCTGGCATTCCAGGAACGCTGGAAGTGGACGAGTGCCGCCCCTCAGGGACATCTGGTGACTGAGGCAAGGACTCTGAGGGGTCTAGAAAGAAATGGGAAATGAATTACTTACTGAAGCAGAAACAGAGATCTCAGAGTTACATTGGCTAAGTAAACAGAAGGATGGAGGGTTGTAGTCAATGTTAGCCATACTCAGAGTCATCTATATCCAAAGAACTATGATACCTAGCACCCGTAACTGCAGTTCTCAAGACCCTTCGGGGAAAGCCATGTGTTTTAAATGTATAGATGTAGCTAATGCTAATGGACATGACTAACTTAGGCCCTTTAGTTTTAATGGGTCTATTAGGAGTAAAACCTAGTTGGGTATATCCTGGACACTTTTTTTCATACCTGGAAGGAGTGAGCAGTAAATAGAAGGTATCAGGCAATGATTTTAGTGCTTAATGGAGATACTGGATACAAGCTCCCAATGGATGCTAAGATCTTTCTACTTGGAGCACATAGGCAGCTGCTTAGGAGTTTGGCGATTACAGGGAGGGCATTACTGACTGCAAAACTGAAGGCAAGAACATCTGCTGGATATGCAAACATCAGAATGTAAGAATCAGAAAGTATGTCTGTACACATAAACTTAACATAATAAATATTAATGTGAGGGGAAATTATTTGATCACAAGATGGGTTCCATTTTATTCAACTCTCCAGCCAATGTGCCCCAAGAAAATGTCCATGTAGAGGTCTTGGCTATAATCTAAGATATAATGCATAGACACACACATACAGTATGTATAATATGTTGGGTGTAGTGAAGGGTTAACCTTCTGTGTCTCGAGGCTGAGAGGAGGCGCTTACAAGGGAAGTAAGCCAGGACGTGACGAAAGCAGCTTGGAATGCTGTGAGCTGAGTGAAAAGTGAAAGCAGTTTTGTTGCGCAGCTGCAAGCTGAGAGAGAAGGACGCAAAATGCAACTTGAATCAGATGGTGTTTCTGAATTGTAAATATGCTATTTTTGAGCAAATAAAGTGCTACTAGGAAAGAAGAAACGTGTGGGACTTTTTTTACTGCCCTTTCAACACGGACGCTGTGCAATTCTGCTAATTGCTTTACGACCTGCAGAGGCTCGCAGGGGGAAGTGTGCTGGACGCCAAGAGTAAAGCAATAAATCTACCTAACATAATATAAATATAATACATGGGTTTTCCCACATTGTGAATTTAGATATTGTATAATATGTGTCTCTCTGTGTGTATACACACTTCATTTTCCAATTGCAGCAGACTTGCTCTTTTTCTACTGGGGCTCTGATGCACACCTTTGCGCAAAGCATGTGGTCAGCCTTGTCACTGCTTGGCTCTACTTACCCAAAGCACTCTGCCCTGGTTTTGTCTTGGAATTCCCTCTGGTGGGGTTTTTGACTGGCAGCGGTGGTGGGGTCTCCTCACTTTTTGAGCTTCGCAGGCCAGGCCGTGAGGGGACCAGGATGGTCTCGTAGGTCTTGTTGCTGATGTCTATACCTGTGCAACTCCACCTGTTTGGAGGGAAGAGGGCAGGCTGGCCTGTGGTCGGAGACGATGAAGACCCAAAAGACCGCTGCAGTGGGCTCACCTATCGGAGAAAGCAGCAAAGCTCTGTTTCAATATCCCTATACCTCTTAGCTCACTGTTCCCCAGCCTAGTGCCTCCCAGACTTCATTGGATTACAACTTCCCTCATCTCTCACCACTGAGTCATACTAGTTGTTGTCTCAAAACATCTGGAGCGCATGACATCAGAAGAAGACTGTACTAGATGCTCATTACCTTCTTTCACTGCACTCAGGACCAGTTCCTGAAACTAACCCTTCCTCTGAGTCTTAAGGGCCTCTCCATGGCGCAAAAGCACATTCCAATTTGAGGCAGCAAATGGTGTCGAAATTGGTGCACATCTGAAGAGATTTGTGAGACACGAGCAAGAGTGAAGGCCATAGGAGTGAACCAGAAGAGCCCTGGCTAAAGACCCGTCTACTTCAACACTCCACTTTTCACAGTGGCCAACATGATGGCCATTGAGGCTTCCCAGCTGGTATCGGAGAAAGACTACCTCAAACCATGAGATTGCGTGGCTGGAGAGAAAGCAATGGGGTGAGAGAAACGGGCCAGTCTAGGCAGGTGGAGGACTTTGCAATGAAGTTACAGTCAAGCTGTGACTGTGGATGCAATGTTTATGAACCTGTTGAAGGGTTCTACCAGCTCCTTCCTTGTACAACCCCAGGCTGGCCATGTAGGTCCAGCCCTCAGAACCCAAGAACTGTCCTCTTGGATCAGACCAGAGGCCCATCAGGTCCAGCATCCTGTTCTCACAGTGGCCAACCAGATGTCTATGGGAAGCCCAAAAGTCGGACATGTGTGCAACAGCGACTCTCCACACTTGTGATTCCCAACAACTGGTATTCAGAAACGTTCCATCTTAGACAATGGAGGTAGAACATAGCTTACCCTCCATGAATGCCTGACCATCTTTTAAAACCCTCACAGCATCTTGTGAGAACAACTTTCATAAGCACGTGCCCTCTGGTTTCCCAACCACAGGACATCATTTACCAGGGCAACCAGAGGGCAAGACATCCTTACAGCAGCTTCAGTTCTTTGGTTTGCAGAGAAATACCTTCAGAGGATTTACACTGCATAGGACAGACTACAAGTTCCATGATCCCTAACCACTGGCCGTGTTGACTGGGGCTGATGGGAGCTGGGCTCCCCACTTCTGAATAAGGACAAACACAGTCAGAGCTCCTAACACACAGCACCTTCTCATCCAGCTCATCTTCACTGTCATAAGAAAACTCCTGAGGGGTTTCCCAGTCGTAGTCCAAGTGTATCTGGGAAGCCAATTTCCCCGCCTGGGCTTGCTCCAGCTGTAAACAAAGAGGACACAGAGACTCCATAGTCAGTTTACCAATGAGAAAGACCCTTCTGGTTCCTGCAAGTGATGTAGTGCTGCAAAACCTAACGCGCTTGGGGACACAATGGGGCTTACCCCCCCCCCAAGGAATCATGCACTGGAATCCTTCCAAATGCTACAGGAGGCAACGATGGGTCTGCTACTAACAGTGCAAACCATATCTACCCAGAAGTAAGTCCCACCAAGCTCAATGGATTCAACAACCAAGGAAATGTGAAGGCCAGAAACCGTCTTGGCTGTGAGTCCCAGAAGACATGCTCCCTGCAGACCTTTTCCATCTGGCCTGGGAAGATGGAACCTTGACTGACTCCAGCTACAAAAGCTGAGGCTGCTGAACGGACTCTTGGGCAGGGATGTTGTTGGGGGGGGGGGGTGTTGTTGCTGTTATTGATTTTTTTTATATCTTAATTTTATATCTTATAATTTACATGGAAATTGCTCAGTTTGGTTGCATATTTTTGGGTGTTTTATTTATTGTTTATGACCATTCTTGTTACGTTGTGATTATGTATTTTTTTTCCATGTTGCACGCCACCTTGAGCATCGTTTGAACTAGGGAAAGGTGGCATACAGATTAAATTAAGTATGCATGCATGTAAATGTTCTTAGGATTGTAGCCATAGCCAGTCAATTCCAGCTCACTAACAAGCACTGTTTGCAGGGTCTCCTCTGCCTGGACCTCAAGGCCCCTCCGCAAGCCACACCCCTCACCAGTCCTTAGCCACACCCTCCTCAAATGCCTTTGCCTGTCTGGAATGTGGCCGTGGACAGTGATAATGCCCACCTTTCCTTCAAGGAGCTCAAGATGACATACCAGATTCTCTCCTTCCTATTTAACCCCCACAGCAACCCCACGGGGTAGGGTAGGGCAGCAAATAGTGCCTGCTGCAAAAATCACTCAGCTAGCTTCATGGCTGAACGAAAAATTGAGCTCTGGCGTCTCAGGTCCATCACTCTAACCATCACACCATGTTGGCTTTCAATGTTTCACAGATGACCCCCAACCTACCAAGTCTTCACACTCGGCATGCTTGTACCTCCTCGCCACATCCAGAGGTGTTTCGCCAGCTGCATTTACTGAACAGAGAGAGAAAAACAAAGCAAGGCTGTAGGAGGTGTGGGGAGGGAAGGGGCATTTTAATATATTACCCCCACTTGAAAGAGGGCATAGAGCTGTTGACATATGTGGGCATCCCTTGCGCTTGAGCCAGAAGCTGCAGTTAGTGCAGAATGCTTCAGCATATAACACCTCGCTCACAGATCTGCACTGGCTGCTGACTTGCTATGGGGCTGAGTTCAAGGTGTTGCTGCTATCAGTATAGAAAGCCCTTCATAACTTTGCCTCCGAGATTTCCTTGCCCCATATATATCCACTTCAATCTGCAGAACTGCTCCTGTTACAGGTGCCACATAATACCTTTCAGTGTGGCGGCACCTAAACTTTGGAACTCCCTGCCTAGTGACATCAGCCGGGCGCCTTCACTTATCAAGTACTCTTTTCGGCGCCTGCTAAAAACGTTTTTGTTTAGGTGAGCTTATCCAGAATGCCGATGTGTGTTTTAACCTGCTTTTAGTTTATCGTCAATTTTTCCCGGAACACTTTAAATTGTTGTTTTTAACTGCTTTTACCAAGAATTTTATGGTCTAATTATTACTATTATTTTGCAAACTGCTTTGATGTTTTTTGCAATCGAGCAGTGTATACATTTTATGAAAGAACCAAACCAAGGCTCATTTTGTGCATGCCTGAAGAGAAGCGTGCTTATGTATTTGCACATCTTAGAGGAAGTCACCTGGGGGCCATATCCTACCTGCATTTGTAGAGGCTTTCCCCTTCAGCAGGAGCTTGATGCAGTTGGGCTGATTATACTGAGCCCCATAATGCAGGGCTGTGCTCCCATCTGGAGTGGGCCGGTCCAGATTTCCCCTGAACACAGACAAGACAAACGAAGGGCAAAATCCAGGTTTTTTTAAAAAAGAAACTGAAAACACAAAGCCTAGTTTGTCAGTTCTCATGGCTGCAGGGGAGATCTCCTTAATCTTCCCCATGCCCATCTCCTCTCTCCAGGCTTCTCAGTCACCCCTTCCTGTCCTTACTTTAGAAAAGAACTCTGAATTAGCCAGAAATTCAGAGTCTTGGGGTTTTGTGCAACGCAGCACTAAGCAGATAATTTCGTCAGCACCAGGATTTCTTCTTGTGCAACAGAACAGTCTCTCCCTAAATCTGTTCTGGGGGTTCCCTCAACCCTCCAGAGCAGATTTTGGGGTGGCATAGTGTGTGCACGGGATGGGGGGGGTGAGGAAGAGAGGAGGGGAAATCCCCTTGCACTAACGCAAAATTTTAGTTGAAATCCACCTATACGTTTTGCAAATGGGACCTGCATCAACAATAATACACTAAACTTAATGAGAGTAGAGAGACCACAGCTCAGAGGCTGCATGCAGAAGGACGCCGGTTCAGTCTGCCTCATCTCCATGTAAAACTGGGCAAGACCTTAGCCTTAAACCCTGAAGAACCATGGCCAGTCAATGTGGACAATACTGAGCTAGAAGAGCTAATGATTTGACTCGGGTGAAGCCGCTTTCTATGTTCCTCTGAGTTCAGGGTTCTTGTCAGCCATTCCTTCCAAACAGGACACTCCATTTCTCTATCCCCACGCCTCTAGTTTTACATTTCTTTCTAACATTTCTCACATTCTGTGCCCACTGAGCATGCTCAGTTCTTATCAGGCTATTTGGGAGGGCAGGGCTCTCCTCAAGTTTTTGTGTCTAAAGATTTTGTACCTTTGCAAAACTCAAGATTCCCTTAAGCAAGCTTGATAACTCTTCCTTGGTCACGTTTGCGCCATACATTAAAAGAACATGGCTCCTGGGAACTGCAGTTCCCTGGCACAAGGGTACAATTCCTGGCACCCTTTATGAACTACACTTCCCAGGATTCTTTAGGGGTGACCCTGATTTCTCAGTGGCTCCATTTCTACCAGCACCCACCAGCTGTGCCCACTATTAAGCAGACTGATATCACATCCAACTGAACCTGATTGCACAACTCTATGTGCAGAATTCTGCCTTCCTGCATACCTCCTTGTCTATAGGTAGTGGAGAGTTCTCAACGCTGAGCCTTACCCGTTCTGAATAATGAAGTCAACCAGAGGGAGGGAAGTCTTGTTGGCATAGCGCACAGCCAGATGCAAAGCCCGCTCACCTGGTTCCTATGAGAAGGGCAAAGAGGCAATCCTTTGCAAACCTTTCTGTGCTAGAGCTCTGCTCTGATAGATCAAGTCAGATGAGGTGGGGGAAGGACAAAAACCAATCAACCACAAGTCAAAGGAAATCCTGTGTAAGCTGCCTGGGTGTTGGCTCTACTGTTTGGGCTCCCTGCCTCTACCAACCACTCCTATATCGGGAAGTTTTTAATGTTTGATGCTTTACTATGTTTTATATATGCTGTGACCGGGACACGGGTGGCGCTGTGGGTTAAACCACAGAGCCTAGGACTTGCTGATCAGAAGGTCAGTGGTTCAAATCCCCGTGATGGGGTGAACTCCCGTTGCTCTGTCCCTGCTCCTGCCAACCTAGCAGTTCGAAAGCATGTCAAAGTGCAAGTAGATAAATAGGTACTGCTCTGGCGGGAAGGTAAACGGTGTTTCCGTGCGCTGCTCTGGTTTGCCAGAAGCGGCTTAGTCATGCTGGCCACATGACCCGGAAGCTGTATGCCAGCTCCCTCAGCCAACAAAGCGAGATGAGTGCCGCAACCCCAGAGTCGACCATGACTGGACCTAATGGTCAGGGGTCCCGTTACCTTTACCTTATATATGCTGTAAGCCAGCCGGAGTGGCTGGGGAAACCAGCCACCACAATGTGGCAGGCCATTATTTATGGGGTCTTGTGATGCCGAAATGCTTCCAGCTAGCTAAGTGATGGCTCACACCTCGTTCCAGTGTTTCCCCTGCGCACACACTCAGTTTTATTCTGCTCACCTGGCCTTCGGGGCTGGCTAGAGGTTTGGACAGGTCGTGGCCCTCTGCAAAGGCCTGAAGCAGAGCCAGGAGATCCCTGCTCCGGATTGCTTCCCAGAGGCGGCAAGGCTCATCCCTGGCTGCTTTGTGAACGTACTTGCGCTCCATGTACTTGGCCATGATGAATTCCTTACGGGCATTCCTGCATGGAGGGAAGACGGAGAGGTCTCAAACACGGCACCTGTCGTCTAACCCACTGCAATGCAGGAAACCCTGCCCACAGCTGTCCCAGGGTGGGCTCGAAGCGCCAACCTTCTGGTTAACAACCAATGCACTCCCCCCCCCCGCTTGTTTCAGTTTCTACTCACATATCACTGCTTGAGGAGGGTTTCGGGCTCACAGGGACTGGCAAAGTGGCCTCCATGACTTCATTAAACTTGGCATTGCCAATGCTGACTGCCAGCTGTAAGAACAAGGAAAGGAACCGGTGTTACTGGAGGGGAGACGTATCTCCATGAAGCATTGAGGACATACAGGCTTTGGGTGGGTGGGTAGGTGGGGGAAGGTCCTGGGCAAAATCTCTCCCTGCCGGGCCCCCTCTTCTGTTTTAAGAGGCCTTCCCAGGCTTCTTGACAATGGTTTGGGAGGATCAGTGGTGCTCTGAGAAGCGATGAGAGCGCACCATTAAAAACACTCCCCACAATGCCCCAGGGAAACAGGGCATTGTGGGAAATGGGAACGTAGGCTAGACCCAACTGTCTGGCCAGGGGGGTAGAAAATGAAAAGGAGGCCCAGGGCAGGCATCAGCAGTGGGTGTTGCCTAAGGATGCCATGTGACAATAATAATACTGTAGGTAGAAGAGCTTCCCATAGGTGTCCATTTGCCTAGTTGGTAAGGCAATCCAAGGCAAAAGGCCTCCCCTCACCTTTCTCTACTCCGGACAGCAAGTGAAATCTCTTTTGTTTAGGGAGCCGTTAGAGAAGGACAGGGATAAGAGGATTTAGGAAACTCTTTGCTGCTTAACTTTTTGTATTTATTGCCGTGATGGGATGATTTGCTCTGGATACATTTCTATAATATGTTTATGCATTTCGATTACTTTCTCTTATCCTTGAAAATCTAAACTACGCTAAAAGAAAATGACGGCATTCTAACCCAATATATATTTTAAGTCCCCACAACCACCCTGAAGGTATGAAAAGGCATAGAGTATAAAAAGGAAAAGGGGTCCCTGATTAATTCTCCACAAGGAGCCTTTCCTTCTTTATTTTAGGGCCAGGGTGGGGAACATACGTTGGACTACAGTTTCCATCACCCCTGAGTATTGACTATTCTGGCTGGGGCTGATGGGAGCTAGAGTCCAGCAGCTTTAGGGGGTCCACAGGTTGCCTATTCCTATTTTGGGTTATCAAGTTTCTGCCTTTCCAAGCGGCGTCACTTTACAGACAATGTGTTGCTCTTAGGGACACAGCAGCTACTGTCATGCAAGAAGAGATCTAAAGCAGCAGGACTGGGGAAACTATGGCCCTCCAGATGTTGTTGGGACTACAACTCCCATCATCCTTGACCACTGGGCCATGCTGGCTAGGGATGATGGGAGTTGGGAGTCCAGCAACACCTGGAGGGTCAGAGATCCTCTACCCCTCATCTAAACCAACCCCAAGGGCACTTAGCCGGTTCCTGCTAGATTTAAAATCTGTTTGTAGGCACAAAAATACCTGGTTTTACACCAGATTTAGCTTCCCACTGTTGTGCCGGTGAGTTCAGGATGCCAAAGAATTTGATGCCACCATGGAGGAAGCAACTTTGGCAGTGTCGCTACAAAAGAGAAAAGTAAGGAGGCAAAACAGAAGTGGGGGAAGGCTCACTCTGTTTCCAACGCACAGCCTTTGTGCTTACCAGCAGTTCAGAAGTGCTGAGCACATCCAGGGTCAAAGACTGGATTCGGGAGTAGTGCACCCCCAACTCACGGTGGATCCCTGAACACTCGATGCATGTCAGAATGCCAAGGTTGGTGGAGAGCCACGTGGGATCTGAGAGAGAAGCCAAGTACAGAGATGCTACATGAAAAAGGTGTTTTCTCCCTGCCAAGACTCATTCCTTTCCCACCTTGACATGTAAGCAGGTTACAAAAGGACAGTGGGTACAAGTTGTTGGAAACCCCATGGAAGTGAAGGCAATGGCTAAGAGACTCTTTGGCACAGCCCTCATCCATTTCAATTAGGCTGACATGGAAATATTCCCATTGGACAAATATAGGCAATACGTTGATTAGTACAAAATGGAAGAGACGTCATTCAGTTATGAGGAACATTATGATTTTAAAATTGCATCTTTTTTCTTTTTCGTATACAGTAATACTTGTCGATCTATGACAATAATAAGTACGAACATACTCTGAAAACAAGAATATGTATAATTGTAATATGTAAAGTTATGATGTAAAGATATACTTGTGAGTAATGAAAAACTAATAATAATAAAAAAGGAAATATTCCCATTGGATCAGAAGGCTTATGGAGACTTGGGCCTTAGATTTTGTTAAGAGGTCGCATCAAATCAAATCCTTTATTAAGGCAACCAAATACAGTTGTAGCCAAACAACTTAAGAACTGAACTTCTTAACAAAAATAAAAGCTTGACCCACACAGTAAATAAAAACATACAAGTGGCAACCATTTTGTATAGGAGATCCATTCCTGGCCCCTGCATGTGTTGGTGGCGCGCCCATAAGCCCACCACCACCCTCTTCTGGGTCCAAAAGGACCCACATGTCAATTGGACGTGTACAAAATGGTCAACCCCTGTACATAAAAAACAAAATCTTAGGTTTGAGCATGTCCTTGTCTAAAGCTGAGCAGCCTTCGCTGCGAATTTAGTGGCATTAAACATTACAGATATGTCTGTACCAGACATCAGATATGTAATACTACCCATATCACTGCTAAAGATTTCTCTAAATATTTTTGCCTGGGTATTTCACGGTTTACAGTATACCATGTAGCATACATGACATCCTCTAGCCATGGGCTACCACATACACAAAAGCAGCAATCTCTGGAGATTTTCTAAAATCTTCCTTCCAGAAAATTAAGACTTTATGGTCTGAAAATGCAGGTGTGCTTTGCAGAGCAAAGGTGGATTTTGCTCAGTTAAGCATTCCTCTTCTCCCTGCTGCGATTTTAAGGCGGGGAAAGTACTGGGAAACTCTGGACAAGGCAATGGCATCCACATCCCTGCTGCACCTACCTGGGGCTCCGCAGTCACAGCATTGCCTGTTGCCTGGCATGTTCTTCACCTCGCCAATGATGAGTTTGGTGAGCTCTTGCAGCCCCCCATCTGCCCTGCTGCCGGCCGAAGACATGCACCCCCCTGGGTCCCCCTTGAAAGCGTTGCTGAGTGCTTCGTCCTTGCTGTTCTGTAGCACCGAAACCCACCTGGTTCGTGGGAAAGAACACCCATCAGGAACCCATTTGATTTGCAGGCCAGGACAAATGCCTTTCGTGACTGCAGTCACTAAAGAAAGACCTTTTTTACATTTAAAGAAATATTTCCATTTCTTTAAACAAGAGCACATACTTCAGTAACATTCAAGAATTAAAAACAACAACAATACAGGAGAATACGAATTTAACATGGACACACAAAACATAAAATTTGGGTTGTTTCATTCATGGAAAAAATAATTGTCAGTGTTGGGAGGTAGTAACGTTTCAAAACAGATTTGCTTTATTTATAAATATCAGGATATTGCCCTCCAGATCTTATGATACTATTACCTAAAGATGAAAAGTTACTAGGCATTCGAAATACCACTGGGGGCACCTATCTCAATATTGTCCACACTGACATTCCACCCACACTATACATCTGAAGCAGTGATCCTACCACTTTCACAGCCTTCCCAAAATGATTCCCAAGAACCGTAGTGTGTTAAGGGTGCTGGGAGTTGTTAGGAGACCACTGTTCCCATCAGAGAGCTACAGTTCCCAGTGTTTCTTGGGTAGAGGGACGGACTGTTAAACCACTCTTGAAACCTTAGCTCCGTACGGGGAACAGGGGTCTCCTAACAGCTCTCGGTACCCTCAACGAACTATCATTCCCAGGATACTTTGGGGGAAACTGGCAGACAGCGGCTCTCGAAGGTTTTAGACCAGGATCTGGAAATGACAGGGGTTGAACCTGGTATCTTTTTGCATGCAAGGCAGATTCTCTACCACTGAGCAATGGGCCCTTTGGGAGAGAAAAACCCAAAACAAACCAGGGATGTAACAGCAGGAAGAGAAGTAAGAACATGTTTATTTCCCCCTTAGCAAATGCTTGTTCCCCTCACTAATGCTACAAGCAGTTTTCCCCAATCCGAGGGGCAGGAGGCCTAAGGCAGAGAGAACAAGCAGCAAGGGACTTACACAATACATTCGTGCTCATCCTCTGCTTGGAAGTGGTAAGTCCTGTTATCTGTAAGGAGAGGAAACTTGGATGGGTGAAAGAGTAAAGAAGCATGAAACTTCTCTCAATTTGTAGCATAACAACAACAACCAGAGTTCATGGCATTTTAAAATGGGAAGGGAGCTCAGTGGCCATCCAACTGCTCAGTCCAGGAATCTTGCAATCTCAGCTGCAAAGAACTTCCCCCCAATGCATGTTCCCAAATGGTAGATAGTGTTAGACTCTTTGGCAGCTGCCTGAATATCAGGGCCAGTTCATACTGCGGCTTAATGCAGACTGCAAACCCTCCTCCAACTACTGCAGCCCCTAATTTCTTCTCCCTAATATGGAGATTCCCTACACTTCGACAATCCGAATAGGAGATCTATATCAATTGCATAAGGAATCTCTGGATTTATGGAGGAGAAGTTGTGGGACAGCAGTAGCTGGATGACAATGCCGCTTGGATCAGGGGAAATTAAAGGGGTTTGTCGTCTGCATTAAGCCAAATTCTGAACAGTCTCTCAATCTAGGGCTGGGACAACCCCTGCATAGCCCCCAGCCTCTACGCATAAAGAGCAAGGAGCAGACATGTTAAGCATATATGTGCAACTTCATGCAAAAAAAGAAAAAGACTTACAAAGTGGGTGGGCATACACAGAACTAAAGATCAGGGCACCTGTGAGTGTTGTCTCAGCCCAGGAATTTGTATTTGGTAGCAGAAATGTGCTCACAATCCTTTCACACAAAAATACAGTCCTGGTTTCTTCCACCCAAGTTTTGTTCATTTCAGAATTCTATTTTTTGTTTTGTTTTTGTTTATGGGTAGGAGAGTTGTTGCTGTCAACTGGGAGTGATGCGTCCTTGGTGATCTACTGCAAATCACCCAAAGACCAACCAATAGTTAAGAACAAACCCTTTACATGTGACTAATACATACCAAGTCAGGCAAATATATTTGTAGCTTTCACATCAGTTCACAGTTCTCAAGGATAGGTTAAAAAATACATTACAACAATTCCAGGAAGGCAAATTCTGAAGGATTCATGAAGAAATGATATTGTTTGTGATGTTTTGAAACAACAGATTTCCAAGATACAGTTCAAGTGTTTGCATTTTCTTATTTATTATGCATCGTTGTATATTGTGCAGTGGGCAATGATATTTGTATGAATTATAAGAAAGGAAAATGTTTGTAGGTTTAGTATAAATTGTATATTTTTTTAAAAAAAAAAATTACAACCCCCCAAGTCACTATTTTAAAAATGAACATATTTAAATGTTTGTTTTTCAGAGTTTCAGATGAAACTGATTTGCAGCTGACCTCTGGGGCAAAGTTCATCTCAACCTGCAGAGCAGTAAGTGTTTTGCTTCATAAAAACTGCTTGATGTTATCAATACTCTTGATAACGTTTAGGAAAATATTGGGGTTTAAAAAAAAACAACAACCAACAACCCGTAGCTAAATGAGCTGTAAGAGTTAGGTAAATGCCAATAAACTGATGTTAACCATGCTACCATGCCCTCATTCCATGCATGCAACAACACAGTTGAATCCCACCCATTGTTGTTCGTTTGGGGCATCCGTCTGCCTTGAGAGACAATGGAGTGCACCTCCAGGGGTGAATTGAAACCACTATGTTAGCAGCACCAGTGACCTCCCCAGGGCACAAACCTGGGCAGTGTGTATGGAGTTCCTGGGCTGCCCAGATGACAAGATCCTCCTCTCAGCCTCACTCACGTGGCCCAAAGGAAAGCAGAGCAGTAATTTCGGTACCAGCTTGGCTGCAGGAGCTGCTGGAAGAAGGCCTACAAGGTGCCACCCAACCATCCTAGGGACTCCACTCCGGATTTCTTATCCCAAAGATAAGCCAGTGGAGGTTTAGGATCAGAGCTTCCCTTCCCTTAGATGAGCTATCTTCCAACGTTGACAACCCCCCCTTTGATCCTTGCTTTCCTCTACAGCATTGTGCAGAAACTGCCTTCTTGACTGTCAGACCCGCCATTGGTCTCGCCCACTCAATCCCGCCTGCAGGGTGCATGAAGTACAGCGGTTTAAATTCACTTACGTGTCACAAGGTCAAAGGACTTTTTATCCTCCGGATGAGGCCTCACTTGGCAGGTCAACAGATTTAACTTGACGGGAGGCCGATTTATCTGCATAAAAGGCAAGAGAAATGGTAGCAGAGTAAGCAAACAGACTCTTCCCTATGGCCTCTATTCGCCCCAAGCTCCCTGAGCTTCAGACTGGAGAACTATGTAAGTGGAATGGGCAAGATTCTTCTGTACCTACAATGTACCACATAGGAGTAGAATGGAGGCTATAGGACAGGGGTAGGCAACCTAAGTCCCAGGGGCCAGATGTGGCCTAATCGCCTTCTCAATCCGGCCTGTGGACAGTCTGGGAATCAGTGTGTTTTTACATGAGTAGAATGTGTCCTTTTATTTAAAATGCATATCTGGGTTATTTGTGGGACATAGGAATTCGTTCCAAAATATAGTCCGGCCCACCACATGGTCTGAGGGACGGTGGACCGGCCCACGGCTGAAAAAGGTTGCTGATCCCTGCTATAGGATTTTCTCTGGCACAGAAAATACCAATTCTAACCACAAGAGGGCATATTCAAACCACATATTAGACACATATGAAACCTGGTCAAATCACCTTGTGGGTTTAGGGTTTTCTGCTTTTATTTTACCACATCGAAGTGCAATTTACAAAACCAGACCTGACACAAGCAGCAATCCATAACCACTAGGGGGGAAAGTGGTTATGACCACCACAGGAAGGTCTGAGGACCACACAGGCAACAAAAAGAAAACAGTACGAGTTAGGATGCGGAAAGAAATGAAACACGTTGCTTTTGGCTTCGCATCTGTCTTGAGAGACAGTGGAGTGCACCTCTGGGGGTGAAGTCAAACTGCTGGATTAGCAGCACTGAAGTGATGTCCCCGAGGTGGAAGCCTAGGTCGTATATATGGAGACCCTGGGCTGCCCAGACAGCAAGAACCCCCTCTCGGCCTCGCTGATGTGGTCCAAAGGAAAGAAAAGCAGTGTGTTTGGAAACAAATACCTACAAGACAACTGGATGAAAGAGAATGGAGAAAGAGGAGCTGGCCGAGGAACACAGAAAATGAATTCTGAGAGGTGAAGCAAAGACAGGAAAGGGACCTGGGGGCCCAGCCTCCCTGCTAACCACAGGCCCCATCCGAAACCACCTTCAACAGAGTGGCAAGATATTAGCAGGGCAAGCCGAGAGAGGCAAAATGATTTTATTTCATTTCGTTATTACAGTGGTACCTCGGGTTACATACGCTTCAGGTTACATACGCTTCAGGTTACAGTCTCCGCTAACCCAGAAATAGTACCTCGGGTTAAGAACTTTGCTTCAGGATGAGAACAGAAATCGTGCTCCGGCAGCAACGGGAGGCTCCATTAGCTAAAGTGGGCAGTTCGAGGTTAAGAATGGAGCTCCGGAACGAATTAAGTTCTTAACGCGAGGTACCACGGTATTACACTTACTTCCCTCCATTTCTCCAAAGAGCTGGAGGTGGCGTAGACACTTTCTCGCCCTCTCCCTTTCAGCCTTCTGAGGGAGGAGAGACTGAGAGATAGGGACGGACCCAAAGACACCCAGTGGGTTTCATATGACTGAGTGTGAATTTGAACCCAGGCTCTCCCAGATTCTAGGGTTACCACTCTGACCTCTTCACCACACAATGGCTCTTGTGTGGGGAACCTCCAGCCACAGGTCAAGTCTATCCTGCAAGCCTCCACATTTGGGCTGCCCGTTGGTTTCCCCCAACCACGCACCCTGCCCCATCCCGGACATCGCACATTCGCTAAAGCCTTGAAGGAATTCCTTTAAAAAACCTTAATGCACATCAGTGCGGACACACCTGTAGCTTTCAGGCAAGCAGGCAACTCTTTGGGCAAGAATTTCCACACCCACCTCCCATAAGCCCTACGTACCGTGCTGTGCGAAATTGTGAGGCATCCGTACTTCACGCCACACTTCCTCTTCTGCCACACTTTCCGAATCCTGGGACACCAAGAAAGAAAGGCAGCGCAAATGCAGTTTTATATCCCAGATCATCTCCCCTGGAAGTCACAAATGGCAAAATGCTGGACTTCCTCTCTTTAGAGGCTTGGCATGCATTTTCTTTTGGCAAAGGATCCCGCCAAGTTAATGGTTGTGTGTGGGGAAGCACTTTTGCATCCTAAACGCTAAATAATTTTATTGCAGTGGAATCATTGCAGGCAAACGCTTTTAAAGGCCATTCTTCAACAGGTGGCAGAAAAAGTCAGCTGGATGAAACATGGGTATGTGTCCATCCATGCGCATGCACGTTTGGTTAAAGGTGGATCCCGGGAAAGACTACAGAGCTATCAAACGCAGGAACAGCTGCTCCTAGACTGTGCCGTGTCAATTTCAAGGCAAAAAACTGCAGGTCTGAGGGTCACTAGCGTCACATAGAAAGCTTTCATCAAGAAGCAGTGACAAGCCAGCATAGCATCGTGGTCAGAGTGTTGGGACTAGGAATGAGGATATCAGGGATCAGATCCCCACTCAGCCGGGAAGCTTCCTGGCTTCGCACCAGCTCAATCCTAACACTAATATGGTTCAGACAAACCATCCCGTATAGCAGGTGGTGTTGACCTTTTGGGGTCCATGGCCTCATGTGCAAACTGGAGAAACTGTTGGGGTCACCAAGCACACAGATGCACCACAACAGAATACTTCTTTAAAGCCTAATTCCAAGGGGTGGTGGGGAGAGACCTCTCTAAGTGCACGCAGTACCTGTTGGATCTCAAGTGAGATGCAAGAACCCTCCCAAAGAGACATTTGCATCGCTTTGGGCCACCACCTTCTGGAGATCCAACACAAAGACAATTGCACGTTCTCACCCATCGCTTTTCTTGTGCAGAAAACCCGATTTCTCAGTCCCATATTGCTTGTTCCCTTGGTGCTGGTGGATGCTGTAGCCACTGCCGGAGTTCTTCCTGCTGAGGTTTTCCTGAGAGTTGCAAGGACATGTGAAACATAGTGATTCTACACATGGGATGCCCCACTGTGAACCTCCTCCTTCCCCACACAGATACATAGCCGCTGGCTCAAAATCCCTTTGGGAGGCAATCTATTCTCACAAGCAAGGCTAGCTCAAGGACCTGGGTGGAGCAGTATAGACGCTGCCAATTCTACTAAAGGTGAAAGGTGTGTACAGTCATACCTTGGGTTACAGACACTTCAGGTTGCGGTTTTTCGGGTTGCAGACCGCTGAAACCCGGAAGTACTGGAACAGCTTACTTCCGGGTGTTGCACATGCGCAGAAGTGCCAAATTGCAACCTGTGCGTGCGCAGACATGGGTTGCAAACGCTGCGGGATGCAAACGTGCATCCCGCACGGATCACATTCGCAACCTGAGCATCCACTGTATAAGCAAGATCAGCTGCATGGCCAAAGCGTGATGCAAAAATCTTGTTTCAATACAAAACACCTAGCCAGATTTAAATGAAGCAAAACATAAATGATTAACTATGATTTCATGAATCAAGTGATATAAGAGCATAAGAAGAGCCCTTGCTGGATCAGGCCTGTGACTTATCTAGTCCAGCATCCTGTTCTCACAGCAGCCTGTAAGAAGCAGCTCCTGAAAGCAGGATTTGAGTGCAATGGCAGCCTTCCCATTGACGATTCCCAGCTACTGGTATTCAGAGGCACGCTGCCTCCAATAATAGTGGAGGTGGAACACAGCTATCATGGGGAAAGTCAGTGTGGTATAGTGGCTGAGAGTGTTGGACTAGGACACAGGAAACCAGGGTTCAAATCCCCACTTCGCGAGGTTACCTTAGGGAAGCCACAACATCTCAGCTTAATCTTGACAAAGTTGGAGGAGGAGGGGAATTATGTTTGCCACCCTTGAGGTCTTTTTTGGAGGAAAGGTGGAAAATAAATGTAATGATCAACAATAGTAGCTACTGATAGCCTTAACCTATAGTCTCATCTTCTTTTAAAGCCATCCAGCCTCAAACTAAAACAGAATGGGATCTCGAAGGTGTGCGCAACCTCTTTCACATACACACACACAAAAAGTGCTCACAGGAAACTCACCCCTTTGTTCTCTAGCTGCAGGATGCCTCGGAGGGAGTCGCGGATGCGAGTGAGCTGCTTGACCTCCTCTTCCTTCACCTGATGAAGCTAGAAAGGGAGGAAGATGCTGAGAGGAAAATCGGGTGCAGGCTGCACAAACCCGGTCCAGCCCATCACTAACATTGCAGCAGCCACCTCTAAACAACATTCTTAGGCGTTGTTCTGCTGTTGAGACTTGTTCTATTAATCCCAGGGAGTTAAGGGGGGGCAAAATCAAGAGTGAAGTCTCCCACAGAACAAACCTATCTCACTGTAGGGTTCTACAAACTTTGAGGGGTTAATGCAGAACATTTCTATTTGACAGATCATTCTCCAAAAAGGAGGACAGACGGTTTTACCCCTTCTGTTATAATGGACTCCCTCAAACCACAAGCTACAAATCTGGGCTTCATTTTTTAAAAAGAATTCAGCTCTACCCTCAAACGTAACTATTTATGGAGCTTCACAGGTGAAAAACCACACGAGTCTCTTCACAATGGAAAGAACAACAGAAGAGAGGAATATGGGTCAGTACAGTTACACATACTTAAATAATTCCTTATACACACACTCATCCAAGCCCCTCTTTAATCTCCACGCAGGCCAGCCAGAGGCATTGTCAGAATTCAAGGATATTTTCTAGTCAGGCAAAACACTCAAGGAGGGCGCAAACTAGGGCCAGTGAGGGGTGTGTGTCTTGGGTAGAGTCTCGGGGGGCAGATAGAGAGGCTTGGGGGGCCAAATTTGGTCCCTGGGCCTGAGATTCCCCACCCTGCAGTAAACCAGTGCTTTAGTCCAGAGCTGCAGGTGCAGTTAAGAGTCCCTTGCAAATGCTTTAGATGAGACAGATCCCTTAATGACTTACTGCATGTAAGGACGTTGCTAGCTTCTCAATGAATGGGTACAGGTTCTGAGACGCCTTCCAGCCATCTTGGAAGAAACTGGAAATATTTCGGTGTTGTCGTTTTCAATCAGCAAAAGTAATGTTTCAAAAAGGGAGGGCGAGAGAGAACATTGTGAAGTTAGCTTGCATTGTCAGAGAGCCACAGCAAAACATGAAGTGATCAGCTGTCACTTAAGAAGCCCCTTCACAGGAAGTGATGCGGGCAACTGGCCAGAAGCTGGACTTCCTGAGGCGCTTACTTGTGCTGTGCATGATAGAACTTGATAAGGCTCTGCAGAAAGTCTGGTCCTTGCTTCATTTGGCTTTCGTTGGCTTTCAGAAGATACTAGATGACAGGGGAAGAAAAGAGGAAAATGCCCGGTCAGCATCTAATGATAACAGATTTTTCAAAATGGTGTTGGTAAAGTTGTCACTGCGTGACTACTTTGCTCTCTCCCTTTAGTTGAGATTCCTGCACCGCAGAGGGTTGGACTAGATGACCCCTGAGGTCCCTTTCAACGCTACAATTCTAGAATTAAATGACCTTTGGGGTCCCTTGCAACCCTACAATTCTGTAATTCAATTTTGACTGATGCACCTTAATATTTTATGTTAGAATTTAAAATTTCATAGTGCTTACAGTATCAAAATGAATCTATTTGGACTGGCATACTGTGTTTTGAACGCTGAGGTGCCAGTTTGCATTCTTGTTGTGTCATCAGCAGCTTTGGGGGAGAGCACCATACACGTTGCATAAGTAAAAAAATTTTTAAAAGTAAAGTAAAACAGGCGCCTGCTTCTCTAGATATACTAGACACGCCTCATATCTTTCCCCTCCTGCTATTGCTCCTCTGGCACAGAGCTGCGAGCGAAGAAGGAGTGCTTCCATGTGCTGTTATTTATTTAACAGTGAAGCTATTCAAAGGGATGACTCACTCGCTGGCGGAGCCCCAACCCTTCCACCCAAATCAAGGAAGAAAGAAAAGGGGAAAAAACCACACAAAGGAAGAGGGAAGCTGCCACCCGCCCAACACTGGGGAGCTCTTTTAACCCTTCTGGAAAACCCAACCCTTCGCAGCTCACAAGGAGCCAACAGTCAGCCTCCTCTCCCGATTTCTCGCACAGCTGAAAACCCCACATATCAAGATGGCTGAATGCCCCTCGGGAGCCAAAACTCACATTAACCTGTTTCACCGACCTGCAAAGACTGTTGCCTTAAGCAGCTGGGGGTGAGGAAGGTATTTCTTTCCCCCAATAGCTGTACTTAACATTATACCAAGGGGCCCCAAGGACAGAACGGCTGGAAACTACTGCAAGAAAATAAGAACCCTGCAGCCCCATCCTGGTTCTTAGGGCAGCCAACCGGATGTTGTTAAAGGAAGCCGCCAAGCAGGACCTGAGCATAACAGGAAGGCAAGTCTTGCACTCACAAGCAGGAGTCCGCCATTCTGCAGCGCTCACCACCCTCACCACGGCAAGTGTCTATTGCTCTTTGGGCAAGAGTAACAAGAGGCACCTGGTTTCAGATGGAGGGCTGCATCTTTCCACGGGCAACCTCGCATGCCAATGATCGGCAACTCCAGAAGCAACCGGCACTAGCCAGAGACTGTTGGAGGCTGGTTCACCTGGGCGATTAGGGCACTGCCCCACCAACCTCAGTCTGCTCTCAATCAGCCATCACCTGCCTATTTTCTTAGATCACATCCACATCATGTGTTTAAAGCATATGGCCTCCCCCAAGGAATCCTGGGAACTATAGTTTTCCCACCGCAGAGCTACAATTTCCAGCGCCCTTAAACTACAGTTCCTGTGATTTGGGGAGGGGGAGAGACTAGGTAAAGGTAAAGGGACCCCTGACCATTAGGTCCAGTCAAGGACGACTCTGGGGTTGTGGCGCTCATCTCGCTTTACTGGCCGAGGGAGCCGGCGTACAGCTTCCGGGTCATGTGGCCAGCATGACTAAGCCGCTTCTGGCGAACCAGAGCAGCACACGGAAACGCCGTTTACGTTCCCGACGGAGCAGTACCTATTTATCTACTTGCACTTGGATGTGCTTTCGAACTGCTAGGTTGGCAGGAGCTGGGACCGGGCAATGGGAGCTCACCCCGTCATGGGGATTTGAACCGCCGACCTTCTGATAAGCAAGTCCTAGGCTCTGTGGTTTAAACCACAGCGCCACCCGTGTTCCTGTGATTTGGGGCAGGGGGAGAGACTATGTACTTTAAATGGATGGTGTGATTGTGAGCCTACAGTCCAGAGGGTTGCATTAGCTGTCAGCTTCCCACGGTGCTGCCCTTGTAGAATTCAGCAGGCAGGATGGGAACGTCACTAGAATTAGTTGGCCCTGCTCGTCATTGGCTCCATTTCCACTTCCTGTTGGCCACCCTACCATCTGCCCCACCAAACTCAGTGGTCACTTGCCACCATGCACCAGAGGGGAACAGTGGGTAAAGCAACAGATCGGACTCTCACCTTTGTACAGTAGGCCGTGCAAATGACAGGGCTTTACACTCTCACACACACACACTTAACTCAGCCTCCATCTAAGCAAGGAAGGAAGCAAGAAGCCTCACCAAGGATAAATATTCAGCAAAAGCACTAGGTGAGAGTACAGAGCGCAGCTGGGGGAATCCCAGCCACATGTGGGCCCAGAGCCAGGGGTGTCACATCCTGGCTTAGAACGAGTGACAGGGAATTATCCTCAATTCCAAGCAGAAAGTTGGGGTTGGCAGTCGGAGCCCCTGATTTCTCCTCCAGCTCTGAAAAGCTGGAGAGGGCTGTTTCAGAAGTAAGGGAAATGTGTCCCTTGCAACACAGAAAAGCAGATGCGTTCTTACCTCCTGCTGTAGTAGACAGAAGGGGGTTGTGCCTGGTCTCTCATGGTGCCAGGGACTAAGGCTGCAGCGCATAGTTATGGAACTTGCTCCTGCAGGAGGCAATGACCAAGCCATCAACCAAGATGGCTATAAAGAGGTTTAGACAAATGCATGGAGGAGAGGGCTGCTGATGGCTACTAGTCACAAAGGCTATGATCTGCCTCCACATCTACCTGGTTGTATCCATTCTGCCCCACCGATTTCAGTGGATCTGCTAGAAGCACAACTACCGGTAAGTCTGGATGGGCCTATGAACGCACCTTTGCACGATATCTGCACATATTGCTCTGACAAATGCAAGTCACACACACGACAGCTGTTGGTAACAGACACAAACAAGTCTTGACGCGTCCACAGCTGCGGGCCTCGCAAACAACCAGGAAATGTACAGAACTAACCAGCACCGTATTGCTAGGCAAGGCTCCCTTGCGTATTGCAACATGCAAGAAAGACAAGCTCCTTTTACCAAGTCCAAGTCATTCTTTGGCAGGTCCAGGGCTCAGGTGGCCAGCTTTAAGCATATGCAACAAGTTCCACGGAGCCAGAGAGAATCTCTCAGAATGCAATGGAAAAAATGTTCTCCGGAGACAGCCGAGCAATGCTGCGGAGAGGCTGCCAGAGGTATGTGGTTTCCATAAATTTGTGGATTCCACCGTCCAATCACCAAGTGTTTAATACACCTTTGGGACAATCCAGTGCTGTATGACTGGTTGGGAGAACAGCAGAGTTGCAACAGGCGGGGGGTGGGGAGGGGAGATGTGTAGCGACGAGAAAACATTTCCAGCTGCTTGGATTCCTTCCTACATGGGAGGGGTTGTTATCATTAGCTATATTGTGCCTCCCCCAGTCCTACCCTGGCCTTTGGTGAAAGTCAGGCCTCTTCCAAGCATCCTTTCCAGAAAAATGCAACAGGGAAAGGTTTGGGCCTCCAGCCGGGGAGACGTTCTAAGCCCTGATGCCTCCTGAAGTTGCCCCATTTTTCCATCCCAGGCATAGCCAATGTGGTTCTCTCCAGATGTTGTTGGACTCCAACTCCCAACAGCCTCAGCCAACATGGCCAATGCTGAGGGATGGGGGAATATGCCCTTCAACAACATCTGGAGGGCATCACGTTGAGTATTCCCATTCTATCCTATCAGAGTTCCTTCCATCCTGTTAATTTCCTCCTTATTTGTCCTGGCTTTTCAAAGCAGGGGCAGAGAGTGTCTGGTCTGTGGACCAATCCTGGCCCACCAGGGCATCCATCTTGGCCCATGAGGCCATTTTCTCCAAACCACAGCTTGCATCACTGGGTCACATCAGCTGAAGGGAAGGGGGGTTGGTTTCAATTGTGCTTGGGGCTACTACGCCAGCATGTCCCCCACCCTCCAGGGAATGTGGTGGCAAAGCAGACCTTGCCCCCCCCCCCGCCGCTGTGTGTCAATTTTGAGAAGTGGGAGGGACCACCCACCTATCACTCACCTGACACCATCATGATGTCTGAGATGGCCATGCCCACCTCTCAGAGTTGGCCCTGTGGAAGGGGATGGGAGATAAGGATGTGTCCCACCAGGCCAAATGGATTTCCCACCAGTTTTAACATCTCTCTCTCCCCCCCCCCCATTAAATAACTTTCTTTCCTTTTTCCTGGATGCGTGATTTGTGAAAAAGAAGGTATTTCCTCAGGCTCCCAGGAACAAACTTGTAGGCATGTGTACATGCGTGCATTGTGTGTTTAGGAGGCACACTAAAGTCAGAAAGGAGTTGCTCTCATTTGCTTTCCAGAACAGTAGCTATATTGGTCTCTCTGCGCATTCTGTATACTCAAGGACTACCTCTCCCCATGTGAACCAACACAAGAACAGGCCTTCTCAGTGGTGGCTCCCTGCTTATGGAACACTCTCCCCCTGGAAGGCATACCTGATGCCATCACTATCTATTTTTAGGAGCCAGGCAAAAGCTTTGTGTTCTCCCCTGCCAGGTGTTTGGCCTTTAATTTGCAGGGGTTTTGATATCTGTGGCCTCCTCCAGTGCCTTTTCTATAAATATGAATGTGTTTTTAGCTTTTACTTTGTTTCGGTTTTACATTGGTTTTAATCTATGTGCTACTTTTTTGTTGTTGTTTTGAGTTTCTTCTCATTTTAGAAAGCGACTAGTAAGTGCAACAAATAGCAATATAATAATAACAATACACCAATAGCATCCAGGCCCCAACAGATTACCCCCAAGAGAAGGTGAAGAAAAAAAAGGTTTTCTACTCCTGGGTCAAAAGAACAGCCAGAAAGTATCAAATAAGCCTCCCAAAGTTTTTAGGTTTGAGCCAAAGGGCCTAAGCAGCTGCTGAGGGCCAGTTAACCCCAAGCACCTATGCAGCTATGCCCACACAGGGCCCAGCCAAGGCTTTGCTGTCAGGGTCAGGCATCCAGTCCTAGGAGGAATAAACACCATCATTTTCAGGGAGTTCCTACCTCACACATCTGAAGCTGGAAAGTGCGGCGCTCCTTCTGCAGGTCCTCGGCGATTTCTGCAGCCGATGGTTCGGCCTGAATGACTCCAGATATCTTGGCTCGCTCCTTCTCCTTTTCCATCTTTGCTCTAGGGAAATGAGGAATGCCAAAGATAATGCAACAGCTACAACTCCCATCAGCCTTGATCACTGGCTGTGCTGACTGGGGTGCTGATGGGAGTTGGAGTCCAACAACATCTGGATGGACCCAGGTTCCCTATCCCCAACCACACCCATGGTTTAGAGACGATGGCGACTGTGTATGAGCCTGCGACAGCCCCCAGCCTAGATGTACTAGGAGCCAGTGTGCCTCTGAATGCCAGATGCTGGGGAGAATGCAACTGGGGAGAGCACCGTTGCACCCAATGCCCTGCTTGTGGGCTTCCCATTGGCGCATCCAGTTTGGCCACTATGAGAGCAAGATGCTGAACTAGATGGGTCTTTGGCCTGATCCAGCAGGTCTCTTCTTATGTTCTAACACAACTCACAGCCTTTCCTGTTAAGGCAGGCTGCACTATATATTATATGTCTAATTACATAATAGTAATTATTTCTAAATTGGCACCCATACATACAAATTAGAGCATGCAATTCTATGCAGGCATGTGTCTTCTATCCTTTTTACCTTGGTGGTGCATAAGTGGTGATCCTACTGCAGTTGTATTCATACAGGCTGCAAGCAAGCAGCTACATGGCAGCAGAAAATTGTCACGTGTTAAGTAGGGGTGTTTTTTAAAATTCACCCATGGTATGCAACTGCTGTGGCCCATTTAGTTACCTCTGGGACCAATGCAACAACTAAACACTTTTCTGTTTATTTTATTGGGTGGGGGGATACCCTGCAGAAATATAATGGAGATCAGAGCTAGGAAACATAAGAGTCAAACTACTGGTCCATTTAGCTCAGTATTACCCATGCAAGGATGGAGAAACCAGCTTTCCAGATGTTGCTAGACTACAACTCCCAACAGCTCCTTGCAGATCTCATCCTCCTCTCCAAGTCGGATCTGGAGGCTTCAGAGGACCTAGAACTGTCTTGCCCAACCTGGTGTCCCCAAACAGTCTCACCAGCCCTAGCCAGCAAGGACGATGGTTAATGGGGATGGGTGTTGTGGTTTAATAGCATGTGAAGGGTCCACAGGTCCACCTCTGATTTATGCTGACAAATAGCAGCTATTCAAGATATCAGAAAACAGTGTTTTCCAGTCCCTCCTGGAGAACACCATGAATTGAACCTGAGGACCTTCTGCTGGCAAGCTACAGGTTCTAGCACAGCCACCAGAATGGTACTGGACAGCACAGCAGCACAAATAAATAAATAGTCATCTCATTGGCTGACGCCAGCTCCATCACCTCCCATGCCGCTGAACCCACAAACAAAACACCTTTGTTTGAGAGGAGATGGGGAAATGAGCCAGAGGCAGCAGGGGTTACTTACACTTTGGTCTCATAATCCTTCCAGGCCTTTTCAATCTGCTTCTTGGAATCCTGCCAAGCAAGAGGGGGGCAGAGTTAGAAGGGGAGTCCCCAAGGTGGAGTGGGGGGGGAGAGAGATGGGACGAGGGGGCAGCCACCCCCTACCGAGCCACCAAAACCTTTTCTCCTGCCAATGCCAGGAAAGCAGAACATATTCATTACAGCAAGGAGAAGTTGCTAGCTGTTAAGCCGTCTCAACAGAAGCATTCCCCAGGCCAGAGGCTGAAAAATCCAAGTCTTCGCTTCTCTGCACTTCAATTGATTTCTGGACCGTAGGGCCATTTGGTCATGGGACAGAAAGGGCATCTGTTCAGCAGGCCTGGAGCCAGAATTCTGCTATGGGGAGTGGATGTGGGGAGAGTGCTAAGGGATTCTTGTAAGAGCTTAGTAAAACAAAAGTCTGGGTTTGTTTATTTTTTTAATGCCTCAAGCGCCTAAGCATCATTCCCTAACGCCAGTGCCTTTTGCATTCATTGCTCGGAACCAAGCTGGTTTCTTACTTGGCAACTGTGCAGAAAACAGCCTGGGTGTTTGTTCATACATACATACATAGTGAAGCTCAATTTTTCAAGTGGAGATAGAATCATAGAATCATAGAACTGTAGAGTTGGAAGGGACCCTGAGGATCATCTAGTCCAACCCCCTGCAATGCAGGAATAAGCAGCTGCCCCATACAGGGATCGAACCTGCAACCTTTGCATTATCAGCACCACGCTCAAACCAGCTGAGCTATCCAGGCTTCTTTGTCAACATAGCACCAGTCATGCAAAAGAGGAAAGTAAAAGCAAGTTTGAGGCTGGACCATTAGGGCAAGTGGAGAACCACTTCAGTCCACCTTCAGTCAGCACCCAACTTCCTGCTTTCTTCCTCACAACCAATCCAGAGGGTCGCTCCAGTTCCCAGAGTTCCCCATGAAGAGGGATTGGTTGTTAAACCACTCTGGGAATTGCAACTCTAGAAGGAGGAAAGGGGTTTTCCCTAACAACTCCCTGCACCCTTGAGAAACTACAGCTCTCAGAATTCTTTGGGGGGCAAGCCGTGACCATTTATAAAGTGGTATCAAAGTGCTTCAAATGTATGGTGTGAAAGAGGTGTGAAGTAGCTAGCCTACCTCAATAGGGAAGGACAAGAGGGGAAAGCTCAAGGGTTCCCTGTGCAGGAGAAGGGAAAAGGCAGGAGTCAAGGAGATTTACGGCGTATCTGCAGTTGCAGCCTCTGGCTTACTATTTCAACAAACACCCCACGCCTTCAGGGTTGCACCACAGACCAGGACTTGATGACGTCACTCTGCTCTGAGCCCAGGTGTCAAAGGAAAAGGCTGCTGAACTGGATCCCAGGGTGTGATGTGAAGGGAAAAGGAGCTCAAGGTGGCATGCGTGGTTCTTCCCCTCATATAATCTCCACAGCAACCCTGTGGGGTAGGTTAGACTTAGAGGCAGTGACTGGCCACCCGGTGAGCTTTATGGCTGAGTGGAGATTTGCACCCAGGTCTTTCATGTCAGATTCTAACACATCACCGCAGTGGTATAGATTTGGGGCAGTGGGGAGGGAGAGGAAAAGAAAACTAGATTCTGGTGGGAGGAGCTTCCCCTTGCATGCATGAGCAAATTGTATTTCAGAGGGGGGCAGGATCTCACCCCTGACATGCACAGAGCATCACTACCACCCTATGAGCTGCATTGGTAGGCAGACCCACAGAAGGACCACTATGCTACAAACAATATCAAAAGCAACACGATGGCCAGAAACAATTACAATGTGAAAAACTTTATGGACTAATTCAAAACATCAAAACTAACAAACTGAAGTCTCTGAAAGTCCTTAAATGAATCATGGTGGCAGACTTTACCCAGCGGAGAGCAAGCTGTGAAGTTTTGTATAATCAGCAAATGTCCAATTCCGATGTCCAACTCTGAACTCTGCTGAACAGTGTTTCCAGATAACAACTACTGTTTCGTTGAATTCTTCATCAGCCAATGAGTTCAACACTCGTGAGTAGAAAGATATGTAATTTCTTCATTAACCAATCTTTTTTTGAATAGATATAATATACATGAGAATGAAAAATACTCTGGAACAGTGCTCATGCGATTATTTAGTCAGTAGCAACCAACTGTGCTGAGCTGTTAAGAGGGAAGGGTTGTAAAAGCCAAACACACCATTTCTTCCCCAATAAAAAACGTGGCACAGTCTACTACACAGAAATGTATAGCATAAAGCTGACTTTCCAGTCTTGCCAGTTTCCCCTGGACCAGACATCTGGGGAGAATACACCAGGAAACAAGGCTTAGGAAGGGAAGGACAAACATAGCAGGATTCCCCACTCAAAAGTTCTAGCATGCGGCCGATATACGGTGCTTGCTGGAGCACCTACTTTACATGCAGAAGGTCCCATGTTCAGCTCCTGGAATCTCCTGGTAGGGCCAGGAGTGCCCCCATCTAAGACCCTGGAGAGCCACTGCCAGCCAATGTAGACAATGCCAAGGCAGATGGTTTGACCATGCATAAGGCAGCTTCATGAGTGAGGAGGAATTAAAGAACCTCTTAATGAGGGTGAGAGAGGAGAGCGCAAAATATGGTCTGAAGCTCAACATCAAAAAAACTAAGATCATGGCCACTGGTCCCATCACCTCCTGGCAAATAGAAGGGGAAGAAATGGAGGCAGTAAGAGATTTTACTTTCTTGGGCTCCATGATCACAGCAGATGGTGACAGCAGTCAAGAAATTAAAAGACGCCTGCTCCTTGGGAGAAAGGCGATGGCAAACCTAACAGCATCTTAAAAAGCAGAGACATCACCTTGCCAACAAAGGTCCGTATAGTAAAAGCTATGGTTTTCCCAGTAGTGATGTATGGAAGTGAAAGCTGGACCATAAAGAAGGCTGATCGTCGAAGAATTGATGCTTTTGAATTATGGTGCTGGAGGAGACTCTTGAGAGTCCCATGGACTGCAAGAAGATCAAACCTATCCATTCTAAAGGAAATCAGCCCAGAGTGCTCACTGGAAGGACAGATCCTGAAGCTGAGGCTCCAATACTTTGGCCACCTCATGAGAGAAGACTCCCTGGAAAAGACCCTGATGTTGGGAAAGATGGAGGGCACAAGGAGAAGGGGACGACAGAGGACGAGATGGTTGGACAGTGTTCTCAAAGCTACCAGCATGAGTTTGACCAAACTGCAGGAGGCAGTGGAAGACAGGAGTGCCTGGCGTGCTCTGGTCCATGGGGTCACGAAGAGTCAGACACGACTAAATGACTAAACAACAAGGCAGCTTCCTGTGTTCCATGGCCCAAGCCACAGAGAACTATTGTTCTGTGACCTGGGCAAGGGTGCCTTGCAAGGGTGCAATCAGCAAACTGCTAAAATGAGCTTTCATCAAAAGAAAACGAAAAGCAGCAAGTTTCTGGTGCTCATGAGTCTATGCCCAAAGGTTGGTAAAATCCCAGAATGGGGTTGAGGAAAGGAAGAGAGGGAGATGGAGCCATCCCTCCTCTGCCTGCCTGCTCACTTCCTTGCAATTACTGATGTCCACATTTTTTGAGTGGGTGCTGTGGGTATCACTGGGACATTTCACTTCCTCCTCCTCCTCCCGCCTGTCCCTACTGAGAGATGGAAAGCGAGAAAGTGACACTTTCCTGGCACCGATCCAGATTACAAAATACTGTGCTAATATCCTAAGAAATATATTGTATAGGTATGGAGCCATGTAAATGGAATTTAAATATGAATTCAGGAGATCTAGGCTCTCCACAGCTACTGTGGACACCGGCAGCTGGCTCCTCTGCACAGTTATGCAGAAGAAAGTCCCGTCCAGCTCAGTTGGCGAATGCTCCCAATAAAATATGCATACGTGTGCAATTCCACTGTACCCTAATGATATACTATTATGAGGTTTAGCTGAATATGCTAAATTTATTACCAATCTTTCATTACATCACAGAAACATTTTCTGATACAGTCTTCCCCTAAAAAAAATAAAAATAAAAAAGCAGCATGCCCTGGGTTTTCTGCATAACATAATGTCTACTTGCTAGCAGGGTGGGCCAAGCGGTCCAATTCAAGGCAGGGCTACTGCAGTGCACCCCAAGTGCGGCTTCCCTTGTACAAAATGCTGCACCATGATTGCTGGCATGAGCGAGAGTCATCATATTGCACGTTGTTGTTGTTGTTGTTGTTGTTTAGTCATTTAGTCATGTCCGACTCTTCGTGATCCCATGGACCGGAGCATGCCAGGCACTCCTGTCTTCCACTGCCTCCTGCAGTTTGGTCAAACTCATGCTGCTAGCTTCGAGAACACTGTCCAACCATCTCGTCCTCTGTCGTCCCCTTCTCCTTGTGCCCTCCATCTTTCCCAGCATCAGGGTCTTTTCCAGGGAGTCTTCTCTTCTCATGAGGTGGCCAAAGTATTGGAGCCTCAGCTTCACAATCTGTCCTTCTAGTGAGCACTCAGGGCCGATTTCCTTAAGAATGAATATGTTTGATCTTCTTGCAGTCCATGGGACTCTCAAGGACTCAAGCATATTGCACATCCATGCTCAAAAATCTGCACTGGCTGCCTATTTGCTATTGGGCTGAGTTCAAGGTATCAAGCACTTAACGGCTTGGGACCAGATTACTTAAGGGATCGCCTTACCCCATACGTGCTGACTCAATTCCTCCAGTTTGCAGAATTTTCTGCAGATTGTACCTTTTGCAATCTTGCACTTCTGCAAGTGTCTTGCCATGTTCATTCTGTGTTTGAAAGGAGCCGTTCCTTTAGCGTGGCAACAGCCTATACTTTGGAACTCCCTGTCTGCTAATATTGGGCAAGGACGATCACTGTACAGTTTTAGACACCTGCTGAAAACTTTGGTTACATCTGCTCTTAAATTTGTTTTAGATGTTTGTGGTTTCTTGGTTTTAGGAATTTTTAAACAGTTTTTAAGATGTTTTAAATAAGTCTATTTCATTTTTGTATTTTTCTTTTTTAATCACAGAAGCGTTAGCCACCCTAGGATCTTTTGTAAATAAGAGAGGGGTATAAATGCAATATACTAAATCAGTAAATTGCATCCCGATTCATTTAATTACACAGACATTTAATTACATAGGTCTGTTTTGAGCATTTCCTTTTTCTTAAGGATGAAAGAAAAGACCACATTTAAACTGCACACATTTTGCAGGTGCTTTTTATGTGAGATTTCCATTCTTCAGTGCGTTTGTCAAGACACTGGCACAACAGAACAAGCAATGTGTTGGGACATCAAACCATGGGCCCAGGCACCTCTGTCTGGACACATCTTCCCCAACTACACCCTTGAGCACACACCATGCATACGCACTTTTTAAAGGACACCTACCAGCCGGTTATCTTTAAGTTGCCCTTTCAGCAAGCTGTCCAGAGGAAAGGAGACAATATTGTTGAGATTCTGCACCTGGAAGAGCCACAAATAAAAACATAGGCAGCCATTAGTGTTCAGCTAGGCAGGGCTTTTTACCCAATGCATTTTTATTTCAGCTTCTAACACAGACGTGGGAACCAAATCTCGGTCAAAAGCTGAAGCAAAAGTTTAATGAAGCTCGTGCCATTATTTTTAAACACCCCCCCCCCCCACAGGGCCTTTTCTTTTTTTTTGCTATATATGGGTTTTTAGATCAGTTTTGGTAAGAAAACCTCCCAGCTTCCCCCAAGGAATTCCAAGAACTGTATTTGGAAGAAAAACCCAGACTCCTGTGTTGGATTCTGAAGCTGCGCTCAGTGAATGAACGTTCGCAGTTTAAGTTCACAAAGTCCTTCAGGTCTTAAAAGGAATGGGTGAGGGGGTGGGTGGGTGTCATGCTGTGTACAGCACCATCTCTGCACACTGGCCTCACCCACCCACAGCTGGCAGTCATGCGCAGGGGCCCTGTGCACTTCAAGGTGCATGTGTGTCAAATGGCTCCATGCCACTCCCTTCATGTGCAGAAGTTCTACAAGCGTACATCAGTATGTGCAGGAGGCCCCTTCACACCAACGCCAAACATTGCTGGGAGAGCTAAATAACTCCCTGCACCCGACACATTCCCTCAGTGAATGCCCTATATGCAGAGCTACACACATGCAGGCTTATCATCTGATGTGGAATGTATGCGCCCTTTATTGATTTGTTAGACTTATATACCACTTTTTCCTCAAGGTGGTGTACATAACTCTTCTCCCCACCACAACCCTGTGAGGGAGGTTAGGCTGAGGGATAGTGACTGGCCCAAGGTCACCCAGAGAGCCTCATGGCTGAGCGGGGATTTGAACCCTGGCCTCCCAGGTCCTAGTCCAACACTCTAACTGGTATGCCACACTGGCTCTGAGGTTCCAACTATTGTACAGCAGGGCTGGATAACCTGCAGCCCTCCAGGTGTCATTGGGACTCCAATCCCCATCAGCCCCAGCCAGCATGGCGACTGGCAAAGCATGATGGGAGTCCAACAATATCCAGAAGGCCATGGCTCCCCATCTCTGTCACAGAGTGTGGTCCGACGTGCATATCTAGGCATCCCTTTTAGCCCTCACTGCTAACAGGACTTGGGGCCTGCAGGGCACAGGGACATCAGAGAAGATGCATGGTCCCATTATTCCCTCCAAAGCATGCAGCAAATGTGCCAGAAGTGGGAACATTTTACAGCCTGGGTCACATGACCTTCTGGGCAGTCTCCCAGTGTTATGTACTGAAGTTCTCACCCTGGGCCAGCAGGGGGATACTGTAGATAGTTATGCAAATAAGGGATCAAAAGTGACGTTCAGTGATTGGATAGTTTTAGAAAGTTGTTACAGTAACGTTGTATTGGAGCTCTATATAAGCAGGCTGACTGAACCCCTCAGTTCAGTTCAGTTCTGTTCTGGCCTGTGAATAAACAAGAGCTGTTTGAAGAATCGCTGTGTCGTCTGATATGTTTACCCACAACTTAACACCCAGAAGCCACATGATAGCGGTGGCTGGGGCCAGAAACAAAAGCAGGCAGAGCAACGAATTTAAAAAAATTACTTTTGTACGCTAGGCTAGTTCCTTCACAGTGTTGCACACCTCTCCGTCCTCCATCCAGGCAAGAAAAAGGCATTATCGGAGTCCAAGGGCACATTCCCATGTGGGGCAAAAGATTCCTGCATTGCAGGGGGTTGGACTAAATGACCTTTGGGGTCCCCCTTTCAAGCCTAAAATTCTATGGTTCTGTTATTCCAGTCAAGCAAATGCACTCAAGCAGGCTGTGAATCAGGGCTGGTGGGGGGCACAGCTTGGGCAGATGGGGTGTGACTGGGGAACATGTGTGGCACAAGATGGGGCAGGGGGTGAGGGCCCCCAAAAAACCAAAGAGCTTACACCCCTATTTTCACCCTGCATTGCTGGAATCCTGTCATTAACACTTGTTCTTTTCAGAGATCTTAGCATGTGAGACACAGCATGCATAACTAGAAATATGCTTTGCCCCTTCTGTGCCGCCACCCCCCCCCCCACAGATTTTTTCTCACTGCCAGGTGGGGTTTGTGTCTGGGGTTCCCCACCCCTGCTATCTGCAGAGGCAGGTCCAGAAAGGGAATCTTATTTATTGGACCATGCAAGCCTCACTCCAACTAAGATAAATATTATTTCCTGCTCTTCTTCCCCCACCCCTCAAACAGGCCAGATTTGGGATGGCATGCAGAAATGGAAACAGTGGCAAAGGTGGGGGGGGAGAGAGACTGGAGATGCTAAACCTCCTCCATTTGTCCTATGGCAAGAGAAGCCTCTCCCTGTGCAGGATACTCCAGGGCAGCCTCAGTTGGCTGCAAGGCACAAAAATGTCTGGTCTGCCAACAAGCCACATCTACTCCTCCACTGCCACAAAACCCACAGGCAAGTCAGCCCTTTCTCCCCGCCTTGCAAAAGCCACAACCCACAGCTGGAAAGCGGAAGGGGGGAGTCAGGTGAGAGACTCACATGGCCAAAACCGTAACATGACCAGAGGCAAAAGAAACAAGCCTGGTTCAGTTGGGGACCTGACAGCCTACAGGACTACCTCCCAAGCATCCAAAAAGTCAGTCTGAGAGTATTTAGAAAAGGATGCTATGATTACTAAGACCCAGCATGGGTTTCTCCAAAATATTCATGCCAGACCAATCTGATTTCCATTTTTGACGAAATTACAAACTTACATTTTTGATGAAATTACAAAATTACAAAGGCCGCAGAAGACAGAATCAGAATTCAAAATGACCTTAACAGATTGGAGAACTGGGTGCAAGCTAACAAAATGAATTTCAATAGGGACAAACATAAGGTTCTGCACTTAGGCAGGAAGGAACCAGATGCACAGGAAGGAACCAGATGCACAGATATAGGATGGGGGACACCTGGCTTACTAGCAGTACATGTGAAAAGGATCTAGGGGTCTTGGTTAACATGAGTCAACAGTGTGATGCAGCAGCAAAAAGAAAGAAAGAAAAGCTAATGCTATTCTAGGCTGCATCAACAGAAGTATAGTGTCCAGATCAAGGGAAGTAATAGTACTACTCTATTCTTCCTTAACAAAACCACATTTGGAATACTATGTCCAATTCTGGGCACCACAATTTAAGTAGAATGTTGATAAGCTGGAACGTGTGCAGAGGAGGTTAAGCAAGATGATGAAGGGTCTGGAAACTAAGCCTTATGAGGAGTGCTTGAAGGAGCTGGATATGTTTAGCCTGGAAAAGAGGAGACTGAGAAGAGATATGAAAGCCATCTTCAGATATCTTAAGGGCTGTCACATGGAGGAGGGAGCATGCTTGTTTTCACCTGCTCTGGAGAATAGGACTTGCACCAATGGCTTCAAGTTGCACGAAAGGAGATTCCGACTAAATATTCAGAAAACATTTCTGACAGTAAGAGCTGTTCAGCAGTGGAACAGACTCCCAAGAGAGGTCCTTCCTTGGAGATTTTTAAGCAGAGGTTGGATGGCCCTCTGTCATGGATGCTTCACCTGAGGTTCCTGCATTGCAGGGAGTTGGAATAGATGACCCTTGGGGTCCCTTTCCAACTCTAAGTTTCTATGATTCTAAGTCTCAGACCAACCTCTCTTGGGAGGGAAAACGAGGAGAGAAGAAAATAAAGAAAACCCACCCTGCGAGTTTTATGTGGCTGTGCTGAAGAACCTACACATGAAACCAAGTCAGTGCCACCCACTGACATGCTGACTCAGAATAAGCAAAATGGAACCACGGCTGTAGATTGTGATCAAGTACAGATGTGCTACAGGCACAGCTGAAGAAACCACAGCACAGCTCTGAAGAGCATAGGCCTTCTGATCGGCAGGCTTGTCACAAAAGGAATGTTTTTAGCAAGCACCAAAAAAGAGCTGCACTAACTGCAGCTTCTGGATCAAGTGGCAGGAACTGGGACAGAGCAACACATCTGATTATATCAGTATTGTAATGAGTATTTTATGTATGTAGCTTAGAGGTTTCGAGAATTAAGTGGTATATAAATAATAATATATATATGTTGTGATTTCACAGTATGAAAACCACTTAGAGCATAACACGAAAAAGGAAATTAAGATGAGCCTGCTGGATCAGGCCAATGGGCCACCTAACTCAAGATCCTCTTCTCACAGTGACCGACCAGAGTGGGTGGTATATCAATAAATCGTCTGAAACTGATTTTAAGTTCACACCGATGGAAGCGAAAGCTCTGAAAAGGCTCAATATGGAGGCCAAATGGCCGAAATATTGGGAAATTTTGGAACAAGGAGGAGACAAATTGAAATTACAGAGTTTCGAGAAACTAAAAAACAAAGTGAGAGATTGGCTTCATTATTATCAGATAATGGAGGCATATAATTTGGATAAGAAAATTGGCTTCCAGGTGGAAAAATCAAAACTAGAAACAGAACTGTTAGAACCCAAAACTAAGAATTTGTCAAGAATGTATAACTTGCTGTTGAAATGGAATACTCAGGATGAAACGGTGAAATCTGCTATGATTAAATGGGCACAAGATGTAGGACATAATATTATGTTTGCTGACTGGGAACAGTTATGGACCACAGGTATGAAGTTTACGGCATGTAATGCCCTAAGAGAGAATATTATGAAAATGATATACAGGTGGTACATGACCCCAGTCAAGCTTGCAAAAATCTATCACTTGCCCGATAATAAATGCTGGAAATGTAAAGAAACTGAAGGTACATTCTTTCACCTTTGGTGGACGTGCCCAAGGATTAAGGCTTTCTGGGAAATGATATATAATGAACTGAAAAAGGTATTTAAATATACCTTCCTGAAGAAACCAGAGGCCTTTCTTCTGGGCATTGTCGGCCAATTGGTGCCAAAGAAGGACAGAACTTTTTTATGTATGCTACAACAGCAGCAAGAATACTTATTGCAAAGTATTGGAAGACACAAGATCTACCCACTTTGGAAGAATGGCAGATGAAGGTGATGGACTATATGGAATTGGCAGAAATGACTGGCAGAATCCGAGACCAGGGAGAAGAGTCGGTGGAAGAAGATTGGAAGAAATTTAAAGACTATTTACAGAAATATTGTAAAATTAATGAATGTTAGAATGATGTTGGATAGTAATTAAGTGGTTTCTAGCTGTAATGCTTTAAGAGAATATGAAAAAAAGGGTTATAAACGGGTTAAAATCTAATGGTAAGGATTTGCTGAACCAATAAATTGAAGTGGAATACAAAAAAGGGAGATACGAGGAGGTCCGGGAAACAAGCTAAAGGAAAATAAGTAACTGAAAATATGTGTGTTTTTAACTGTTTTTATTTTGTATTTTTCTCTTTTCCTTTTCATTTCTACTGTAATATTTTAAAAAAACCTTAATAAATATCTTATTAAAAAAAAAGAAGAAGAAGAGCATAGGAATCGGCCTTATACTGCATGCAAATGCAGATGCTCCACCACTGAGCTATGGCCCTTCCTGGACTATCGGGTGCTCAGCTTGTTTCTGTGAACCTTGCAGAACAGTATTCCTAGTGAGGCATCCTCCTCCGCTGCCCCCAAGGGTGGGCAGCTAGGTTAGGGAGTGCAGGGCAGGCTCTGTAACCTCCAGGACCTTGCTGCCACTCCCTGACAACCAGCATTTCTGGCTGCCTCAATTCTGCTTCATGGTAGGACCAGTCCTGTTCAAAGAACTTTACAGAAGGCAACAGCCACTCCTGTGACATCACCGTTTTGCATCAGCATGCTGGGTCTGCCTAAGGCAGGAGTAGTCATAGGATGGCCACATATGCAACAACAAAATTTGAATATGAATAGGGATGGGAATACAGGAAGTTGCCTTATACTTCGACAGACTATTGGGTCCTTCTATCAGTGTTTCTCAAACTTGGGTCCCAGCTGTTGTTGGGCTACAACTCCCATCATCCCTGACCACTGGTCCTGCTAGCTAGGGATGATGGGAGTTGTAGTCCAACAACAGCTGGGGACCCACATTTGAGGAAACACTGACTCAATACAAAGCCTACAGTGGATGGTAGCACCTCTTCAGGGTTTCAGACAGGGGACATTCCCAGTCCTACCTCCACGGTCAGAGGCAGAAATGCTTCTGAATACCACTGCAGGAAACTGCAAGAGTGGAGAGGTTCTGCTGCACTCAGGTCCTGCTTGCGTGTTTCATAGATATCTGGTTGGTCATGGTTATAACGGGACACCAGGCCAGATGTCCTGAGCTGGAGAGGCCGGGGATTGAACCTGGGACCTTCTGCATGTAAAGGAGATGCTCTGTCATTGAGCTACAGGCCTAGGTGTGCCAATTTAGAAATAACTACTATAATCCATCACACCATAAGACTTTGAGCATATGACCCGTGTGCTGTCCAGCACAGCAGCTCAAGTCTGCTGTCCAGGATCTAACTGCAGAAGGGTGACTTCAAGGCCCCTCCTGCTCTCCTCTTCTTAAGAGCTCTTGATATTTAAACCAAGATGTCAGGGACTGGCTAGACACTGAGGAGTGCTGGCTGGCTATTGAGGAGTGGGCACTGGGAGAAGCGGAGGTTGGAGACTGACTGGGAAGAAGGGAACTGGGGGGATCTAACAGCTGGGAGACAAGAGTCAGAAGGGCAGGATTGGAGAATGAAGAACAAGAGCAGGAGGAAGGAGAGATCGGTCAAGCTGGTGTAGACTCAAGGGCTTCCACACCTTCTCCTCCTCCTCCTCCTCCTGATCCCATCCTCTCCTGCTTCACTGTTTCCCAGGACCAGAAGAAGACTGAAACAGGAGGAGCAAAAGGTCACATGCTGATGGAGTCTTCGCCTGCTTGCACGCAGCTTGGGTGGAGGAGATACATAAGTTGAGGTCGGTGGGTGGGCCTCTCTGTTGCAGCAACTGCATCATCAGGTGCACACCTAGTGGCAGCTGAGAGGTGTAGGATTGATGGCCATGCCTTTTCCTAACTTCTAAGTGTCCTTTTGACAATAATGAGTTCGTTCTTGACATTCCGTGCCAGTCAACACTGTGACACAAGCTTGGGACTGGACACTTCTTCAAACCTACAGGGCTGTCCTCTCTAAAGCAGGACACAGGTTCACCATCAACTCTGGCCAGAATGGTGAAAAATAACAACATATCCTAAGAGACTGCTGGATCAAGCCACTTGCTCTCAAGGCGGTCAACCAAATTGCCTATGGGAAGCCTGCAAGCAGGACTTGAGTACAACAGCACTTTCCCCCTCCTGTGGTTTCCAACAACGGGCATTCAGAAGCATTACTGTCTCCAACAATGGATGCAGACCACAACCATTAGGGTTAGTAGCTGGAAGGTCAGGGAGCTGTTTTCCAGCAACATCTGGAGGGCATCGTATTAGCTACCCCAATCTAAAGTGGCACATACCCAAGCATTGTTTTCATGTGCTAGGGCCATATCAAACAGGTTTTTTTTCCTTTTCTTTCCTTCCACATTTTCCCTTCCACATCTTTATTTTTTCTTTCTTTCCTTCCACATTTGCAAGGGGGCTGTAATACGAGACACGGGGCTTCTGTTTAAACCAAACATACCCAGCCAGAGCCTGCTCTAGCACACAGAACCCACAGCACAGTTCCTTCAGTTCCCAGCCATAAACAACATAGCCACTGCCCAGAGGTTTCCGATTTACGTTAAAGGGGGAAGCTGAGGGAGGGGCCAGGAAGAGACACCATTAGTGGCAACAAGCAGCAAAGTCACACAGATGCAGCCCACGTTCCTTCTCCCTCTGCCCAACCAGTACAAATACTAACACTAATGGTCCTTTTTAGGGACAGGTGAGAAAAGAGTTGAGTTTGCATTTGAAGGCAAACTTTTAGAACAATTTGCACACCAGAACACAGCCACCCTCCAAAGGTCATAGTACTTCAAGTATCACCAACCCGGTGAAATGTACAAAAATGCATATACTAGGGTAAAGGTAAAGGTACCCCTGCCTGTACGGGCCAGTCGTGTCCGACTCTAGGGTTGTGCGCCCATCTCACTTAAGAGGCCGGGGGCCAGCGCTGTCCGAAGACACTTCCGGGTCACGTGGCCAGCGTGACGAAGCTGCTCTGGCAAGCCAGCACCAAGGCAGCACACGGAAACGCTGTTTAGCTTCCCGCCGGAGTGGTACCTATTTATCTACTTGCACTTAGGGGTGCTTACGGACTGCTAGGTGGGCAGGAGCTGGGACCAAAAGACGGGAGCTCACCCCGCCACGGGGATTCGAACCGCCGACCATGCGATCGGCAAGTCCTAGGCACTGAGGTTTTACCCACAGTGCCACCCGCGTCCCTATTATACTAGGGTAAGCACACATATAAATGCCTAAGTTAGTGAAAATAATGGAATAAAATGCTTCCCTTAGGGGAAATAGCTTTGCGAAACTGTGTCTGTTGGGCAAAACTACATACAGTGGTACCTCTGGTTAAGAACTTAATTCGTTCCGGAGGTCCGTTCTTAACCTGAAAATGTTCTTAACCTGAGGTACCACTTTAGCTAATGGGGCCTCCTGCTGCCGCCGCTCTGCCAGAGCACGATTTCTGTTCTCATCCTGAAGCAAAGTTCTTAACCCAAGATACTATTTCTGGGTTAGCGGAGTCTGTAACCTGATGCGTATGTAACCCGAGATACCACTGTATAAAAATGTGTATTTTGTACAATGAATTCTCACTAAGATGATGATGAATCTTCATGAGGAGACAGACAGACAGACACACACACACATATGCAAACTGATGTGGAAATGGAGAACTGAACTGTAGATTGTAAAAATAAACAACTGAAACAGAAATTGACAGATTCACTCACTCCTAGTTCTTTCAAGAGTTCCCACCATATCCATAAAAATCCTTCCCTCAAACAGACCACCTTGTAGCAGCAGCCTGCTTTGTGATAATGGGCCCCAGCATCAACAGAGGACACATAGCTGGAAACACAACAATAAGGAAAACACGCCTTACGGAAATGCAGTGGTTGAAATATAGGAACCTATTGCCCCAAACAAGACGGCCACATTCACAATTGCATCATCTTCCAGAGAGGGAGTTATCTCTGTTGCTTCGGCTGAAACAGATTCCCTTAAAGTCTTGAAGAACGTAGTTGCATTAATTACGGCGTAAGCTTTTGCAGGCCTGAATCCACCTCATCAGATGTGCATGAAAAAGAGGACTGTAAGCCTCCAACATTAATGTCAGAATAATAAAGATCTTTTTAAAGGGGCTGCATAAAAGACTCTAGCCACATCCAAACTGTACATTTAAAGCAGTGTGGTACCACTTTAAAAAGTCATGGTTTTCTCCCACCATGGTGCTTTAAATGTAGGCTGCAAATGTAGCCCTAGTGAGTAACAGTAACCACTGGACTGGGGCTTATGGGAGTTGTAGGGGTTAAGGAATTTTGGCATGTTCATTTCTTTTAAAGAAGCGGGTCCCATATTAAAAGTGCCGAGTCTGGTTGAATATCCCCTCTCTCTAAATAGGTGGTGTACAGATTTGGATTGAGAAGAAGAATGCAGTGGAGATCTTTGATGGAAAAGAAAAGCAGACCTAATGCCGCCCCTTACCAGGTTTTTGAAAAGTGCCGTCACTTCCCTGGTGAAGACAGCCAGATTCAAGAATCCCGTGGAAAGCTCATGATTGTTCTGAGAAAGGTGGTTGTTGCCAAAGTTCTCCAGAGTTTCGCTGTACTGCTCCTCGTTCTCCACATGCGCTAAGGAAGACGACACAAGAATCAGGAGAAAGGAAGGTTTCTGGCGGATCCAGATACCCACAGAAGTCAGGGAAGAAGCAAAGCAGTGTGTAGAATTTGAACATGGAGACAGCCCTGCAGGATCAGACAAGAGCTTTATACTGAACCACATTCACACCATACATTTAAAGCGCTATGATACCGCTTTAAGCAGTCGTGGCTTCTGCTGTTGTTTGTTAAGGGAGCTGAGAGCTGCCATCACAGAGCTACTAGTCCCAGAGTAGTTTAACCATCAATCTCTTTTGCTAGGCAACTCTGGGAAATGTAATTCAGTTAGGAAAATAAGTCTCAGCACCCTTAAACAAACCACAGTTCCCAGAATTCACCGGGGGGGGGAGCTGCCAGTGTGTTTTAGTTGTATGGTATGAATTTGTCCTAGCTCGTTGTCTTGTTTCTCACCGTGGCAAAGCAGACACCTCTGGGAAGCCAACAAGCAGGGCGTGAGGGCAAGAGAGCTCATGTTCCCCAACAACGAATAGTTGGAGGCATGCTGCCTCTGATCCTGGAGGTAATATATATCCATCATGACCAGCATCCATTAATAGCCCAGCAGGAACACCAACTGGCAGGCATTATGTAGGCATGTGGTGAATTGTGCAAAGCAATTTTGTGGCAGTGGTGCTGGGTGTGCTCCAGCAGCTGTGAGGAGAGGTCTGTGTGGTGCATACTTGAGCCTCTTCCATTGCATCTCCAGCAACATCCGACACCCACACTGCAGATTATTTATTTATTTACTTCCTTCCTTTCATTGCATTTACAGTGGCATATACAGGGACTGGGGGCTACCTTTGAAGGTGGCTCGGAAACTACAACTAATCCAGAATGCGGCAGCTAGACTGGTGACTGGGTGTGGCTGCCAAGACCATATAATACTAGTCCTAAAGGATCTACATTGGCTCCCACTACGTTTCAGAGCACAATTCAAAGTGTTGGTACTGATCTTTAAAGCCCTAAATAGCTTTGGGCCAGTATTCCTGAAGGAGCTTCTCCACCCACATCCTTCAGCCCGGACACTAAGATCTAGCTCTAACCATAGCTGTCAACCTTCCCTTTTTTTGCGGGAAATTCCCTTATTCCAGCGCCATTTCCTGCTGCTTCCCGCTGCTATTCCAGATTGTTAGATATCCCATAGACTGTCCCCGGGACAGGTGAGGCTGCTGATCCCTTATTTTCAAATCTGAAAGTTGACAGCTATGGCTCTAACTGTCTTCTGGTGGTTCCCTCACTGCAAGAAGTAAAGTTACAGGGAACCAGGCAGAGGGCCTTCTCAGTAGTAACGCCTGTCCTGTGGAACGCCTTCCCATCAGATGTCAAGGAAATAAACAACTATCTGACCTTTAGAAGACATCTGAAGGCAGCCTTGTACATGGAAGTTTTTAATGTTTGAGGTTTTGGTGTGTTTTAAACATTTTGTTGGGAGCCCCTCAGAGTGGCTGGGGCAACCCAGTCAGACAGGCGGTGCATACATATACATACATATATACATACATATACATATATATATGTGTGTGTGTGCTGTTCTAGGGCAAGAATGCTCAGTGCAGATTTTGTTATGCCTTCGCATTCAAAGAGATCCTAATCCAGAAGTCTTGTGTTGCAATTTATATATTTTGAAAGCGGATTGCACAAGGCTGACATCAGCTAAACCTTGCACTGAGGCAAATTGTGTTCCTGCTGCCAGCGCAACCTCATAAAATCACCAAATATGTTTAGCGGCGAAGGAGGCTGTCACAGAATGTTTACAAACAGCACAGCTTCTGTGGCGAAAGCAAAAGGTCAGTCTGGTGATGGGGCAGCTGGGAGAGGGCAAATCCAGATCCCAATTCATATATCCCACCAAAGAGAGTCATCTTGTAGGGTCACCAGACTTTGCGGGTGACGGACTGCGAACTAGACCAGGGTGAAATGCTAAGAAAGAGGTTAAAGGGGGTTTCTCCAAAATCCAGAAGAAGAGAAGGGCTGCAACAACTTGGTGGCAGAGCTTAAATCAGAAAACCAAGAAGATGGAGAAGCAGGGTCTGGGAAATAGTCCAACATTAAAACTCTGTAGAAAGCCACTGTCTATTAGCATGAACAATACCAAGATAGATGGACCAATGGTCTAACTGTGTAGGGCAGCTTCCCAAGTTCCCTGATTGTTTGAAGTACAACAGCAGGGATCATTCGGTTAGTAGCCTAAGGGTTCATTCTAATGACAGTTAAGACAGCCAATCAAGAGGGGAGTGGTAGTGGAAGTGTTTGCCTAGCACCCAATCAGAATGGCGTAATCCTTGTGTCCTGATTGGCTGCGGGAGTTCTGAGGGAGCCTTTCCTCAGTATGCACTGCTGAATATCTTTCTGCTTTGAAAGAGGCCTGTTCTAAAAGACAAAAAACAGCAAGCCTGATTATTTCTCCTCAAGGTATGCACTGCTTTTGTTCAGTTTGCCCGGTAAAGTTCCTTTTCTCTCTCGACTCTGGGTTGTTGAAATGACACCGCTCACACTGTACAGGGGGGTCAGATTGCACTTTGCACACACCTGGCAGCACCTACACATTACCCCCAAGGTGTCCCCCCACTCTTCCCCACCCCTTGGCGGCCACACCAGCACACAAAGAGCATTAACTTACTGAGCCCAGAAGCATGAATAGCTTTCACATATTTCCTGATCCGCTGGAGAATGGCTTGGTCTCCATCCAGGCTCTGCGAGGCAAAAAAGAGAGAGAAAAAGACACAAAGGTTTGTCAGAGTTGCTGGGCAGTGCCAAGCTGGGAGGCGGGAAGAGGGAATTGCCAGGCCACACAAAGTCTCTTTGAAGCTCCGGCCTGTGGCAGATGTGCAAGGCAGCTGCCAGGCTACCCGAATCTGGAGTGGAGAGATCCCAAGCATGGGGAGGGGGTGGGTGGGCTGTGCAGAGATTGAGAGTGAAAGAGAGAAAATGCATTGACTGAACAGCGCAGAAAAGGAGGTGTGGCTTCCAGCCAGTTCCTCCCTGGCTGCAACAAGGGCATAGCTCTGTGGCAGAGAACACGTTCTGCATGCAGAAGATCACAGGCGCTTCTAGTCTGAAAGGATCAAAGGTATCAAATGATGGGGAAGACCTCAGCACAAGACAGTCAGGCAGCCCCTGGCGCAACCTGAAACCTGCCTAAGCACCTAGCAGGGCCTCATTTGAATGTCTGCTGCCTTCTCTTGCATTCTGTCTTGAGACTGGAATGTGGCCTGTCGAGGAGCTCAGCTCAGAAGTAGAGCAACGGTTTTGCTTGCAAAAGGTCCCAGGTTCAATCCCGGCATCTCCAGGTAGGGTCTGAAAGTCTAGAGAGACACTGCCAGCCAGTATAGAGAGCACCAGTCAAGTGTCTACACTGCAGACAAGCTAGATGGGCCAGTGGTCTGACTTGGTATACAGGAGCTTCTGATGTGTCTGTGGGTTATTGATGGCTAGGAGAGGACATACGAAATACAATTTATCTCTCCAGTCTGCTACACGGGTGAGTTAGGGCAGAGTACAGTCATACCTCGGGTTACAGCCACTTCAGGTTGCTTTTTTTGGGTTGCAGACTGCCGAAACCCAGAAGTACCGGAACGGGTTACTTCTGGGTTTCAGCGGCCGTGCATGCGCAGAAGTACTAAATTGCGCTTTGCGCATGCGCAGAAGCGCTGAATCACAACCCACATGTGCACAGACGCGGGTTGTGAACGTGCATCCCGCACGGATCATGTTCGCAGTCCAAGCGTCCACTGCATTAAAACCCCATCCTTGGCAACGAAAATTGAAGCTTTGGAACAAGGTTGCAAAGCCTTTCCTTTTTTGAGCAATTCCACCTAATGAAGGTTAGCTGGCTTCCTCTTGGTTTGCCTCTTAATAAAAGAACCAGGCAACAACCCATTAAGTATAGCATCCACTTATTTAACAGTCTTGCACTGGCTCACAGCAAAGGCAGCAGCAAAACTACGCAAGCAAGGGTGCCAACTTGAACAAAACATGGGGAGGAGGGGCAGGTAAGCACCATCCTGCGTAACTGATCACAAGATGTGGCACACACTCACCATTTGAATGGCAATGCCCATCAAATTTGGAGGGACTCCTCAATTATTTTATTGGGGGTGTGAAGGGACCTCGGCCCCTAGCAGTTGGCTCTGATGTACACAAGTCAAAACACTACTATGTTTCAAAAGACATAGCCAATTACAAAAAAGGAGCCTGTGTTCAGGTAGAGCACAGACAGACATCCGTTTGAATCAAAGACATGGTGAGGAAGGGTGGTGCCCATCACTGCCTCCCCTCCCATGAGAGCAAGTTCCATAGTTTAACTATGCACTACGTGAAGAAGAGCCTTCTTTTATCTGCCCCAAATCTTCCAACATTCAGCTTCATTGCATGTTCCCCAGGGTCTCTAGAGGGAGAACAACTTTTCTCTCCACTTTCTCCATGTCATACATAATTTTAGAAACTTCTGTCATGTCATCTCTTGCTCACTTTTTCCTCTCAGCTAAAAAGTTCAAAGCCCTGCACTCCACCCCCTTAATCATTTTAGTTGCCCTATCAGAATATCTACAATATCCTTTTTGCCTAGCAGGAGGCAGGAGAATCATAACCCTCTCTGGAATTCACAGGCATGCTGCCTGCCTCTAATCCTGGCTGGCAGCAAATAGCCATCAAGACTAGGAACCTTTAATAGCAGGAAGGGATTTCCTTTCTGGAGGCCAGATACTCCCCCTTCAGTCATTTGTCCATGGTTACAGTATCCCTGAAGGTGCCTCTCCATCCAGGGGTATAATTTCAGGTATTGGGGAGTGAGGGGGAGAAAAGGTTCGCAGTAAAGTTTAAAAGGCCTGTTCGAGGAGATATTCAAGACGTAAATTGCAACACCAGAGAAACTACAGTGGGATTTAAGAGCATCCATTCCAGTGACATTTTATACTGCCCAATAAAATGATAGCCAAGGTCATCCAAAGAAGGTCAATTGTATTTTTAAAGAAAGCAAAGCGTTTTGTCCTTTTCTTGTGCATGCTATTACTTCCTAGTGCATAAGTATTTCACTGTTTAGAAACCAACCGTCAGTGGTGCAATTCAGATGTCACAATCTTTCCTGGTTTGGAGAAAATGGGAAACTATGGTTAACTGAAGACTGCTTGGTTTGTTTCACCTCACTCATGCAAAAGGAGAAGTCAAGCAGCTAGCCACTGAGGCTAAAAAGGTTGGTAGAGATCTCTGCTGAATTGTGTCCTTACAAATGCGCACAAAAGTTATCTGAATCGTAGAATCATAGAAATGTAGAGTTGGAAGGGACCATGAGGGTTATCTAGTCCAACACCCTGCAATACAGAAATACTTTGCACAATGTGGGGCTCAAACCCATGACCCTGACTGATGTAAACCCATGCTCTACCGACCAAGCTATTTGCATGCATGGAGAACAGAAAGAAGGCAGCTGGGGCCGAGGCACCAAAAGCGTAAAACGCCCCCAACAGCCAAAGAGGAGCCTCTGTGAATGTGGAAACAGGTCCATCTCCTGAGCCCTCCTTTCCATCCAAAGCAACTTCCAATCCCACTTTCCTTCTGCCCTCGCTGGGAGGGATTCAAACAAAGAATCACAATACAAAGCAGGATCTTAAAGATGCCTTTCTGCCACAGTAAAAAGGAGAGACACCAGCCTCAACATCTCTCTATTTGGCCGTTTGAGGCAAAATGTCCATTACTGTTAAGTGCTCATCCGCACACAAAGGGTCACCAGATATTGGCTGCTTTGCAATTTTGCAAAAGTTTTGCGTTTTTATTCTTATTAATGAGCAATTGCACACCACCCCTGTAGCCAAAAAGTCTCTCAAGACCAAAAAAATAATATCAATACTAAGACAGCCCCTGCCCTCAGGCTCACAATTCAAGAGAGATATGACACACAGGGGAAAGGTAATGAGAGGGAGGAAGGAAAAGCAAGTTCTTCAAGTTACAGATAAAGCTAGCAGTGGTTCCATCTGTCTTGCTGTCCTGAAGCATTCTTTCCCTTCCACCTCTGAGATCAGGGCAGCCCCTACCGCACAGCTCTTCCCTAAGAAGGAACAACCACAAGCAGTGCTGGATTTACGTATAAGCTAAGGAAGCTCTAGCTTAAGGTCCCACTCTCTTGGGGGCCCCTAAAAAATGTAAAGGAAAAACAACAACTGGGCGTACATTTCCAAAATATAAGATAAAAAACAAATAAAACAAAACCTACATACAGCAACAGTGTTTTGTATTGTGTATGTGCAAATGGCTTTAGATACCTATTAGATCCATAAATTACCATATAGCATATTCAACAGACAATTTGTTGTTGACAAAGGACAGCTGGACATATCAAGGGCCCCATTACCTTCAGTAGCTTAGGGCCTCATCAAACCTAAATCCGGCCCTCACCACAAGCAACCTCAATTGGCTATTGACCCTAAATCAGCAATGCGGCACACTGTAGCTTTTCACCTTAGCTGTATGCAGCTGGCAGAGCCATTAGGCAGGGGGAGGAGGCTGCCTCAGGTGCCAGAAGTCCCCCAGGCAGCACTCCTGCAGGCACCCCACCTACCCCACTGCCTCCTCCAGAGGCAAGAGAAGCAGTGGCACCATCTCACCCAAAACTGGTGTGATCTTCCCTGAAATTAGCGCCTCCTGGCAGTGGTAGCAGAGCGGATGGTGTTGGCGGCAGCAGCAGCAGGGCAGGGAGGCACTTCCTGTTCCACCTCAAGCAGCAAATGGGATGTGATACCCTGGCTGTATAAATCAAAGCTTGGGATGTAGCAATAAACATGTATCCCCCCCCTAGATATTACCACTCCAAGCCATTGTCATGAGATGGGTATATTTAGAAGGGATTGGAAGGAAAATATCAGAAAGCCTGGGCTTAGCCTTTCAGTGCAAGTCGGTGGACAGGGATTAAGGTTAATTTTTCTGTCAGCGCTATTTGCCAGATTTTCACAGCAAACTGAATTTATTTCTCCCACATCCCAAGTTACAGGGGTCTTTGTTTACCTGCTTATCTAAGAGAGCAGCACTGCCACAAACCATCAAACAGGTTGCAAAGATGGACGGAGCAGCAAAGAGTTAACCTGAAGCCTGGCTGAGGTTCAGTCATGATAACAGTGCTGGAAAAATACTTGGAGGATGTAATCATCTGGATGGGGAGAAAGCAATTGTTTAGGGTCAAGCAAGGGATAACATTTGTTAAAATGGGATGAAGTCAGAGGAAAACTGTGGAGGGGAGGGGAGCTTGGCTGGGGGAAAGGGGTCTTCTTAAGGAAAGGGACATCATCAGCACTTGCATTAGAGCACACACAACCCAGAGGATCCCAACACAACCCTCAGCATGCATGGAAGACACCCGTAGATCTTTCTTTAGAACCTGATGTTAACAGCTGGGATAGCTCAGTCAGTAGAGCTCTTAATCTCTGGGTGGTTTCCTTTTAACCAATCAGTATGTACTGATATCTATTTCTGTTTTTATGGATCTTTTCGTTGATACTATCTTCAGATGTTGTACTCCACCTTGCTATATTTTTGTGAACATGTGGGTTATACATTTGCAAATAAACGAATTTGAACCTGCAACCATCAGTGCTTGGATTTGCCCCTGAGTCAGCCTCTGATTGCTCCCTGAAAACAGCATGAACCTCACAGTCAGGAATCCACCTAGGCAAGGAAACAGGGCTCCACCGGCATCCACAGTGTCCGTGGCAGGCCTGAGCCTGTCTCAGGAGCTGCAGGAGGGACAAACACCGACGTTGTTCCTGGAAGACCAGACGCAGGTGAGAGGCAGAATGCTTGTTGCTAATTATACACAGTAGCACGAGATTCTCAGTTGCAGCAAACAGATTTGCTGCAACTGAGAATGTTTTTCATAAAGCTAAGAATGAGGCCACACCCTTGCATTTTGTTGCCATCTCAGAAGAAAGACTTCACTTTCCTATTTTCAAAGATCTGGAAGTTCTTGCAAGCATTCTAGCATTGTTCAGTCGAAACATTTGTAAACATGCCTATTCTTAAGCCAAGATCTATGCCCCACTCCTCCAATCAACAATGAAAGCTCACCTGTCTGCTGTACAGTGTACAGGTAACTTGCAGCTTGTGCATATTCACAAACTCAGATATATAAGCTAGGTGGCATATGGCTCCTTAAACCAGTCCCCAAAATGGAATGCCTGGTTGTTATTTTTTGGGCCTGACAGCCTGAAAGTCGTATTTTTCATTGTGACTTCTTGGTTCCTGAAATGCATTCTAATTGTGCAGATAAAATATAACAGATAGAATTCTGCAGGCTGTGGTGTTAGCGTGTGAAAACAGTCAAGATCCAGTGATCCCCAGGCATGCACCTCCAGATGGTGGAGATGTCAGGTGCCATCCTGGAGCCCAGGCATCTTCACTTGGTTGCAAGTGGTTGATAAAGGTAAAGGGTAAAGGGACCCCTGACCATTAGGTCCAGTCGTGACCGACTCTAGGGTTGCAGCACTCATCTCGCTTTATTGGCCGAGGGAGCCGGTGTACAGCTTCCGGGTCATGTGGCCAGCATGACAAAGCCGCTTCTGGTGAACCAGAGCAACGCACGGAAACACCGTTTACCTTCCCACCGGAGCGGTACCTATTTATCTACTTGCACTTTGATGTGCTTTCGAACTGCTAGGTTGGCAGGAGCAGGGACCGAGCAACGGGAGCTCACCCCATCGCAGGGATTCGAACCGCCGACCTTCTGATCGGCAAGCCCTAGGCTCTGTGGTTTAACCCACAGCGCCACCCGCATCCCTAAGTGGTTAATAGCCAGGTGCAAAATGTGCCTGGCTCCTGCTGAATTTTGAACACTGTCCGGAACATAACCCAAGCATAAGTTGAGAGTCGCCTGTATTCCATTCTCTCTCTTGTTCTACAGCAGGAGTCGCAATGTGGTGCTCTCCATATGTTGTTGGATGACCCCATCAGCCACAGCCAGCATGCCCAATGGTCAGGGGATGATGGGTGCTGCAGTCTAACAACATCTAGAGGACGTCGCTACCGCTACAGCTGCTCTCTAGCAACTTCTCCTGTACCTTTGTTTTTTAAGGCAAGGAAGTTAGATTAGAGTGTGGGGAAACCTTTTGTGGATCCCCAGCTATTGTTGGACTGCAAATACCATCATCCCTAGCTAGCAGGACCAATGGTCAGGGGTGATGAGAGTTGTAGTCCAACAACAGCTAAGGACCCAAGTTTGAGAAACAGTGCACTAGACTATAATTCCCATTACTGTTGGTTATTCAGCATACTGGCTGGGACTGAGGGGAGTCCAACAACATTCGGAGGGTCCTAGGTTCCCCAACCATGGGTTGACTAAGTGCTAGGAAGACATCACCGTCCCACAACCCACTGTCGACAATCCAACCGCAGCTCAGTAACACAGCATCTGCTTTGCCAGCAAAAGGTTCCAGGTTCAATCCTCAGCATCTCCAAGACGGACTAGGAATGTCCCCCTCTGAAGCCATGGAGCATCTCCATCAATCAGTGATGACAGTACGGAACTAGATGTGCCAGGGGTCTGCCTCCATCCAAGGTAACTAGCTATGTCCCTAGGTCTATCAACAGTTCAAAAAGAGGCGTCCTGGTGTGCAAAATACTGTAGCATCTTACAGACCATATTCCACAATCGCCCAAAGACGCTGCTTTTTATTTTACTTTCTAAGATCCCCAAGCTCATGCCAGCAGAAGCCAAGCCCGGCAGCTGTGCACGCCCCACTGGACTTCTGCAGCTGCAGTCCAAAATCTCAGAGATATACACCCCTCCTTGAGGATAATCAGCTCAGCCACAGATGCAGAGATGCAAGGGGAAAATGTCTCCAGAGTGAGAGAGAGGAGACAGCTCTGCACCTGTAGCTGGTGGTGACCTCACACAGCCTCCATCTGTGACTGCGTTAGACCCCATCACTGACCCCACGGAGCCTCTCTGTGCAATTGTCTAATTTACACTCTGCATTCTAAAATCAGCCTTGAATTCCTTCCAAATGTGCCCTGCTAGCCAGACAGAATCTTTTGCTGGCTGTCAGAAAGAGAGTGCCTCTTTGGAAATCGCCCTTTCTTTTGCACGTTGGTTGTTAAGTAAGATCAATGAGAGCCATTCTTCACTTTGCAGAGCTGCTCAATGAAGTGGGAACTGGTTGGTACGGCAATAAAACACAGCCAACTGTTAAGGAAGCCCAGCCTGAAAAGGGCAGCTATGAAATCTAAAATTAGGAGCAGCAGAGTATAAAAAAAGATATTCAGAGTCAGGGGTGCCAAGAAGATTTTCTGAGGCCAATACTGTACACCGTCTGTGGATTTGGGCCCTCTGCCCTACCTGCAAAAGAGGGCATGCATTTGCATAAATAATGCATGTACTTTGCATCATGCAAATTTGCATATTCCTTGCAGGTGGGGTGGAAGGCTCAGAATTAAATCGGGAGGTCACATGTCAAGTACTAAGATGCTTGGCAGGCAGAGTGTCAACAGGCAAGGTTTTCCCTGCAATTTTATTTCCATACTAGAAAAGGCTTAATCAGTTTAATTTCTGCCCGATTCAAGGCACAAGAGCCCCACTTTTCCTCATTGCTGACCTTAAACTGTGAAAATAACTCTAGTTTCATGAGTCGTAAAGTGTTGATCCTGGGTAGCCAACATGGTCGCTCATGGCTATCCTGGCTGCGGCTAATGAGAATTGTAGTCAAATCCTGCTGGAGGGCACTACGTCAGCTACCCCTGCTGTAGATCTTTCATCAATTCCTCTTAAGCTGGCAATACTGTACTACATTCAGTGAAAGACCAGGCACAGTTATTTCAGATAGTAGGTAGGGGGGCAAAAGATTTTCAGATTTACGACGACTAAGGTTCAGATCCCTGTGCTTGGACTGATTCCAGATTAAAAGTGAACAGTGTATTCTAAGGACTGCAGCCATTATTTATCCATCGTAACAAGTACAGCAATGTTATCAACAGCTAAGAACAGCCACCCATCTCTCTCTCAATAACAAGGATTTCAATCCTTTGCATAAAATATACACATTTAAATGTTCATACTAGCAGGAACAACCCACCCTGAAGTATCCACCATGGGGGGGGGAGCAATTAATCACCCCCTCCCCAGTTACTGCTGCAATCTACTTAACAGCCTAAAACTATCTTTCACTCTCTACCTTTGCTTTAGGATGGACTGACTACTGCCCAGGATAGAGTTACAGTAAAATCCTGGATTTCTCAATTATTTTCATAGACTGGAGGCCAAGGTTGATGTCCTACACACACACACACACACACACACATACAGTTTGTTTGTTTTTGCAAGCGTTTTGAAGAATTTTGTCACAAGGCTCAATTAGCTCTCCATTTCCGTGTCTGAAGTTTGCCCAGACATGTCTGTACAGTGTCCCTCCTCCACTTCACCTCTTCCTCCATGATGAGACTTTCTCTCTCTCCTGAAAACAACATTTCAATCCAGCCTATGCAGACCCAGACTGGGGTGGATGGAGGTGAAGGAGAGTTTCTGGCCTTGGCCCAGGAAGGAAACCAACTTTTGAAATCCATTCTTGTAGCATGGGGCAATATCCACTAGCTTATTTTTCCTTTGTCTTTTTTTTAACTGTTAGCCAATATTGAGGAAATGTCACTCCAAGGCAATTTCTCTAGAAGTAGTACACTCCAAATGTTGTTGGACTACAATACCCATAGTCCTTGACCATTGGCCTTGCTGCCTGGGGCTGATGGGAGTTGTAGTCCAACAACATCTGAAGGACAGCATGTTGGCAACTGCTCTGAGGTATGCTGTTTTATCCCCTGTTCAGTGAAGGTTTCCCTTGTTTTACTCATAAAAGGAGCCCTCCCGGATGAGAGGTCAAAGACCCATCTAGCACAGCATCCTGTTCTTGCAATGACCAACCTGATGCCCATGAGAATCCCGCAAGCAGAATCTGAGCACCACAGCATCTCCAGCCAGCTACTGGTATTCAGAGGCAAGCTGCCTCCAACAGGGAAGGGAGAGTATGGCCATCCTGGCTGGTAGCTACTGATATTCTTCCCCTCCATTAAAGCCATCCAAGTTGGTGGCCATGACTATCTCTTGATGCCTTATCACCCCTTGTTCTTTGAAATCTGCATCAGTATGTCCGGAAACATTTTGGAGGTGTTCCAGTAGCAATAACATGAACTGAAAAACTCCCTGAGCAAGTGCATACATAGGGAATGCTACAGGGAATCTGGAGAACAGATTTTTTTTGAGGTCCACTGTAACAAGAATAGTGCCGGGTGTCACGTGAGGTTTGTTCCTTCCACATTTCAGTTTGTAAAGGTTGCCGCGGCAAGTATTGCGAATCCCCAAAGGTGATCAACCCCTTAGGAAGTGGGGAGCTGAACCAGGGAGTGGGAGAGAGAAACCATCTTGTCACAGCTCTGGCCATCAGCTTGAAATTGCGTCAGACCCTCAACCTTGGGGTGCTCCCTGGCTCACCATTCTGACAGGAATGCCAACTTCCCCTCCTGCCTCCGGCGTTCTGAAATGTTGTCCAGGCATCTTTAGAACAAGCCTGATGCAGATTCTGTTCTTTTAACCACCTCCGACTCCAGTTTTGAATCAGGGTTGCTTTTTCGCTGGTGCATTTCTTTTGTTATACGGCAATTATAAATGCTGGGGTTTTTTATTATTATTAGCTCCAGCTTGATTCTACCTGCTATAATTTGATGAGAACCTATGCTGAAAGGCAGCCTGGTATCTATCTGGGGTGGGTGGGATGAGCAGGGCAGATATAATTTACTATAAATAAGACACAGCCCTGGCCATTCAGAATCGTAAGACAGCATCATAGCAGGGAGGCATTTGCAGTTCTTCGCTTTGACCTGCTGGCCGCAGCCCATGAGCTCAACCTTCACTGAATTCAGTCCTAGCATCCTCAACCACTTCACTCACTTTGGGTGGAGGGTGGGGAACCTTTTTAGACCAACGGGCCAAATCCCCATCCCTGTGGGCCAACTTTACAAGTGAGTGTCGTTATGACTTCAGATGATTGACATACATTTTCATCCCTCTGCAAACCCTGCATAATGATATATCCTCTCTTGTTCCTCAGTGTCCCAAATTTGGCTACAATCCAATTGGCACCCAGCGCCTGAGTTTGCTATCCAGAGGAAATGACGTCTCCCAAACACATGGATGGCCAATGGCACTTTGCTTAACTACAGGAAATATCTGCAAGCTGTGGCTTCTAGGATTCTTGTCTAACCGGTTAAAATGGAGATTTAGAGCAACCTACAGGTCATGTATAGCTCTGGACATAACTATGCAGAAGCGGAGCTCATTTGCGTAATGCGGGGTACATGCACACAAGCCAACCACAGGCCAAAAGAGCCAAGGAATATAAAAGCAAGCACAATTCAGTATATACCCTGAAACTTTCAGGGGCAAAACAGTTCCCCCAAGTCAAATGGATTCTCCCAGATGGGGTGCCAGAGTAGCATCACTAGGCTCCCAGCAAATCTAAACTTAAAAAATACAGCACTGTACAACCAATGGAAGGTGTAGTTCTTTTGTTTCCAGCACCTGACCTGGAAACTATACGAGGTCATGAGGCCAAGACAGAATTCCAAGCATGATCTAGAAGTAGGTCAGCATGAGCTCATGGGAAGAGTGGATCTGGAATAACTGCAAAGCTTTGTCTGGAACTGAAACTGCAGGATGGCTGTGACTTCTTAACCTGTTTCTAGCTCTGTGCAAATGAAGAAGAAGCAGCCTACTCTTGAGGGGACTGTTGTGAAGTGTGGAGAAAGTGAAAAAGGTTTCTTTCTCCCCCCCCCCCCATAATACTAGAACCAGGAGCCATCCTATGAAGCTGAATGTTGGAAGATTCAGGACAGAAAAGCAAGCTCCCCCCCCCCCCATACTTAAGCTACAGTACTCACTCCCATGTGAGGGACGCAGGTAGCACAGAAGGTCGGCGGTTCAAATCCCTGCGATGGGGTGAGCTCCTGTTGCTCTGTCCCTGCTCCTGCCAACCTAGCAGTTCAAAAGCACGTCAAAGTGCAAGTAGATAAATAGGTACCGCTCCGGCGAAAAGGTAAACGGCGTTTCCGTGTGCTGCTCTGGTTTGCCAGAAGCGGCTTAGTCATGACCCGGAAGCTGTAGGCCAGCTCCCTCGGCCAATAAAGCGAGATGAGCACCGCAACCCCAGAGTCGGTCATGACTTGACCTAATGGTCAGGGGTCCCTTTACCTTTACTCACTCCCACAGGAGGCAGCAAAAGCCACTAACTTGGATGGCTTTAAATGAGGATTAGATAAATTCTTGGAGAATGAAGCTACCAATGGCTACCAGACTCAGTGGCTAGGGCCTTACGCCCACCGTTGGAGGCAGCATGCCTCTGAATGATGGTTGCTGGGAATCCCAAGAGGAAAGACTGCTATTGTGTCCAGGTCTTCCTTGGAGCCTTGCCATAGGCATCTAGTTGACCACAGGGAGAACAGGATGCTGGACTAGATGAGGCTGATCCAGCAGGGCTTTTCTTCGGCTCTCATGAGGTCAGACAGTTTAATTACAGAGCATTTCTGGTGAACCACAGGTGCAATGCAATAGCCTCTCCAAATGTGTGCCAACACCATACCGGAGAGAGGCACTGTACTCTAATAGTGTTAGAACCGCCTTGGGGAGGCTGCCACCACAATGTGCATCTTGCAGAGTTCTTGGGCCACAACATGTCTGTTGGGCAATTAAGCTCCTCATCTTCTGCAATTTGTCTATTCAGGAACATCCTATTGCTTCATTTCCACCCTGAATAGTGCCAGATCACAGTAGCAAGCAGTTGTTGTTCTTGTTGTCGTTGTCGTTTTTAAGGCAACGGCCCACTCGAAGAAAAAAGCTGCAACAAAATATCAAGGGCTCTATATTACAGAAGGCCATTTGGACATGGCTTCTATTTTTACGGACGATGCTAATGTTGGAAGGAGTTCAACCGATACTTTGGCTGCATTAGCAAAAGTGTCACAGGAACGACCAGCGATACAACGGACAGCAGCCTCCTGCTATTCTGCACAAATGACTTGACAGACAGCAGTGTAACATAGCAAGTTTCCATCTAGTCAACAGGAAAGGTTGTGCCCAGTGGCATCCTGGTCAGAAGGCAGCAGACAGGGAAGGGGAGGGTTCAAATCCCCACTTAGCCACTATGAAGTTAACCTGGCTCAGTTGGTTAGAGCATGGTGCTGATAATGCCAAGGTTGCAGGTTTGATCCCCGTATGGGACAACTGCATATTCCTGCATTGCAGGGGGTTGGACCAGATGACCCTCAGAATTGTAGAGTTGGAAGGAACCCTGTAATTCTAGGACCTTGAGTCATCACTCTCCTACCTCACGGGCACAGCCTATCTTGCAAGATTGCTGCAAGGATAAAATGAGGAAGAGGATCAGCCCCATGTAGCATTCAAAATACCTCAACAGGCAAAATAAAAATGTAGTGAAGAGAGAAGCACTTTTAAAGTTTCACATCCAGATTTTTCTGAACCTCACGGAGTTCAGGCCACAAATGTATTTGAAGGGTTTATTGATCAAGATGGTCTGCCCCACAAAGTCCCTTCTCTTTAAAACAAGTATAAAGGTAAAGGCAAAGGACCCCTGACAGTTAAGTCCAGTCGCAAACGACTTTGGGGTTGCAGCGCTCATCTCGCTTTGCAGGCCGAGGGAGCTGGCATTTGTCCGCAGACAGTTTTTCCAGGTCATGTGGCCAGCATGACCAAGCCACTTCTGGCGCAATGGAACACAAACCAGAGCAGCGCATGGATACGCCGTTTACCTTCCCACTGGAGCAGTACCTATTTATCTACTTGCACTTTTTGGAGTGCTTTCAAACTGCTAGGTTGGCAGGAGCTGGGACCGAGCAATGGGAGCTCACCCCATCGTGGGGATTCGAACTGCCGACCTTCTTATCGGCAAGCCCAAGAGGCTCAGTGGTTTAGACCACACGCCCAACTATTTCCCACCAATATTCAATACAGCTTACCAAAAAGACACAGGGAAAAGTAACAAAATCCAAACCAACTAAAATTCATCCAACCGCACAATCCAAGTAGGAGAAATTGAAGCATGCAGAAGTCATCCATAGAATGCTTTCGAACAAGGATGGAAAGTCTGTGGCCCTAGACATTATTATTGCCATCATGATTAATCACCTTCTACACAATTGCTTCAATGTGATATACAATAAAAGCAGCAAAAAACCCCAGTGAGAAACACCCCAAGCAACTGATACATTTTTTTAAAAAACTAAAACAGCTGGAAAAGCCTGTTGGACCAAAAATGTCCTCATTTTTTGCCCAACAAAATGCAGATAGTGGGCAGCTGTCATATCTCAGCTGGATTGCAATTCCACAGAACAGGAGCAGCCACACAAAAAGCCTCACTTTGAGTTACTGCAGAACAAGCTTTTGATATCTGTGGAACTTGCAGGAGAAACCACAAGGTTTTACTGGGTGTATAAGGGATAAGGTGGCCTGTAACCTGGTCCTGAGCTGAACAGGACCTTATACGTTAGTGACAACACCTTGAATTTGCCCCATAGCAGATCGGCAGCCAGTGCAAATCCTGAAAACAATGTGTATATGCTGCCCATAGTTTGCCCCCACAAGCAACCTAGCCGCCATGTTCTGCACCAGCTTCAGCTTCCAGGCCAACCCCCAAGGTACACACCCACAGAGGGCATTGCAGTAATCCAGCCATGAGGTTGGTGCATAGGCAGCTGTGGTCAAGCTATCCTGATGATGATGGACTCTACCTCACGCCAGTCCCAGGCAGCCAGTCGTCCATCTCATGCAGTCTCTTATGTTGCCATTTAAAGCCCTGAATTGGCTGAGGGCCCAAGTATCTTAGATAAGGCCTTCTCTCCTATCAACCTGACCCTGGCGTAAGATCAGTGGAAGAGACTCTCCTGGTGATTTCTGTGTTGACTGAGGTGCATATTGCAAGGATCCATGGGAGCCCCTTTTTGGTGTTGAAATGGCTTCCCCAATGATGTGTGCCATACAGCAACTTTGTATTATTTCAGGCACCAAATTAAAAGCCCACCTATTTCACTGAGCTTTTATCAGATGATGGGATTGTGCCATTTTTAAGGTGTTTTTAAACTATGCTATTTACAGAATTTAGGAGAATGGTTTTTGTTCATTATGTATTCTAATCAGTTTCTATATTACCTTATTTCTTTGTAAACTGCCCATGACCAATTGGGTGTAAAGAAATGTCTTATTAAAAATAAATACAAATAGATTTCTGCTCATTTTGAAAAATGCTTCGAGAGCCTTATAGGCATATATATGAGTCTGACAGTTACTGGAGTGTGGAAACATACACATAAGCCAGGACAACATGCAGGTGCCCTTTGACCACCAGCTGTGTAGCTTGGCATTTGATAAGAGGCAACAAAGCAGCAGATCATGGGTGAGGTGTATGGATCAGATATGCAAGGCAGCCAGGTAGCAAATGATCCTCAAAGGCACACAACCCAACAGCATGATGATGATTATTTTGCATTGCTAACATTGTTTATATTACTAATATCCTTTATATTCTGCTTCCCGGCGACCTCAAAAATTAGCCCATGGAGCTATTTCCAATCATAAAGCAACAACTATTTCAAACTGGAGAGGGATCCAAGATCCATTTCAAGCACACTCCTTGAATGTAAGAGGAGCCTGTTGGATCAGGCTAATGATCCGTCTAGTCCAGTATCCTGTTCTCAAAGCAGCCAAGCAGATGTCTGTGCAAAGACCCAAACACAAGAGCACTTTCCCCTGCAATTCAGAAGCTGGAATTCAGAAGCATTACTGCCTCTGACTTAGCAACAAGGCATTATATACAGGGTGGGTAAAGTGAGACCTTCCCTAGATGTGGCTGGACTACAGTTCCCATCACTGACATTGCCAGTGCTGGCTGGGGCTGATGGGAGTTGGAGTTCAACAACATCTGGAAGACCACGGCTTCCCAGCCCCCAAATATAGATGATTCCTGAGAACCACCCCTATGGTTAGGGGTGGGGAGTCATCACATACATGAGTCAGCTTGACTCCATCTCTGGGGGACACTCAGGGAGAACTATGCAGATGCAAGATTGGCCACATGAAGGAGCAGTTTTGAAAGAAAATTAAGCACACAGCCGAAGAGACCAAGAAAGTCTAAGCGTTTTTTTGTTTTTTGGACCAAAGTGTATATATGCAAGTTTTCCCATTTCCCAGAACTCATCAGATACGTTTCATGGTGCTGCACTAGAGAAGGCACTGTATAGCACAGCAGCGTAATGGAAGCGACTTTTGGAACAGGGGAGGTCTCCAGCCCAAGTTCAGCACTGCAATGTCTCCATTATGTAGAGTTCTCAGAGCTGCCTCGGGGATTGTAAAGAATTCAGAAAGTGAGCAGGTATCTGTAATGTCAGATTGAGGAATTGCAATGGAATGCTCATCGTTACCCAAGACTGCAGTTCTCAAGGTTTGGAAATCAAAGCACTTATACAAGACAAATTAACAAATCTGCCTTTTAATCCAGAGTCCATTACTCAGTGTGGAAGGCAGCAATTTTGTCAAAAAGATAATTCACATTATCATCCAAGATTACACTCCTTGTGGTTTCTTGGAAGGGGTGTGGGGACAGAAATCAAAGCATTATTTAACAAGCGAGATTAAGAAATATCATTTTTAATAAAGAGTGTGTGACTCAGTGTGGAAGGCATCAATTCTGGCTGAAGGATGTTTCACTTCCAACATTGTAAGAAAAGCATCGTTTGTGGAAACGGCCTCTAACCATGTTCTTTAGAAAGACTTCTGTGTATGAGTGTGTGTTTAAAAAAAACAAGACTAAAGCATACTGGGCTGTATCCAGATAAGTCAAATTCAGAGGAGTCCCACTGAATTTAATGGATTTAGGTTAGCCACTAACTTGCCCTTCAATTTTAAATAGATATAGTCTGAATATGAACCCACTTTTTGAATTTCCTGCTTTTAGACTGCAAATATAAAACATATGTTGGGGTTGCTAGCCTATTCCAAAACTGATTCTTCTTATTTCTGGCCTACCTCAACATTCATCTCTGCAAACCTGGAATAAGCATGGATCGGAGGAACTTTTACTGGCATGTGTCAAACACTCAGAGTTTGAGGGCTGCAGAAATAACCTTAGGCTACCAACAGAAAAAGACAGGAGTGCCTGGCGTGCTCTGGTCCATGGGGTCACGAAGAGTCGGACACGACTAAACGACTAAACAATAACAACCATCAGAAATCCACTTATCTCACACTGATAACAGGGCATTTCCATAGCTATCAGATAGTAGCCACAATGGCTATGTTTGACCACCATCAAAGATGGTATGCCTCTGGATACCATTTGCTGGAAAATCTAGGGCATGGGTAGGCAAACTAAGGCCCAGGGGCCGGATTTGGCCCAATCACCTTCTAAATCCAGCCCACGGACGGTCCAGGAATCAGCGTGTTTTTACATGAGTAGAAGGTTTCCTTTTATTTAAAATGCATCTCTGGGTTATTTGTGGGGCCTGCCTGGTGTTTTTACATGGGTAGAATGTGTGCTTTTATTTAAAATGCATCTCTGGGTTATTTGTGGGGCATAGGAATTCGTTCATTTCCCCCAAAAAATATATAGTCCGGCCCCCCACAAGGTCTGAGGGACAGTGAACCAACCCCCTGCTGAAAAAGTTTGCTGACCCCTAATCTAGGGAGTCTGGTTGGCCATAGTGAGGATGCTGAACTAGATGCTTCACCAGCCTGATCCAGCAGCTAGGCTCCTCTTATGCTCCTATGTTTTAGCTAGACTGGGGCTTGACAGCCCTTCCAACGGAGGGTGCTGTCAAACAAAAAACTGTATTCTATAAAACAGGATATGTAGTTGCCTTAATGATAAGCCTTCAGAAAATGGTACTCATCTCTTGTCCCCATTCCCAGGAATTCTCTCCTGGTTCATAATATAGAAGCGGGTGAAGTAACCATTCCAAATGCATGCATCTTAGCATCCTGGTAAAGAGTCACTTGGAAATCTCACAGCCCCTCTCCCAGAACAAACACACAGAGACATCTGGATGAAGAACAACTATGATATCATGTCAAATGCAGACGGAGTATTGATCCAAGTGGAGTAGAGGCTCAACAAACAAAAGTTTGTTTAGTGGGGTCACAGCAAACAAGAAAAAGTACAGGGCTACGTAGCCTGAGCACCTCCAAAGCAGGTTGGCTTGGGAAGAGTGGCCTCCTGAATGCTGACCGTGCACTCACAGAATCTCGTCTTACATTCTGAACAGAAGAAGAACTTGCATGGCTGGGAGTGATAATTACAAGGAGGATAAATATGGATTCTGAATCTGTCAAGTACAAAGTAGGGCAAGTGGGCCTGATTTGGACAAAGCCCAATCAAAACCAAACCTACTTGTGGGGATCTCAGCTTGGGCCAAATCAAGACAGCCGTGGCCAGACTGAGTCGTCCAGAGTGAACTGGGACAGTCAGGGGGCAGGGCATGAGGTGAGAAGGCTGCAAGGCATCTGCTTCCCTGAACGCTCTCCACGGGGATTCAGAATTTAATCCTCCTCCACTCACCTGCTTGGTGAGTGGCAGATTCAATCCTGCAGGCTGCAGGGTGCTCTTCTGCAAGTGCTTTAAAAAGGGACCACAAGGCTCATCTAGCCCACCCCCCTGCAATGCAGGAATCTTTTGCCCAAGATGGGGCTCAAACTCATGACCATGAGATTAAGAGTCTTATGCTCTATCAACAGGAACGGTGCTTGAGAAGAAGCAGCCTGCAGAGTTGACCCCCTCTTGTTCCTGGAGGGAGGGGGTTGGCACAGAATCTGCTCCTGCACCCCTCCTAACCATATGCTTATTTGGGGTTTTAAAAACCCCTAATGGAACGTTAGCCTTGCACCCACATTTATCTGGGGCTGTATTTGGGCTGCATCAGGTGTCCCTCAGGTTGGCGCAAATCAGGGGCAACCTTGGCTCTACAGATGTTCCCTTTGCCACACTTCGTGAGCACCTGCCTCAGAACTCAATAACTTTCAGGCAGAAAATTTACAGTACTATTGATTTCAGGACTGGCCCCCTACCATAAGACAAAGGTGGATGGTTGCCTCAGATGACAGTTGCCGAGGGGCAGGCGGCAGCAGTCCCCCATAGCCACCCCCCTTCTCTTGGAGGACAGAGCTGAGCAGACGTTGGAGCCACTTAGCTGGATGTGGTCTACAATGCCAAGTAGCAGCACTCTTAGTTTCTGGCGAAGGCCATTTCTGATCCGACCTGGAGCCTGAAGGACCCTGGGACCCTCTGCGCACAAAGACTGGCGCTCCCCTGCCGAGTTTGGGCCCTTCCCCAACTGAAGGAAGCCGTAAAATTTAGAGAAAGTGGCGAGAGCTAGGAACGCGGAACTAAACCTGCTGCTGACTTCTGCATCATCACCTGCAAGCAAGCCCCACTGAGCACTGGGGCGGCTTGTTTCTTAGTAAATAGGTTAAGGCTCAGGTGCGCGCCGCGCCGAGGAGACAACCGCGCCCACTTTTACGCGCAAGAAAGGCGCGATTATTATTATTTTTAGATGGCGGGGTGTAAGGAAACCATTTCGGTTCCCCAGCCTTTTCCCCCAACGAAAGAGCCTTTTCTCGTCCCCCCTCCCCATACAAGCCCCACTTCCTCGCCGCCCCTCTCACCTCTTCCAGCGCCACCACGGCCCCCCGGCACTTCTGCAATTTGGAGGCGAAGCTGGAAGCCGCCGGCGAGCTGAGATCCTCCGAAGTCACGGCCACGAACTCGGAGACGCTGATCTGCTCCGGCATGTTGCTGCGAGAGGCGTTACCTTGGAGATCGGGGCGCAGTTGCAGCCGGGGAGAAGAAGGGAGGGAGATGGGGTTGTGGGGGAGAAAGTCATCCAAAAGTAAGGAAGAGGCGGAGAGGGAAAGGGAGCCTTCGAAGGAAGGAGGAAGAAGTTAAGAGTGACAGGAGAGCGAAGCAAAACCGCGGAGAAGTGGAGAGAAAACAGGGGAGGGCAGAAGCGTGGCCAAATCCGTCTTTTCCAGCCCTTTCTGGTCAATTTCGTATCACATCCCCGAGGTTTGGCTTCTCTCTCTAGTGCGTAAATGACGAGCGGCGCCTCTTCTCCGACCTCTTGTAAGTTTCTTTTCCTCCCTCGGTGGCTGGCTGGTTGGAACAGAGGCTTTCATGGCAGTCACGTGGGGATATTGTTACGCCGCCGCTGCCTGCGAGCCTGCAAGCGCGGATTTTTGGCCCGGAGCCTGTTAAAGACAAAGTGCACCCAGTTGCCCTTGTTCCCTTTCTCCCCAAGCCGCGGAGATCCTCCTCTCTGGAAAAACGAGCAGCCTATCAACGCAGAGCTAAGGCGGTGCGCCTGATCCAGCACGTTTTTTACGCGCACGTAAGTCCCCGTCGAGTTTAATGGGGCTTACTCCCGAGTCAGTTTGCAAAGGCGCAGCCTTCTTGCAGTTGCAGCCCTAGCGATCGGGGCTTTACTCTCCAAAAGAGCTCAGGGCTGGAGCGTTTTTGCTGCTGTTTTGGTGGTTATCCAGTTTTGTTTTGGTTTTTTAACTGCCGGTTTTACATACGCTCTCAGAGCTGCTCAGCGTTTCAAAGAGCCAGAAGGAACATGTTGAAGTTTTTTCGCGCGATTCTGCTCAGGAGAAGGCGCCTCATTTTATGCACAGTTTACCCCTCGCAGAGTTCCAATTCCCCCGCAACCCTTAACAAACTACAGTGCCCAGAATTCTTTGAAGGCGCGGCATGCGCTTTGAATGTGCTTTAAAAGGGATAGTGCGCACCCAGGTACGTAAAGCCAGGTCTCCCGCACAGAATATTTACAGCTTTTGAAATCTGGAGCCCCTGCTGCTCATTTAAGAACTTCATAGGGAAGGAGAAACACACACACTTAAGAGATGTGGCATATTCCAGCACTGCAAAGCTCTTGTCTTCTTTTAAACTTTTAGTGATCTCACTGCCCGTTGCTGAACACTCCAGGCCAGACTTTGGCCACCTGGTGCCCTCCAGCTGCTTTGGACTACAACTCCCATCAGCCTCAGCCAGCATGTGCTGATGGGAGATGTAGTCCAAAGCAGTTGGAGGGCACCACTGGGCAACAATTTTTTACTTTTTGAATGTTGTCTAGATTTCTACAACTGATTTAGGGTATTTTTGCACTGCTGAATCAGGAAATGGCATCTGTTTCTCTCCATCAGGTCAGGTTTACTGTAAACTGAATGGTGGGCATTGATAAAGATAAGTACACGTAAATTGCATGTTGCGTCACTATTTTTCAAACTTCAGGGCCTGAACTTCCGTTTCTTGGAACTCCAGGAATGCTCAGCAGCAGGGAGGTCTCTCTTCAGAGTCCAACAGTAGTCAGCCATCATGACTGCGTCCCAGCGACCCTGATACCTGGTCTCCATCTCTTTCATGTCCTGATGGAATCTCTCTCCCTGCTCGTCACTCATTGAACCCAGGTTCTCAGGAAACCGGTCCATATGTGAAAATAGGTAGTGCATCTTGACGCTCATGTTGCAGCCCAGGTTTCTGAAAGCAGTCAGTATGTTGTTGACAAGTTCTGCGTAGTTTCTGGCCTTATTGTTGCCAAGAAAGTTCTTCACTACCAGAACAAATGCCTTCCACGCTTCCAGTTCCACTTCGTTCATTGAGTTTCCGAACTCTGGATCTCTGATGAGCTGATGGATCTGAGGACCATCAAAGAAGCCAGCTTTCAACTTCTCCATGGTCAATCCTGGAAAAGCCTGGCACAAGTAAGTGAAGCAGTCACCATCCTTGTCCAGAGCCTTGGTGAACTGCTTGATTAAGCCGAGTTTGATGTGCAGCGGTGGGAAGAGTATTCTGTCTCTGTCCACCAGAGGGTCGTTGATGAGGTTCCTTTCTTTGTAAGGCACCAATTCCTCCCACACAGGTCAGTCCTTCTTCATGTAATGCTGAGCACGGTCCCTACTATGCCACATGCACAGAAAACATGGGTACTTGGTGAAGCCAGACTGTTGTCCCAACAAAAAGTTCACCATCTTCAGGTCAACACAAATAAACCACTTATGCTGATCATAACCAATTTTCTCCAGCACATACTTCACCGCTTCATAGTTCTCCTTCAGTGTACTCGAGTGAGCCAGGGGTATAGAGGCAAACTGGTTGCCGTTGTGTAGCAGAACACATTTCAGTGATTGCTTGCTGCTGTCATTGAACAGTCTCCAATCTTTGGGTTCGTACTGTGGCACTCCAAGCTTGAGCAGAAGCTGCGCAAAATCTGCACAGTACACCAAGTCCTTCTCTTCCAAGAAAAAACGGAGGTACTCTTGATGCCTGTTGCGGAAGAAGCTGATGCGAGCACTGTCAGAGAGGAGGTTTTTTCCCTTTAATCTGGATGCCAACAGTTCGGCAGAGTCCTTTGACAAGCTGAGGTTGCGAATTAGATCATTCAACTCCTTTTGGGAAAATGGATGTGGAGCATCATCTTCAAGAACCACTTCTTCTTCTTCATGTCCTTCAACACTGGAGGCATCTTCGTCACTAATGTCCGGAAGTTCTCCGAAGATAGGCACTGGAATTTCATCACAATGAGCTACAGGACGACGTGCTGATTGAAGATCAGGATTATCTTAGTTTTGATCCCCCAACTTTATTCGACATGACATTTTACCCCCACCAACTTCTTCTAAAATGCTCCACACAAGCGTACATGTGAACAAAAACGTAAAAAAAGACATGTGGCCATAGCTCAAAAACTTGACCTGATTGAGCAAAACCAATGTGATTTTTGGATTCAGTGCATCAGATTCGTCCTAAATCAGCTGAAAAAACGCAGACAACAAATTTGTTGTTGACCAGTGGTACAATATATATATAGGTGCAGGCCATAGCAACCCTGTGCATGCTTAACTGGGAAGAAGCTCAACTGAGCGCAGGCACATTTATATTGGAGAAAACATACATAGTTGTCAACCTTCATGGATAACTGTACCTGCCTGCCTGTAGGTTAAGAGCCTGAACAAACATGAGAGTAAAGCCCTCCCCTCTCAGTTCAAAGGGACCCTGTTTCAGGACAGTGAACATAGCATTTGTAGCCTCCATTACCACAGTAGCAAATACAAAAGAACAAGTTGTCCATTCATTCTGTTATTATTTTTATTAATTAATTAATTAAGTGCCCACACTAATTAACTAGAGCAGGTTACAGCAGCTAAAACACTATGCTGAAAACAGTTGAAAACAACTTACAAGCATGGGTGGGTCCTTAAAAATATACATCTCAAGTGCCGAAAGAGGTGTTTCTTTAGCCTTTGCCCAAAGCTGTATAATGAAGATCCCTAACACACCTCAGTGGGGAGGGAGTTCCACAACTCTGGGGCTGCCACTGAGAAGGCCCTCTCCCAGGCCAACAGCTTCTGAGAGTGGTAGAACAAACAATATGTCCTCTTCTGCCATTCTTAACTCCTGAGAGGGTCTGTAGGGAAGGAGGCAATCTTTCAGGTGTTGGGGGCCTGAGAAGTTTGTGGTTTAAACTAGTGTGAGCTCCTTGACTTGAGCCTAGAAACAGACTGGAACTCGTGCAATCCCTTTAGAACACTGCCTTTCAGTGTCAAAAACATTCCCAGCTTACAGCTGCCACCATCTGCACACTGGCTGTCCTGGAATCTTTTAGTGAAGGGCAGTTCAGAAACACCTCAGATAAATAAAAACCTAGAGCAAAACAGTAACAATACAAACTGCAGCAATTGAAAACAATGCCATCACGTATTTGTAGCCCAGAATCCCTCAGCTTGGTGCCTTCCAGATGTTTTGAACTACACCTCCCATCAGCCCCAGCCATCATGGCCAATGCTCAGGAATGATGGGACCTGTAGTCTAGCCAATCTCCCATCCTATGCACCAGACAATAAAGGTCCAGGGGACTTACTTTTGAGTAAGCATGCATAAGAGGATTTAGCTGTACAGAGGTGCAGATACTCTGAGCACAACACTGTGGTGAAGTTGATTTGGTGCCCCCACCCCACCCCACTCCACATATTGCATCTGTGGACTCAGTATCAGCCAGCCTCTGCTTCTGGCTACGTCTAAAAGGACCACAGGATGCCAGCTAGGAACATGATGCTGCCAGACTTGTATCAGTGCCAGTGCTGATGGCATGCCACTCACAGTCGATTCCTGCAAGCCTCCAGATTATCTGGGACTGTTTTGTCTCCTTGAACCAAAGGGTGTGTAATCACTCTGTACAGGACATTGTTTCCTGTGGGCAAAACAAGCCTGGGCGTGGTCTCTCAGTCATTAACCTGGCTTTGTTGTCCTCCCTCCTTTAAAAGGCTCTTCTAAAGTGGAAAAGGCAGTTTGGCCTCTTTAGCCATTGCAGCTTGTGCAAGAGAGCAAAAGGTCAGGAGGCTGCGACCAGGATCTCTTTCTCCCCTGTTCCTTTCTCACACTAACCCAAGAGGGCCTTCTCTCCCCACATTTGCACCATGCACCCAAGAGCTTTTTCTACAAGGGCAAATCCCCAGACATGCCCTGGGTTTTTGTTTTCTTTTTGCCAAAAGTACTATGTGGATGACAGAGTGCCTTCTCAAGGTCTCCCTGCCCAGCCAATCAATAAGACAGGATGACTCTGGCATGGACCCAAATAAATGACTCTCAAGGAGAGACAGAAATATAGTCGCCTTAAGTCTGCCAGGGATTCACTGCCCCTGCTCTTTATGCCTCTGACAGCTGGGTAAGAGGCAGAAGTTCACCAGGGAAAGCTCTCCCAACCATGTTATCTTCCACCAGGAAAATCTCCAGCTGTTCAGTTTCTGCCTGTTATGCAGCTGTTTATGGACCAGAAAACGAGGTGTTACTATTGGTATATAAAGCCCTTAATAGCTTGGGACTGATTTACTTGAAGGAACATCTTGCCCAATTCATATTTGCCCACTCTATAACCTCTCTCTCTCTCTCTCTCTCTCTCTCTCTCTCTCTCTCTCACACACACACACACACACACACACACACAGCGGGGATAATGGAAGTACAGCAGCAGAGAGGTCATTCAGCATGCAACTTAAGGGTTAATCATGTTAGTGTTAAAGTCAACTAAGAAGAGGGGGACAGGTTAGGTTTGCTTAGCAACCAAGGGAGCTGCACAATCTTAACTTAGATGACATGTGTTCTGATTGGCTGCATAGTTCTGAGGGAACTTTTTCCTGTATGTTTGGTTGAGTATCACCTTGCTATGTTCAAGGCCTGAACTAAGAAAGACAAAACCTCTCTACCTATTTCTTTGCATATTATACATTGCTTTTGTTCCGTTTGCTTAGTAAAGTGTTTTA